AAAAAAAAATTAAAAATGTTAAAAAAGAGATGTTGACACAAAATTACAAAGCCCCTTCAATTCTGAAGATACTGCAAACGAACTGTACCTTAAAATTTTCATATCCCAGAAGCTTAAGTTCCCATGACGAATATTGCTATCGCTAGCGATTGCAAAAACCAACTTGTTTAAATTTTGGAATGAGTTCCAAACAAAGCTTATATCCGGGAATTTGTTCCAATGTTTACAGTTTTCTTGGCATGCCAAGCTTATGGCGGAATTTAAATTTTTAGGGTCATTTTGAGGGAAAAGAAATGTCTTTTGGAAACAGCTTTACACCAGATGAAATTAAAAAGAAACCTGACTATTTAGATTGGCCAACCAACGGAACAAAAGCGCTTTATTGTTTACTCGCAATAGGTAAGGAAATGTATTATATATTGGTTGAATAATTCTATAATTGTGTAAATGATTCAAACAAAAGCGCAACTGCAACAAGTATTATTTTTAAATATTTTTGAGCGTCCAATGTTAGTATCTCTTTAAACGTACGCAATACGTAAAAAAAGAAAGGAAGAGAAATTAAATCTACTTCAACGAACGACTTTTTATTTTAACTAATTCTCTAACTAGGTATCATTTTTATGATCAGCATGTTTGAGTTTTTTTTAGTTCCAATATTTTTTGTTAATTGTCTACAGGCATAGATGTTCCTAGTAAGAAAGAACCAAAATTGCGAGATTTCAGGCATTGGCTGGTTGGAAATATTCCCAGTACAGATATTGAGAGGGGACAGGAAATTATCCCTTACTTAGGCGCGGGGAATTTTCTAGATGAAGGTTGGTAAACATGTCTTGCAGTTATGCTGGAAGTTGATTTAATGTTTGATTCTATCAATGGACAGATGTATAGTATGTAGGTAAATATGTTTTCATCTGCCTCTGCATAGGGCGTTGCAAGATTAAATGGCCATATTGCTGGAGCGTGTCCGATTATTCAAAATAAGGCTTTTTCCTCTTACAATTCGCTTCTCAAAAGTGCCCTGAAAGGAAGCTACATCCTACCAAATTTTTTAGAAACATTTTTTCTGAGTATTTATCTGTTACAGCTATGCAATGTACATGGACCAAAATTTATGGAAAATGATCGCTCCTAATGATTTATGGCGATATTCATATACAGGCAGGGCTTTAAAAATATCATACTTTCAAGTTAAAAGGGGGATCTCGGACGGTTGCAGAATGTCTTGGATCTTACAGAGATCTCCTCTTTTCTGTCAATGTATCCGATTCCGTTACATTTTTTCGATTTTGCGCCGACGCTTAGTGGATTGACTCAATAATAAAGATCGTACTAAATTCGGAAACTTTAAACGCTTTTAACTCCGCATATACAAAATTTTGAGGTTTAAAGTGATTCCATTGGTTTCCTCGTGACATTTTCTTCTAGAAATAGCCCTTGAACTTTACAATTTTTCGGAATAAAAATCAAAAGAATAGTTTTGGTCAAACATCATGTCCGACTTCTCTATTTAACTCGATCCACTGTGCAAAGTTATCGGTCGCCGATGTAGAGTATTATATAGGCGTTTAATTCTAAATGTCATGCCATCAGCTATTTTTGTCATCGAGGGAAAAATAACACTTTTGAATTATTGATGTATGTATGACCGTCGATTTGTACATACGTTTTTATGTAAATATTTGGTCTGTGAATGAAACATTTCATACTTTTTCAGGTTCACATCGAATTTTATTTGTAGTATTCCAGCAACCCTATAGACGAAAATTAAAATTCTATGAGAGGAATTTCACAAGAAGGTAAGTAAATTATTTCGCTTCAAAAAATTTCTTAAAAAGTAAATGTTAAAATACATAGGAAATTTGATCATTGCAAGGAGATGAGCTTATAATCATGCAAAATATTGATTTGTGAGAGGAACTGATAAAATGGTAAGGGCATCTTTGGAGAAATTGCAAGAATTTGCAACAAAATCTGCAAATTCGACTAGTGTTCGATTTGAATGTGGCAGACATCGATTTTTGGAAGCATGTAAGTTGAATTGACGGTCCTTGCTTTTTGCTTCTCATGGGTCAGATTAAGAAATTTTTCGATTTCCTACTGAACTTCAACGTAAAATTTTGATGAGAAAGCATGTAATGTGGTGCTTGATTCTGAAAACTTCCTGGTCTGATGGTCCACTATTCGTATCTATGGCGTATAGGGCGCGCCAGATTCGTAACTCATTACCGTTTCGTCAACCAACAAAACATCATAAGAGAAATTTGGAAATTTTGCATAGTAACTACACCGTCCATCAGTACCAGGATCGCGACTTCTTTCTGTTGTCTCATCAAACGGCTTTGGACCTCCATTTCAATTTATTTTTCACCAGCACCATTTTCCTCCCTCCATTCATGTGACCATTTAATTTTCAGGGAACCGATTGCTAGAGCAAGAGGTAACACTTCAACATTGAAATTTGCTGAGAAATACGGTTTGAACGAGCCGGTGGCAGCCAATTTCCTCACCGTAGAGACTGATGTGCCTAAGTCAACACCAGACTACTACGCTCACATGACGACTGGAGTGCCTCCCGACTGATGAGGAATCAGCATCAAAACACAAATGGAAGACCTTGCCATCTCCTCCATCCCGAGTAACAAGGAGTTTGAAAAACAGTTTAAGATAAGCAAGAGTGAAGGGAGAAAAGGGGAAAAGCCGGAAAAGAAGGATAAGTTAGGACCCTTTGCAAATCATTATGAAGACAAAGACGAGGAAAAAGAAGATTGCGAAGAAAAAGATCGAGATAAAAAAAACATGAAGAGAGAGAGAGAGTGACAATATATTATGTGATAAAAAGGGCGAAAAGGAAGATAAGATGGGAGACAAGAAAAAAAAAACGTTCTATCAAAGAATTAATTTAATTCCTACCTGTCATCATTCATGTTTTTATAGAATCCTCATGGATTTTATGCTCCAAGAATAAGACGGCCTTTTGTTGCAATATTTCTTCAGACGATAATCCTCAAAAATGATCTGACTTTCCACGAAGGTCACCCGCATATTATTTTAAATTTCGGTGTATTCAATTTTGATTTTTTTAAACCTACACTCCCTCCATGTTGGCGGGGAAACTGAAAAAAAAAATGCCTATCCCGGTTATTATATTTCAAAACCATTCCTATTTTACTTCTTAAAAGAAGACCGAACCAACATCATGGCTTGAAATATTCACAAATTATCCCTTCCATGGAGAAGAATAATCACAAACGCCTCCAAGAAAGGGGCCGGCCGATTTCCTCCCTGAAGAGAGGTTCTCGTTTCAACAATAAATAATCGATTAGAAAAATACGGACGATTTCCAACATCAATGAATGGAGATGTTGCATGTGTGAGGAATTTGCGATTTGACTATCGATTCATGTGTAAAAGTTCGCGAGAAACACGATGGTGCCACTGGTTTCCTCTGAAATCAATTCCCAAGCTCCAAAAAAGCTCTCAAGTTGAGACCAAAATGGAGGGGATATCCCGCACGCTATCCTAAGAGTCCACCTCTACATCGAGACAAACTACAAGCAGTGTTGCCGTGTTTTCAATTTTAGAGTCCCCAAATAAAGTGACAGCCCTGTCAATGTATTTGCTCCCTACCTTTGCATAGAGAGTTTGTCTTGGTGTAGAGGTGGACTCTCAGGATAGCGTGGAATATCCCCTCCATTTTCGTTTTAACTTAAGAGCTTTTTTTGAGCTTGGGAGTTAATTTCAGAGAAAACCAGTGGCACCATTGTGTTTCTCGCGAACTTTTACACTGAAATCAACAGTCAAATCGCAAATTCCTCACACATGCAACATCTCCATTATCTACCGGCTAGGGGTGCAAAATCTCTAAGATCCCTCGACCTCCTTGCAGGCTCGCGGTGTGCACTGATCGGTAACAGTGTACACTGCGGTATGTCCGGCACCGAGAAATTACGAATTTTCAACGATTGAAGCCTACAAATGCAGATTCGGGTCACCTTCAAAATAAATACTATGCAATCCCAATGCGGCCATTAACGTGGCGTTAAAAGATCGCTCGATACAGCTGCTTGGAATAAAACGGATTGAATGAAAATAAATATCTAATAATATTGATTCGGATGAAAGGTCCTGTTTTATTACAGATTATTACTAAGCATCCCACTTAAGTCGTAAGAAATGTGTTTAGTAGATCTCTCCATTAACAAGTCTTGTATAGCGTGATTCGTTACTATGCGCAGCAACAATATATAGCGTGGCGTGTTTTGCGATATATTGATTGATCTATCATTTAAATCTATGGAAAAGGATCGATAAGCAGCTGGGTGTTCGCAACGAACACCTTAATAATGGCTTCTTTACCGGAGCTCCAAATGAAGAAATAGCGATACTAGATTCTTCACGCCTCACCAATCCGCAGAGACGAATCGCACTAAACAAGACCCGGAAATGAAGGAGGCCATCCAATCGCGGTCGTCAAATTAACTCTTCATTATCTTTTCCCGCCTCGTATTCAGCATCCTCGTCTCTGCCATAATGGGAAATTGGAACGAATTCTGATCCATCTAAGTTACTCCATTTGGAAATGAAGAAATTAACAGCATGCGGATCTCCAAACTTGTATTTCCTTCCAAACTCATCGGTCGAGAATCGCCCTCGATAAGACTCAAGAGGTCTGAAACATAGTATGCATTTTTGAAAAAAGCTCTGGAAAGAAAGTTCTTGAAAGATTGGAAAATCCTGTCGAAATCCATCATTTCCTTCCAATGCTAATTCCGCAGTAATATTCCTGTATAAACTGTAATTATTTGTGTTACATGTGAAAATTTCGCGCTAGGAGCGGGGGATCTTGGACTTTACACTCTCTCCTAATTCCTTTGATCCATCTCTGAGCAGGGTCAAATATAGTTTTAATAAATTATGAATAAGCATTATAAATCACATTTAATATGATCCCCTATTTTGCCCGCAAATAAATTGTTGATTTTTGTTTTCGTCTAATCGATGCAAAGTGATTTTTAACACCTTCCAACAAATTTTGTGTGAAAATTTACATTAATTTTTGCTCCATTTTTCGTGTATATTTGACGTGAGATATGAATCATTGTCCCCAAAAATACGTAATTGGTTTAAGAATAAATTAATTTATAGTCTGATTAGTACACTATAGCTACGCTTAGAAAAAAAGAGAGAAAATAAATAAAATACTGAAAGTTATGACTTACACAGCGGGTCTTGGATGCTCATCAAATTTGGTTTTTCCCGGCTGTCTGTAAACTGTGAAGACAAAGCGATGATATCCTAAAAAAAAAACAAAAAAAAAAAAAAAAACAATTACGGACGAAAGATGAGAAGATATTCTATCTGAAAAAAAAAACCATGACTGTTTCTTGTCTTTGACCAAACGTGCCAAAACGACTCTGAGGGTGTAAGATGTTAGTCAGACATTATTTCTCTTGTTGACTACTTCCTGCATCATTACTCCTGAATGAATACATCCACAAGAATGAATAGTTCCTCTAACAATGTTTTGAATTAAGCGATAAAGACATAAGTAGATGAACTAACGACTTCTCTTAAGTTGAAAAGAGCTGACTTTGCAAGTTCAACTAAACGCGCCAACCACCGTGACGGTCCGCGCGAAAAGCACTTTAGCGCCTACGAGACTGGGGGAATACTTCTCGCATTGCGCGTTCACTACAGTGCGCGCTTCAATGTTGAAAATTCGTAATTTCTCGGTACCAAACATACCGCAGTGTACACTATTTCCGATCAGATCACACCGCGAGCCTGCAATCTTAGGATCGAGATATCGTGGATATTTTGCATCATGGCACCTGAGTCTATTATTGAGTCATTGATGTCGAAATTCGTTTGTCTTTTTATCAACTATCGTTTAACAAAAACCTCTTTACAGTGCAAAGAACGTCGGGTCCCTTGATCTTTCGTTATAGAGAGAGCTTACTGTAATTTGTCGCAACACTTTGTAACAGCGACACTCCACGACGCGACAGCAGCACAGCAGCTAGCATAACCTCTCATAGGCTCTTTACATGTACCCCTCGAGAAAGGACCCTCGATGCGTTGGACAAGGTATCAGTCAATACGATTCTTTTTTTCGACCTTTTAGACTGGAACTTGATTTATGGCACCAGTGAACAAGGTTTAAAATTTTTTTGAACGGCTCATGAAGCTTGCCTTGAAAAATATGATTTTTTTTTCCAAAGTTTTAGACCCATCCACACGTTCACGTGAATGGATTGCAATGCTACCAGTTTGTCACCGCATCCCTTTCCTCAGTGACTAAATCATTTTTAACATACCTGTGAAACGTGCAGCTTGATTTCCTAAGTATTCTCCAAGGACTTCTCCCTTATGGATGTCACAACCAGGGATGTTTACAACGAGCCAATGAAAATATTCTCTCAGAGTCGGCTTGGCTGGTCTAGGGTAGTCTGCGTCTGAGGTCAATTGTTTAGAGCGGGGAAAAAAACTTGTGAGCAAAAATTATGAGAAGAAAAAAAAACGGAAACTAGATAAATATAACCTTAGTTAAGAGGCGATTTTCTTTATGAATGAAGCTCACTTACGGTAGCCTCAAAAAACACCCCTTTAGAGATACGTCGTATGACGACTATGGCGTCATCCACCGCGGTAACGCATAACATGGTTTCTTCCATTTTGGATTCATTCGTGTTTTAAGCGCAGGAACCAGAGAAAATGTGGTGGGGCAGGGAAAATGGTGGATGACGTCATACGCCGTATTTTTAGAGGGCTGTTTTTTGAAGCTACCATGAGTAAGCTTCATTCATAAAAAAAATTGCAACGTGAATTTTAAAGGGCAGAATCTCCGGTAACATGGGAAGTCAAAACCTGGGGACGGATCTTATTGTATTCACAGATCTATAATCTGAAATAATCAAAACACAAATCTGAGGCTAGAGCGACTTACGAATTAGTGAATGCGAACTGCCAGAAGATTCTTCAACGCCAATCTTTCATTTATCGTAGCATATCTTTTTCCCAATATTACATTTCGCTAGCATTCTCTGTCACTTAACATTAAAAAAAGGAAAATTACTGACAAGGAATCTAGTAAAATTACTGTCCTTCGAAAGTTACTGCGTTAGAGAAAAAAATTTCCAATACCGGTCGTGACTCCTCGAGGAATTCCCAATAGGTCAATTAATTCTGAACTTTTTGATAGGTTTAATATTTATTAGTCCTATTTGTCCCATATGGCAAGCACGCAAAATTCAAGTTTCGCCTAAACATTGGGTTTGAATCAATGAGGTTTACGGCCGAGCTTTTGATCAAAGTATCATAATTTCAATTTTAATTTACGTCATTTAACTGACTGCGTTGCTTAGTTTTCATAGGCTGATTTCATAAGTTTTTTTTTTCTTTCTCTCTTCTTTTTTTTAATCACGGAACTAAATATTTATCGCTCAATTAGATATCCACACGTTTTTCTTGAACATTTAGTGAGAAACATTTAAAAAAAATTATTTATTCGCGGTTTTAGAGTTTGATATGAGATCCGTCATTTTGATTATTGTAATTTACTCTTAATCCTAAACCTAAGACAGCTGCTTTCCTGTCGCACTTTAAAAGAACGTAAGCTTATTTGGCGAAAACCGATGGAAATATTGTTAACAAATCACGCGAAAATTATTTAAGATGGAAGTTGATTCACCAACGGTCTTATCCTTCCCCCTCCCGACTCCCGTATAGGTAATGATAATACTACACCTGACAAAATGATTGTGTAAAAAGCGTCCTTATCGGTCGGCCATCGTAAATATGTAGGCTCTTTGGCGACTTGCGCTTTTGTTAAATTGTTACCAAAGTTCACGATTGATTCTCCATAGGCTACCTAAAGGACAACATATTTTCATATTAAGAAAGACTCAACATGTAGGCTTCGGAAAAAATGCAACCTCAGGCTTTAGATTCCGTAAAATTATCCTTGAAAGTCTCAGCTTAAGGGATATCATGCGTGTGTCATGGGATGTCACTTCCAGATGGTTCAAAAGTTATTATTAGGAAGAAGAATATGCAGATCACTTTTGTATTCTGCTTCATTTTCAATATGAAAATATTTTAAAAATGATTTTTAGTCACGATACACTCGTATAAACATTTCATGAGGTCTTTCGACGGAAATCGCACATTGTCTTTCCATTTTTTTTCCATTTGCGGGGAATTGAATGTTTACAATTTTTTTTATTTTTCGTGTCAATCCTTTTAAACAGTCAAAGCTAGTCGAATAGTCACTCCTTACTTTATTCAACTAAAAGTAAACATATTTATTTTTTCAAGACTTCAATCTTTGCCGCGGGGATAAAAACATGATAAAATAGAAAAAAAACTTCCTGCTTGGAAGGTTAGTAGTTAGGTTAGGAAAACAATACTTTCTTCAAAGAGTTTAATTATATTTTTCATAATTTTTTTCATGAGAATGACACAAATATGTTTCAAAGATTAAACAGACACACTCACATAAAACCAGTCTCAAAATATCTGAGGAATTTCAGAACATTTGCAATGATTAATAATTATTTATATTCTCACCTCTACTACATGAGATGCTGGGAGGGTGATGACGTCTGGAATGATTTTTGATTTTACCAAAATGTCTTTTATTTCTGCAGCGGTTTTCTTCGGATGACCTTCAACAGCTCCCGAGGATGCCTCAGGTCCAGTGGCTATGACATATTTATGACTCAATATCAAAAATAAAGTTTGAACTATCACTCTGAAAAGGTTTGATGAGACTTTCCTGAGTTTCATTTTATAAAGTATACGTGTTTCCTCCTGAAATTCTGAAAAAAGAAGATTTAAAATTAAAATTCTAAATCAATGAAGATGTTTATTAAATTATGTATCTGAATGTAGTTTGGTACTAACTTAACCCTCAAAAGAATAATTTTTTAATACCTTATTTTTTTAGTTTCATTTCGGGATACCGAGAGACGAGGACATAGTAAAAAAGGTCCCGAATATGTTTTACGTGGATTACAGACGGAAAAATCCTACAGTCATCTTAGAACATCTTCCGGATATTAGCGATACCTAACAGGTTGCATTCCAAAATGCAGCCTGCAGTTCAAACTTAAAAAAATATGGAAAGTTAACGTAAATTATTGCCGTGTCTTCTTAAGCAGACATTTTATCTTAAATTTAGACTGACTTACTCGATCTTAAATGTTTGGGGTGATATCGATGTTGGGTATTGCATATTCAGATACAAGAGGACATTGAAATTATTTAACAACCATTGGATTATTGCCTTTAAAAGTAAAATGTGCATTAAAAATAATGTTCATCCACACAGTTAAAAAGGAAACAAATAAATAGAGTAGGACACTTTTTCTTCAATCGAATACAAAAGTTTTATCTTCTCAAATCACTTTGAGATTTTGATAAGCCTGGTTTTACGACGCTCATCACTCATTTATTATTCATATTCTTCATCTTCCTCTCGTAACTCTTTGACTACGGATGTGCGCGCTCTGTAAATTCTCGCCATTATTTTTGCAAGGATCATCCATGACCCCAAAAGATTGAATACCTGTGCTGGGATGCCATTTAGAAAATTCTACCAAAGGAAGTCTTAAAAACATTCATTCTAAATATTTTAATTTAAATTTTTGGTAGACATTTTTCTTGTCAAAATCTGGTGTTTTTCCTTTCACTGTAACTCCGAAAATATATAAAATTTTGTTTGGGTGGATGGAGGTACACTGCAATGCTACAGGAGAACGCCGTATGAACCGCCAGACGTTGCCAAATTTCCTTAGATAGACAAATCGAAAATTTCCTGAAGAATTTTTAAAGATTTTCCTCCTACTTTTCAGAAAGTTTTGCGCGTAATTTGATCTAAGTCTCTGATGATTTCAAGGAGAATTATTCATGACTCTCATAAAAAATAAATATTCCCTAGGAAGAAACTTGGCAAAATAAGAATGTTCATATGGCGGTTTTCTTTAGTATGAAAGACAGTGGCATGGCGTGCTTTGCGATATATCGATTGACCTGCCATTTAAAGTTATTAAATAGGATCGATGAAGAGGTTGTTTGCAGCGCACACTTTAATAATCGATTCTTTACCATTGCATCAAATGGGGAAATATCGATAATCGATCATTAACGCCACGCCATTGCATGCAGATTAGTCCCAAGTGGACATATTTTCACACCTAGGGTCACGCGCGGTCTTCTTTCATATTCGGAGCCTATTCTCATATCCCACCCATTGCTATTGTTAAATTAGACTACATTTTGGAAATAAAAACTACAAAATCTCGCTCATCCGGGAAACACATAATATGTGAATTGGGAAAGTAATGGTACGACTTACGTTGTTTCAAATTGGACTAGATATTGTAAATCCTGTAGTTCCCTGTCCCCTTGCAAAATGTAGTCCAACTCATATTTGTTTCATATTGTTCACGATATTTAGTTAGAAAATTTAAAAAGGGGTACCAGGTATCTACTCGGCGAGGCAACCCTCTTTGACAATTGATTACCGTTGAATTTAAGAACCTTGAATCATTAGAGGTCAGCGCGGGCCCGCCACATCCCATCTCGGGCCCTGGTACCAGTTTTAAGGTCCGGGCCCCAAGCACGGGGNGGGGGTCCGAGGGGCATCCCCCGTGAAATTTTAGAATTTAAACGACTAATCGGACGCATTTTGAAGCTTCCTTAAAGAATTTTTCCATCAATTTCTGCGGAATAATTATGTGTTTTTTTTTTCCTACTTTCAGCGCAAAATACCTACTTGCGAATTGTTGCATTCAAAACATCTGGAAAATGTTTATTTTTTTTTTTGGAAGGGGGGGCGCATATGATACTATTTTCAGTTCTAAGAGGGCCAGGCCCCCCTGGACTCCCCCTTCGTTTGTCTATGGCAAGGGAGTTGAGCCATGAGCCATTAAAGTCGAGGATGCCCAGAATGGAGACTCTTAGCATCTGACGACGGAAGAAAATGAAACAGTTACTAAAAATATCCCTCTGTACTGAAAATCTTGAAAATAGATAGAAATTTTCCAAGAAGTATACTTCTTTGAAAATGTAAGAGGAATTCTACAGTGCCCCAGCGTGTTTCTGAAAATCTATTCACCTTTTGCGAAATTTTTAGGGTAAATTTTTCACCTTTTCTTAAGAAACAAGGGTTGCATGTGAATTCGTAGTGGTTTTTCACGGGTAACATGGGCCCCCTCCGGGACCCAGGCCGCGGTACCAGGGACCCAGTATCCCCGCCTTGTGCCGGGCCTGCCTTCATGCACGTTGTGCTTGTCGATTTCCTTTGACATTTTTGCAGTGGTGAATGCATAGCTGAAGTGCGCTACAGCTAGAATTGTATATAGCAAATGGGTAATTTTTATAGGAGGATTATAAATAAACAGTGGTTAGAAATGAAAACAAACGAATATGAACCATGCAAAACACAGGTTCTGATCCGGGTATTAGAACTTGGCTGTTTTGAAAACGCCTTCAAATGCGGCGTGATACCTCACGCATTCCGGAGAGTTCAAATAGTTGTATCATTGCGCCGTAAGAATGTGACGGAAGATTTAAATGGAGATAGCCTCTATGCACGCTGGGCTCGTCGATTTCCTTTGACATTTTTGCAGTGGTGAATGCATAGCTGAAGTGCGCTCCAGCTAGAATTGTATTTACAAATGGGTGGTTTTTCTACGAGGATTAAAAATAAACAAGTGGCACGGAATATAACAAAAGAATATGAACTATGTAAAACGATAATCCGGGTATCGGAACTTGGCTGATTTGAAAACGCCTTCAAATGCGGCGTGATACCTCACGCATTCCGGAGAGTTCAAATAGTTGTATCATTGCGCCGTATGAATGTGACGGAAGATTTAAATGGAGATAGCCTTCACCGTCAGCGCAATTTATCTTGGGGCTAAATCATTCATCACCATGAGCAGGCTATAAACTTTGGCTGGGTTAAAATCTAGTCAAACGCAAAACGCAATCATGTAAGAGATTAACGGGTGACTTGATACAAATTTTTCAGTCAATCAAGAGTCACCTTTGAAAACTGATGATTGATACGTAAAAACTTTTTATTGCTGCACTTTAGTGACCTAGAAAAAGTGCCGGCGCAATATTCGCAATAATTGTGCGCTGGAATCCGTTTAAACAAGAGGCTCTCAAAGAGTTGCAGAACTGTTTTCGCGACCTAATTTTGGACTGCGTCTTCATCGAATGCGCTCACAAAATGTATATAGTTTTTGCTAGTCCTTCTTTTTCAAAAATAATTCGAACAGCACTTCGTCTAAGTTCTATGTTGTTCCACGCAGGCGGGTTTTAAGTATATAATATACCGATCAAAATCGACTCCTTAGAATCCCTTATTTACTTTGCTCATTTACAGCCTATGGAGAGGACTGTACCCTGCAGGTTAAAATTGCCTTGACGCATCAGTGGGACAAAGAGAACGATCAACAGAGGGTCCTCAGAGAACTCGACTTGTGGAAATAAAAAGTTAGGTACATTTATTTTAATATATTTAAACATGTTTGCACATAAAAGGAATCCGAATAATTACTTCTATGTGCTGTTTACATACAATTACACAAATTACCTCTTACTTGTTTTTCTTTTTTTAAAATTACAAAACACGCGCAAGAGCGTCGCATGCCCCTCTCTCGGGAACTTCTCGTAAATTACATTTCTCTTGTGAGATTGTCAGCGATTTCTCATAGATTTTCGGATTTTCTCTCTTAAATCTTTGAATGAAAGTACGTGATTTTTTTTGACGGCACACAATGAGTATGTAGATCAGGAAGGTAGATTAAGCAAATGGCTGGTATATGAACTCATCGCTACAAACACATTCGTTCTCCCCAGTTCTTAACAGTATACGCCGAAAGATTATCATATCGGCCCTGAAACCCTTGCTGGTCTACTTTTAGAGATGAAGTACTGTTATCAAAGATCGCAGCCCACATTTTAAATCTAAAATTTATCAAAACGAAGTTTCATCTGGTGTTTGATCTATGTCCCACTTTTAAAATCCAAAATTCCCGCATGGGTCTAACTATTTCAAAATGGCTCTTTTTAGCTTTAATGCATGATGCTCATTGCTCACACCCTCTCAGGTATAAGGATCAACAATAATATGGATTAGGTGACATTTGTTTCATTAGGGGAAAATAAATCATACGAATATACGAGTTACTTTCGGTCCGCCATAAATTGGCCGTCTTTTCACCTTTATTCTAGCATGCCACCGTCATAATTAATTTTTCACTGTTTGCTTAGTATTCATAATTTTTTGGGACAATTCATTTGAATGACCATGTCATGGCCTCAATCTACGTCAGCCTCGAAATCATCGAAGAAGTCTTTTGTCGTGAGCCATGCTTCGTCACCAGGCAAAGGCGTGACAGTCATTTCCCAGTTGGCGGTGAAAAAGTTGATGGCAACCGGTCCTGACAAGGAATGATTCTTCGCAAACTGTTCACTGTTAAATTCGCCTCTCAGCGCGTCTATTGGTCTGTGACAGAAGATCAATCAACGCAAAATTTCGCAATCAAATATATCGTGGACGGTATGCAGGTAAATTAAGCGCACGCACAAACATACGCTCATTTGAATCAAGAATAATTTTGTTTCGGCAAATTCTTGATTCAAGGTCACATTTTTAGGACGGCAGAACAATTTATGATGCGACAAAAAATTTTTTGGCATAAATGAGAGGCCGGTCGATTCTGAGTAATGTTTCAATGCTGCCGTGCTAAAGAAGAACGCCGTATGAACCTTCGAGAGTTGCCAAATTTCCCATGATAAAATGTATATTTTTACAACATTCATGCATATTTTTCCTTGAAATTTTCAGATATTTTAGATTAAACTGCGTACAAAATTGTCTGAAAATTTTGGAGAATAATATTCGCAATTTTTCCAGTAAATTCGGTTTGTACTGCAGGAGACTTGGCAACGTCTGAAGGCTCATACGGCGTTTTTCCGTAGCACGGCAGAATGAGTATTTGCGTATGAGTGCTGAGTGTTACTATTGAGTATTATGTATGGGTTTTGCGAGCTTTGTCATAATTTGGTATCTTAAAGTGTTGTTCCACATATTTTACTTATTTTTGAAGGACAATTTAAAACGAGCTCCAATGAGTAGAAGATATACGCGCTACAGAAGGAATGATTTATGATCTGATGAAAGTCCAGGAAATATTCATAGTTCCTTACCTGTCATCTCTATGTTCCCAATTGAATTTCATTCGACCTTTATCTTGCTTGTAAACGAGGAATACATATCTATGCGTACCTGCACAAAAAAGAAAAAAAAAGAACGTAATACATTTCCTTGCAAGATTGAACGGTTAAATTATTTTTTCTCCATTGTATCTCGCAGTTGGTAACAAAATGGGAACTTCAATGACTCTCATCTAGTCTGCTACATATTTTAATTTTGAGAAATTTCCCATTTGCTTCTCGTTGAGTTGCTGTTTTTTTTATAATTTCCAAATGAAAGGCATGCACTAATTATTATTTTTTGTCAAAACATCAAGAGCAATTATTGCATTAATACCATAACGCCTCGGAGTTTGAAACGATATGGCGAATGTTCCTTACGTTATATGTATGCCATTCAATTTTTACATTTCTTTTTTCGAGATAACCATACAAATAAAGGAATAAAACATAATCGTTAGATAATGCAGACTTGCATTTTCGAAATGAAACGTAAGGAACATAAGTTTCTTTGATATCTTACTAAATTTTATTCCGAACCTGCATAAGTGATGGGCAGAGGAGTTATGTATTCAGAGAGTGTGACACCACCTCGTACATGACAACCGGGAATGTTGCCAACGATCCAATGATGAAATTCCCGTTGATAAGGATCGTCAGGTGTTGGTGAGTCGGGGTCTGAAATTCAAGCAATCAATGCTTGTAGAATACAAATCTGCCAGATAAAAGAAATGGTGAAACGGAAAAGAGATGGATTGGAACGAAGACGTTGCTTAAAAAAGGAGAATTAAGCTAATAAAATTGAAGGAAGAATGAAAATTGAGGGGCTTGGAGGGCAAGGTACATGAGTGCAGTTTTTGCTATTTCGAGATAAACGTGTTTCAAATATCGAAACTACATGGATCCTTACGGCGGAAAGGAAGTTCAAACTACTTTTTAATGCTTAAAAGTTAAAATTTGGGAGCGAATGTTTCACAGAATATGCATTAAGATTAGTTTTGTGGGAAATCATGAATATCTCAATTTTTTAAAAAACTGCACCTATGCGCCTTGTCCTCCAAGCCCTTCAATTATAAGAGGAAATATGCTTAGCAAGTAATTCCTTTGCGGCTATTTTAGAAGAAAAGACATTAACGAAGATTGTTGAATTAATTGCACTTTTGGCTCAATGCAAACCAGAGAAAAAAGGAAAATGGACTGTCTATCAAGTCTTCTAAACTATGAAACAAAAGCATCATTTCAGTTACACAAGGATACTCTTTTATATTGAAACGGAGGAATCTGCTTTCCTCCGTTTTTCCCGTTTTGTCTATTAAGCACAAAATATAGATTCAAAATGTAAGTTTTGGTTTTCTTCCCGTATTTACCTGTCAAAATAAGGGTGTAAAATGAATCCTTTTCACAAGGCCACTCAACTTCCACTGGTGGATGCTCTAACTGCAAGCACGAGTACAAAGTGCCCATGTGCACTGTTCTTTGCTTGTCGTACGTGACCTGTTAAGCCAAGCATTTACAAAAATCTATAAATTGGAATCACGGAGAGCTTTTGAGCATATACTTAACAATGTTTCACAAATAAATGAAAAGTTTAATTTTTATACCATTGCAATGAAGTAAATTGATAATTCCAAGTTACTATAAGCTTGATTTGATTAAAACCAGTCAGATGTGTAACAATTTCGTGCACACTATCTGTCAATGGACGTTTCACGCGATTTCCGTGATTAGTAATTTGGCTCTTTTCGCTCATAAAATAAGCACCCAAAAATCGCACTATTCCGCAACGCTGCCACATACAAAGAATATGCTTAGTTAGAGAGTGAGACGGAGTGGTAGGTACAAGTACCATATTGAAGCAAAGGACCACTTTAAATGGAGGTAGACTGGGAAATTACCATTTTAAGCATATCTATATTGAAATTCGTATTTGCATTTGCGGGTGCGTGACGTTAAAACTATGCACGCGTATACGCCTCTCCTCCAGAGGAGCGTCTGGTGACTTCAGTATCAAAATCTAGGCTGAGGATTGGTTTAAAAAGTCAAAATTTATAGTCAGTATCTGACTAGTCAAATAACTAGCGACAACACTTTTTATCTTGGACATTGAAATGGTGTGCTCCGGCTCTCTTAGAGACAACGCCTGCACGCAACTATTCGTGCTCGAGGGATGTCTGCGTTGCATATACACACAATTGCAGGCGCTCCAGTATTCCTAATTGCAAATCTCAGCTACAGCTACATTTGACCTTGCCTAGCTTAGCTTTCAAGCCGCCGAGCATCACAGCAGCGTTGTCAAATATAGGGATTAAAAGAAACGGCATTGGCAATGAAATGCGGAGTTTATATCCACAATGATGGTGCGTGAAAGATTCCGGTAGAAAATTTTGAGGAAATCCCATGCACTAGCCCGCGATATTTCAACAAAAATTACTTCTCTTAATAATTTCTGAACGAGAGTTGATTGAATAGCCATAACCTCCCCCCCCCTCCCCCATTACCACTACCAAAACCACCACCGCCACCGGAGCACATCAGAGACTTTAGCGTATATCTAAAAGTCAAACACACCGTTTTTACCTAAAAAGTAGGAGTGATTGATGTGAGTATGAACCTATGTCACAGAACACTGCAAAAAAACACATTGGATCTATAGTCCAGACTCTTGAAAACATTGACAAGAAAAAATACTCTTGATTCAATCAGATTTTTGCTTAAATCAAAAGGAAATCCGCTCATATTGATAGGCTTGGTTCTTAATTTAAGCAAAAATCCGATTGAATCAAGAGTATTTTTTCTTGCCAATGTTTTTAAGAGTCTGGACTCTAGATCCAATGTATTTGGCTTTCCAGTGAAGGTATTCGCCCTGCTTATCTTTGGCGACAAAACGAAGGCAAAAAGTTGAACTGAAGCTCACCAGATCTTGGAGAGATAAATGGAATTTGTGAATATAAAAAAACGCTACTTAATTTGTATGCATTAGATATTTTAAGTCAACTCTTCCTCAAAACTGAAACACGAAGGGTGTAGAGAAAAAGAAATACAAGAGGAAGAGAGGTTAGGAATGGTAGCCCGAAACGTATAGGACAAAAACACAAAAAATAAGTGGGAAACAAGGTTAAAATCAATATACACAATATATTCAGGACGTTTCGGCTAGTCACCCGAGCCTTCATCAACCGCTGAAACACAAATAAAAAATTAAAACTAAGGCTAAAAAAAACCACTACATTAAAACGCGGGTGATCAGCCCATACGGAAATTTGGACTGATCTACAGATCAGTATAGATCAGTCCTAATTTCCGTATGGGCTGATCACTCGCGTATAGATCAGTATAGATCAGTCCTAATTTCCGTGTGGGCTGATCACACGCGTTTGAATGAAGTCGTTTTTTTAGCCCTGGTTTTAATTTTTTATTTGTATTTCAGCGGTTGATAAAGGCTCGAGTGATCAGCCGAAACGTCCTGCATATTGAGTTTATTGATTTTAGCCTTGTTCCCCACTGATTTTTTTGTGTTTTTGTTGAAAACAAAATATTGTGTAGAAGACTTTTAATTACCTGAACTAAATTCTTGGGAGATTTGAGAAGAACGTCAGGAATGATTTTTGATTCTCTCAACTTCTTCTCGATTTCTTTTGGTGTCCAATCCGGCCCAAACACCGGTCCAATTGTACGAGGAGGTTGTCGAGGAAATTTACTCTCGGACCATGTTGTGCCACCATCATAATCAAAGATTGTAGTTCCTTCGGTAGTTCTGTTGGCAACGGTGCTTACATTCGAAGGATATCGATCCGCTATAGTTGTATTTGTGCTTTGGTGAATGGTGCTCTTCGGTTGCCGGCCTCGGCGCATTTCAGCGACCGTTGACGTTGAAATCGAAGTTGTTGTTATTTTTGTAAACGAGCATACATTGACAATGATGAGAGAAACTTTAAAGGCGGCTCTTGATCGCATTTTGTATCTCCTTTTTCGGGCTTATCCCTGCAGGATGCTTTCGCCTACTTGCGACACAATTATTTTAGACTTCAGGCTTCATTTTTCCTATTTTTATCCAGTGTCCCAAATCAAGCTTTCCTCTTTAGAAATGAACCAATTGCACTCACTACTAACGGTATGAAGTGTGAGCATGCGTATATGGGCCGTTGTTCTCTTATACCTCCAATTGGTGAAGAATGCTTATTTCATAAAAAATATCAAAAGATTTCATTTCCTTTAAACTAGCAAAACAAAATCAAGGTAATTAGAAGAAAGTCGTCTAATATACACTTCACCATACATAAATACAATATACCATGCTACTCGTAGAATATGGTCATATTACGCAGCATACGTTGAACGTAAATTTGTATACTGTTGAGATATAATTACTTACAACACAACAGAAGGGCTCCTCAAAAATTCTGAAATCGGCATAATTCACGAAGTCTTTGGAGGCTTAACCTATACAGACGATCATTTTGATGGGTTACAATTTATGTGACCCTAGCGAACTTTGCTATCTAAATGGGCGTATTTCTGCCAAACAGAACTACGCGCACTAAGAAATGAGCCCTGAGACCCATAAGAGTATTATGCATAACAGAGCTCAAGTCATAATGCTCGTAGTTCCGTTTGGCAGAAATACGTCCAAGTTATGCATACGTAATAATGATTATTATCATCTTGCTCGATCAATTATCGGCTTTGAAAAAGTCTATCAGTTAACCAAATCACATTTTAACTTGTCAAGTCCAGACAGCTGTGTTGGTTTTTTGAAAGGGTTAGAAACAGGTGCTTTCATGGGGGTAATTTCCATTGAGGGCATTTTGAATATTTCTTGCGCAAACAGTTTTGAATCCAAAGGAGCTCTCGAAACTAGGAGCTTGCTTGCCATCCTTTCGTTTTCTTTATTTCCCTTCTGATCTATTTCACCGATGACTGAAGAGTTGCAGCTCGGCTTGAAAGAGGCGGTGTTAACAGTCATGTTCAACTGATTTAGATCAGCTCCTTTGGCACGATTATCCATCGATAAATCCAATACTGAATCCATGTCCTTGGGCGCAGTTTCTTGGGGCGAAGTATTAATTGACAGATCCTTCGCCGCAGGAGGAGCTGAATCGAAAAATGGATTTCAAGCTCTGGGATCACGCAACTGAAGAAGACTAAGAGAGGGCTTGAACCTGGGTGGTGTTTCAGCTAATTTCACAGATGGCATGTCAAATATATTGATAAAATTCCGTGCATCCAAGTCAATGTTTAATCTTGCACGCTGAGTTTCTTGCTCATTTTTGACTGGTTTAGACATTTGATTTGATTTAGAATTTGGACAATTTAGACTGTTAGACCCTAACACATTTTTTCCTTGAGAAGGCTGATGAGGTGGTTGACTGTTCAGGGTCGTTGTGTTCCCTCTAAAAATGTTGGTAGATGTTTGTTTCAATGGCTCATTTGATTGGCTCCACGGCTGATTGTTGCCACTGAGGTACAGATTTGAGAACTTCTGTTCCGCCCTCACAACAGGGGTGTACAGAGAATCTTCAAATTCTGCTGGTTTCGTTTGTTGCTTTTCCATTAGGTTCAGGTCACGAGAGATTGAAAGACTGCTACTGTCTTCTCTTGAATTATTGCCCGAGCTATTTTTTTCGTTTTGTGGTTCCACCACATCAGTGGAGATTCGAAATGGATTTATCGTGTGTCTCCTCTTACCCAAACGACTTTTGAATTTTCGTGTGCTAAAGGAAAATCTATGCTGGGATAATATGCATAGAGTCCCGAGGAGTCGCCTGTTGTGGAGAATTGCTCATCTGTCTCCTGGTCTGATAAATTTCCATCCTGGGATTTAAAATTCGTTTCCATGATTAGGCTGTTTCCTTAGTACCTAATAATGAAGTCCATGTACTTTTTCTGCCATCTGTTAATAGTCTTGATTGGGATAGTCCCCAACTAGAAAATGCGTAAGGTCTCCAATTCTGTTCTTATATTAAGTTATAAACTTCCAACCAGCTTTTATCCGGATAGGTGCCAAAAGCTTATCTTCGTGCTTCCGACATTGTCTTTGTCAGTAGGGCACTTACGTTAATTACTGTTTATAAGTAAACGGTAAATGCGATTTAACCGAAAATCTATACAGTTCTTCATAAGACCAAAATGGACAAAATTACAAAATTTGAAGAGGCTAACGTAAATCTAACGATAGTTATCGTGAACGAAAGAATTGCTGATATAGATCGGGTAACTATTATAGGTGGGATACTTTAATTACATTATTGTTTAGATTTTTAATGTTGAATTCAAAATCTTTATCCTTATCAGGGATATTATCAGAAATATTCAAAATGTTTTGAATGTCAGTGACTTCCGAGACTCTTAATGGAGGTGGGGCAACATTCTTTTTGGAAGGTGCTTCCTTATTGGCTGAATCAGCATTAACCCCTTGTTGCACGGTGGTATAACTGTCTTACCACTTTGATTTTTAATTTCTATATTGCTGCCACGGTGGTAAACGAGCTCAACTATTTCACCAAAGGGTCCAGTAAACCTCCCTTAGTAACCACTAAATGGCATAGGCATTCATTTCCATGAAATCTTAAGGCTGCTGCATGTTTTGTTGTTGATAAACACTGTGAGTTCTGATGAAGTAGTCACAGAGCGTTCAGACGTGCACTTTACCGAGCCCTCTTATCAAGTTTAATCTTGATAGTGTTTCGTGTCAGTTAACCCACAAAGTGTTGCTATATCTGATGTTTTTATTGTGTAAAAAGTAAAATGCCACAGCGTAGTGTACCCAGTTGCCACATACCTCGGTGTGGCAACATGGAATCCCATGTGACTTCTCAGGCTGAGCCTGTTCAACCGCAGCCACACCCTGAAAGTGCGGAGAGCGACGTTTTTCATACACCATTAAAATCTACTTCCAAAGGACCTATCTTACCAGACGTTAAATTAAATGCGGTCTCTGTAGTTAGCAATTTACCCCAAGCATGTAAAGACCCAATAAACGTGGCGATACGCTAAATCTAAATCTAAAGTAATGACATTAAAATCTACGGCGAATCAAGTGATACAAGTTTTTGAGTCACTTAAATCAGAAAATGAACTTTTAAAAGCTAATCTAAGTGACATGGTGAAACGTCTCAACAATTTAGAGACACAACAATCTTCAAGTCCTGTTAAAAAAACGTGTTTAAACCTCTTCTAATCGGAATTCTAACAGTAATTTAGAAAATTCTAGTAATGCCATCGCTACTAATTTATCAAACAAGTTTGATGTTCTCGCGAGTGAGCGTGACCAGACTGACGATCCAGATATGGAGATAGAGGACACTGATGATGAGGAAGACCTTATCGTAGCCCAGGAGACTAACTGGATTGTTAAAAGAAATCGCAGAAAAATAGAGGCGTTCCCTGCTCTGCCGTCAACAGCTCCAATTAATGGAGTAAGAAAAACAATTCTACTTCTCCTCCATATGTGAAACAAACAAGTTCACAAGATTCCAATTTGGCTAATTGGCCAAAACGAAAATTTCAAACAGTGATTGATACACATTTTTCTGACTCGAACAGCCAGAAGAATAAAACCAATCCTACTAGCAGTGAATCAGTTAATAATGGTTCATGCATTAAACTATGAGAAGGAAAATAAATTGACTATCATACACTCCGCGACCAGGACGAATCTATGTTGAACCGCAGAAATAATCAATTTGTGAAGCACATTTGGGGTAAATAAAATTAAGAAAAGGAATCGCGAAGGCGGCAAAATCATTCACACACTCGTTTTTCCAAAAAACTAACTATGGTGACCGCGTCATTCGCCTGATTGTCAACCCTCTGTCGTGCGCTCCGCTGAACAGGGTTGGGTGAAGATTGAGGTGGCGGCGGTAGTGGGGCCTGTTGAGGGCCTTCGGCCGAGGAGCTGGCCGATGCTGCCGTTGCGGGTTGGGTTGGTTCAAAGACCTCCGGTCCTCCCAACGGGTTTAGCTGGTGTGCTAGGCCTTCGTTTGCTTCCTCGTCGTCCTCTAAGGTTACGACGGGAGGAGTTCTTTCGGGAAGCGGGCTGGTTTGGGTTCCGCTGTCCCTGTGTTGGAGACATTCAGGGTAATCCTCGTTTCTTACTGCCCGTCCGAGGATTATCGAGGCGAGCTTTTGCTGGTTCTTGATGAGCTCGTCGAGCAGCGGGTTATCAGCTTCCATGAAGTCCTTCTAGGAGTATGTCCTGACTTTACTCCTAAGTCGGGTGAAAGAGGCGCGGAGTCTCTCGACAATTTTGACCCCTTTATCCACTAACTCGAAGGCCTCTTGGGCTTCGGCTTCTTTATCGTAATGTCTTTTCTGCGGGCTTGGTGAGTTGGTAGACAGCGAACTGTCGGAGTGCCTGCGCCGGGACCTTTTCCCGGGTGTGAGACTTTCAGACTTGGAGCGGGGGAGGTCGTTCGAGTTTGACCTCCTGATCCGCTCCTCAAGGCAGTGATCCGATGTCTAGGGATTTTCCGGAATTTTTAGGGATCTAGGGATTTTCCAGAGAATCTAGGGATTTTTTTGATGAGGTAAAGTAAGCAAAAATCGACTTTTTAACCTCAATTCTAGCCTCGACCATCGAAAATATTTTTTCATCTATATGTTGTAGGCGCCTTTTCGGCAACACTATTTTCCCCGTAAATAAGCCGGAAATTAAAACGATTGCATCACTCGATGTACTTGACATTCAACTGCATTCAACAGTAGAAAAACAATAATAATAAGAACTCAACTAATATTCTTTCATTTTTTTGGTCTGGATTAGCACTGCTTTCAGAGAGCGGCAAAATTCAAACGAGGCAATCAGATTTAAATATTGCAAATCGATATATCGAATGACGTTCGTTATTTCGAATTCTACGTTAAAAATGGCGGCTTTTTACAAAATCTAGGGATTTATTGGGGGTATTTGAGCAAATCTGGGGATTTAGGGATTTTTAGCGAAATCTGGGGATTTTTTTTCTTCCCCACTAGGGATTTAATATCGGATCACTGCCTCAAGGTGTATTATTTCCCTGGTCACGGTCCCTTGGGGGGTGCCGCAGGCCGGGGAGCCGGTTTAAGCTTTTTCCCTGCCCTGCGTCCGCTGGGTAGGGGTGCTCGGGGTGCTGTCTCTGCGTTCCGTTGATCGTGAACCGTTGTTCGATATGCCGTCAAGGTTTTCTGCATCGTTGCTGAATGAAGACCTGAGAGGGGCCGATCCATTGTGGACCCCAGTAACCTCCGAGCCAGAGTTTCCTTCATAAAAATTATGAGATATGTAGTTAATTACAGGGGTAATATTTGCAAATATACAATGCTTGAACAAAATCGAAGTATGTACACGAGCAGCAAGGGTAGCTGCATCTCTGTCATTCTTTGGAGACCATATTTCTCATCAAAGAGCCGTATGCAAAAACGACATTTTTCGCCCCCCCACTAAAACTTATTCAAACTTCGTCTATCAGTTACTAATACTGGAGCGCTTCTTTCCCCAAATTTTCNTAAATTCTAGTGGGGGGGCGAAAAATGTCGTTTTTGCATACGGCTCTTTTTGACAAACTTCTCAATCTTCTTAATGTCTTGCATTATCTGCGTCTTGTGCTGTACACAAACTACATTGTCAGATATTCTCAGGTCTAAACACTGTTCATTGTGGTTGTACTTCATTGCATATCGAATTTTCATTGGATTCCTGAGGTATAAACTAAAGGCTGTTTTTTTCAAATTCGTCCCACGTCTTTCTGCACACCATTTTGATTACTAGACAGTCGCTTCGCCGACTATAATAATACTTTGTATTTATTATGAAGTAAAATTCACTGAGGAGATCTACATCCGACAGAGGATTGCGTTGCATTAGTTAGATCACATTAAAAAAATAAAACAGTTCTCCAAAAATCGTATTTAACAGAAAGTAATCGAACACCTCAAATGATAAACAGTTCTAATGCTATGTACTTTATGTTTGTTTTGCTGACCTGTTCTAATAATAGTTCGTTTATTGGTGAAAGGTATGAGAGTATTTCGACTTGAAGGTTGCATTCCACTGACGAGGAAAAATTGGCTTTTTTGGCTCGAAATATTGTGAGTGGATTGCTCAATCACTATTTATACACCTAATCCAAAATAAAAGTAAAATGAACGATTCGATGTGTCAATGGGGAGACGTAGCGCCTTATATAGCGGGTCTTTATCAAGTGACGTATGAAATATCTCTTCAAATACGTCTTTATCACTCCTTGATGGAAGCCGATCTTTTATCAGTCTTGTCATGCCAAGTTGTTTGAGAAAAGTTAAATCATGATGCCCAATCGGGTCTCTTTCATATTATTAGAGTGACAATGAAATTTCTTTTTGAAAAAGAAAAACCCATGCGCATGTTCCATCAACCCGAGGAGATTTTTTTTTATTGATAGGCATAATTGTTTAAAAAGTGCCAAATGTTAACATACACTGATTGTCAGCCGTTGGAGTGAATATTTTGCAAGTTGGGTGCGAAAAGCTTTTAATTGTGAAATAAATAATTTGATATGGATTTGAGCTTACTATTGTTTGTAAAAATAAAATGAAAATCTGTTTACTTCCTCTTGAGGTGGCTTAGGATACTTCATTACTCAGTAAAAATGCGTGTATATTCCTACGTGAAACACAAAACTGATTAGACTTGAATCAGTTTTGTAAAATAAGTTTCCTAACGTGAGTATTATAAAATAAATTAAAGGGATATTTTAGAAATATATATGCGTAAGATTTCTACCGCTCATATGTTGCGATAAATCCACTCTGCGCGGTTTTACTGGCTCTTCTACTCCGATTGAAAGGTCAGTACTGACTTTTTTTATTAAGGTCGCAAAATTTTCAAAGATGTATTATCCGTTTTTTCCATGATCAAGAAAAGTAAAATTCGTTAGTGGTTTCATCTGCCCTTATATCCAAAAGTGCAACCCCTGAATTTTATCCCTTTACTGGTAAAACGCTGTTGTGCTTTAACAAATCGCCAGCCTTTGGACGTTGCCAAATTTCATTCGATCAATTCGAAATTTCGGGGAATCTTCTAATTATTTTCCCCTAATTTTTAATTAATTCTTTTCGCAATTTTATAGAAAGTATCTGAAATTTATATGAGCAGAAATATTCGCATTTTCGGTGAAAATTAAATATTTTATCCGGTGAAATTAGGCAACTTCCAAAATTGCATGTGGCAGTCTAATAGCTTCTGACTGTTGACCATCATTTGAAGGATGGAATTACGGTGACGTAGAGTTGACGATAAACTATTTTCCGTAGATTTTATCCTGTATTCCTTTCTTTAACTTTCGTTCAACCCAAACACTTGATACATATCGTTGTTTCCTAGACGAAATAGCGTAATTCTTGCCGAACAATTCAACGATTGAAAGTTTTTCTCTAGAAGAATGGACGAAAATTCAAGTATCTTGTACTATTCTTCTAACTTGGGTCGCGCTTTGTCACTTTTGGCGTCATCCTCAGGCATGTCAGGCTGTTGCGGTTCCAGTCGCGGTCGAGGATGACGGCACGGGTGAAACGCCTCCAAAGTTTGAAAAATAGTACTGGTAAGATTAATTTTCGTCTTTTTAGAAAAAAAATTTGTACCGTAAGTATACTTAAAAACTCTCGGGAATTTCTAAACGAGTAACTGAAAATTTTACCGTACTTTCGTCAAATCACATGCGGAAATCAGCAAAAATTTGAACAGAGATTGTAGAGTTATATTCTCGTAAAAAATTAAATGGTTAGTTCTGTAACATTGGAATGGGACTGCACTCCTTCGTATTAGAAATTATAAAGTGTCTTTCAAACTTCAATCTAATTTCTGTGCAGTTACCTATTTAAATGTACACATTTTTTTCATATTTTACAGGTTATTCAATATGTGCATAACAAAACGAAGGAGATTTATTTGGGCTCTTTTTCAAAATATTGAGAGCAATGTGTTATTTTTTAGTTGTTCACTTTTCCTAACTTCAGTTCTAAGTAGCAAAAGTCCTGAGAACTGTGGGGAACATCCCGAGAAAACACCAGAAGAAATAAAAGACATATTAAAACATTGGAAAATCATTCCAGACGTTATTCCCAAATCAGCTCCAGGAATCGTAAAGGTGAGACTGATAGAGCTTGTGATCAATGCCTCTCTGTGTCACCTCTTAAAATGAAGATTTTAGAACCTCTCAGAAAGTTAAAGCATATCTTTGATACTTTTCAGCACATACTTTTTAATGAAATTTCATCCCAAAAAACTGGAGTCAAAACTGTTTGAACGAATCGCTTTCACAACGCACCAGGGTACTTTGCGTCACCTAACCGCCACTCGAATCTGTGTATTTAGAGTTTTCCGGAAGCTAGCTTCCACCCATCGCTTTTTGGATGACAGCCATACATCTTTTAGTAGCCCTCAAAAAAAAACTTCCTAAAATAGTGATGAAGGAATACGCGCAAGTATCGACAAGATTGTGTGTAATTGATGCAGGCTGCCATAAAATTTAATGTGGAGTTGTTCACCAAAATGATGAATTTTAATTTGTCTAGGTTGCATATGGGGAAAAAATTGTTAATTTTGGCAATAATTTAACAAAGACCGAAACTTGGAATCCTCCAACTTATGTACATTGGGAAACTGAACCGGAATGCTTTTACTGTTTAATAATGGCAGGTATGTAAATTATTAACGAACAAGCATATTACCGTGTGCAATGCAAAAAATTGAATCTTAACAGTAAATCAACATTTTGACAGGGTTATAGGACATTTCGTCAACGATTTTTTGTCCGCGCACCTGTTTTTTCCAGTAATTTACGTCCACACGTTTTTCCGGCACAGGAGTTTTGGTCTACGTGCCAGTTGAGACACAAAGTTAATTGGCCCACTTGTAAATACAAACGACAATTTCTCACGACGTTTTTGGATGAAAATGTAAAATTTCTTGGAAGAATGAGGGTTTGCTTGTTTTTTTTTGTTTTGTTTGTTTGGTCCAACGCAGAATAATATTTAGTTGAGAGTTTTGGTAAAAATGGGGGAGCGTCAATTCAATGAGACAAAATTCACTAAAACGCTCGACACCTCTTTGGTGTAACAGGACTTAATTATCTTTCAAGATTTTCTCACCTCGTTATACCTGAACCGTATAAACCTCTATATTTGCCTCAGCTAAAGGCTCTTAGATGTTTCCAGTATACGATAAGTATCTTGATTTATTTTGCGAGGAAAGATCTGTACTTTTAACGGATGCCTGTCATTATTAATACGTTCAATTTCGTATAATACTGTACAACACCTCTGTTGTGAAACAGTTGCCTCAGGCGCCGTCGCACGGCGGGCGGGCGGCCAGCGCGAAACGAGCATTGGCGCCTACAAACCTAAGTGGATACTTCAAGCATTGTGCAGTGCGTGAAGTATCCACTTAGGTTTGTAGGCGCCAGTGAGCCTCTCGCGCTGACAGCAAGCCGCTCCGCTCTGTTAGGCTTTAATATTTATACTCGCATGGTCAGCGTTTTTTAACTCATGATTTTGAAATGTTTGCACACTCTGCATTGAATTATCTCTTTTAAATTGATGGGGAAATAATATGTATCAATTTATCAAAGGAGAATAATAATATAACGTGAGTTCATTTAAATATTGGTGGTTCCGTGTCAAATTTAATGATTTCCAAAGCACTTTAATTTTTTCTTTTACATTTTGTGCTTTTATTGTACTGCAGCAAGGTGTCCGCGCAACGAAACGCTCAATTTTTTACGTATTTGACTCTAAAAGATCGATGTACAAATGGGTTCAAACGAAAGATTGCGTGCCTCTTGGTTTTTTTCCTTTTTAATTCATTTTTGCAGTTTCTATCGGCACAACTGCTTCTTATTGAGATTAATGTCGCTTGAAAAAGGTTTTACAAACATTTGTCACGTTTTAAAAACATAATTTTTTTTCAAAATGAAGTAATAATTTCGTAAAGAAAAAATTAAAAAAATAAAAAAGTACCCATACACATATAAGGTATATTGTACATCGAAATTTAAAAAGATGATTCAAAAGGAGAAAGTAATAACATTTCATTTAGAAAATGAGCAACCATAACAACACCGCCTTTTCTCTCAATTTCTCATTTCCATTTTGTCAATATAATTTTACATATCGACTAAAATATAACGCTTGGACCGTTGCTTATTTTACGTGTGGGCGTAAAGTACTGGACAAAAAAGGTGCGCGGACAAAAAATCGTTGACAAAATGTCCTGAAACCTTTGACAGTGTAGACAGTTTTGCACTCAATCTACATATTATGTGAAAGTAACTCGAGAGTCAATGTATCCATCCATAATAATTCCACCTTACTTACACAGTTTTTCATGACACTATACTCCTCTACTAGATTAATTTAGTTAGGAAGAACTTGAAATTATTTTTCACCCGATTTTCTAGGGAAATTTGTTCGTGGTTTGATCTTAAGTGCTTGAAAATTCGGAGTGAGGTAGATCTATAACTTTCTCCCATAGTGCATATTCTTAGAGAAAATTTGGCAACATTTAAAAGCTCCTACAGCGTATCTCTAGCCTAAGTAGTTAAAGCATCTTATACGAAAAGGTCATTGAAGAAGAAACACTTTGAAATTAAAATCTGCTTCTTACCATTTTAGCGTGAAGTGACTGCGAAAAAAAAACGCCTTCAATGAATTGAATAGGCACACCGAGCCCCTAGAGGCTCGAATTGTGGTATCACGCCAAACAGCACATTTCTAAGCAGTAAGTGTTATGTATAAACCGTCTAGTTGTGAAGTTTATTGGGTGATATTTTCGGCCGTTAAAACTTTTCTCAACTTTGATTAATGAATTTGAATATTTTTCTGTGAGTTATCTGGATAACATCACAAGTAAAATTCTACAAAAAGTTTCCAAAAAATAAAAAAAAATAATTTCTTCGAGAAAATTAGCCAATGTGTAGATGTAGTTATAAGCACGTAGATTTGCATCACATTCTTGTCGTCCTTCGTTTTTATCCCTGCATATTTTTAAGTCAAGTACTTTTATAAATAGGGTTGTGAAGCAAATTCCAATCTAAATACTGACTTACCCTCTCATAATGACAGTGCTAATGTCTATCTGCATTTTACTTGAAAAATGTACAGATCCAGACTTCCCTGATGCAAGTTTTAAGTCGGGACAATGGCAGCATTGGAAAGTTGGTAACATACCAGGTACAGATATTGCAAAAGGACAGTCTATGTCAGATTATATTGGAGTTCAAGCCCCACAAGGCACAGGTAAGCTATGCTTTATGCGCATAGATTGTGAAATGCCTTTGTGATGTTGTTGTTGTTGTCGTTGAATGCAAGTTTGTAGAATACAAAATAGTCTCCTCATTGGCTCCCAAATCATGGGAGACCATAATAGAAAATTAACTACATAGTTTACAGAGAAAGACCTTACCTCTGAAAAAGAGACGAGGTCCAGAAATTTGCGGTGCCTAAGGTGATAGTTGAACAACATTAGCGACACACGATGTTCTTATTTACATGGTATGTAAGCCATTCAACTGAAGTACTTTAATACGTAACGGAGCAGTTTTTAAATGAACGTATTTCTGCCAAACGGAACCAGAGGCAGGAGGGAAATAAGGGGGGTGCTCGTGAGTTGAGGACCGTAAGAATGAACGGGAATTAAAAGGCGCCAGTGACGTCAGCGGAAACGAAGCCGCATCCGGTGTTCCTCTTACTCGGTTTTAACTCATGAACCCTATCCACAGCGCTCTTTTACCATTCAAACGGCTCATGAGTGCCGCATTCAGCTGGTACTTAGTTCCGTTTGACAGAATTGAAAATTCCGATTTTCCATTTCCTCAAAGGGAATCACGCCCATTTTAACATTGTTTCTTATGCAGCATTCTAGACCACATCCCATCTTTTCTACACGTCAATAGTTTCGTTTGGCAGAAATACATCCAAATGGCATGCATGATTTTTTACAATATATTAATCGTATAAGAATTGTAAGGAGACCCTGCCAATCAAGTATTTCCTCTCGTAAGAGGGTAACTCAAGTTCAATGAATCGTTAATAGCAAGAAGAATTCAGGGGCATTGAATAGCGTTTCATAGTTTCATCTGAAAATTAACTTTTAATAATTTAACGGGTGTATGTATTTAACATTCTAATTTCAGGAAATTTCCGCCAAATCCCCCAAAACAAATTTGCAGTAAACTCTCTGTCAAGATTTGCAGTCATTTTTGAGTAAATCAATTGTTAAATGAAAATTTGCAACGTCATAGTGTGGTTTAGCCATTTTGACTCTTACCTTTAATTAATTTAATAGCATAACTCTAATTATTCCAATTGAAATATTTGTAAGTATGTGATGAAGAAAGCGGGACCCTCTCGTCCCTGTCATCAATCGCTCCGATAATCGATTTTCTTTCTGTAACTTAAGGAATGCATCGATACGTTTTCGTGGTGTACAAACAATTAAATGGTTTGATGAAATTTGACGAGTTCCATCTAATAAATTTGTAAGTATCTGAAACTATTGAATTCAAAATCTCGTTGTCGTTCTATTTATGTAATACAGTTTTGGCATATCCTGACAATATGGAGAGCACTTTTTGTCAAATTTAAAATCAACGATGAATGTTCAAGAAGTTTCCTGTTATACAGTCAATATTCCATCAATTAAGGGACGTGAAGCTGTGTAATTTAATTAATTGAGGGACTTTTTACCTTTTAATTTGACTCATTTTTATTTTCATTCTCGAGCCATCTTTATTTAATTTTTTTTTACAGAATCAGCTGCCTGTTTCTTCCATCCTTGACCATGGTAATTACCTATTTTTAGAAATACGAGACGAAAAAGAGAACTTAAATTACTTTAGAGTATCTGAATTAATAATACTTCATTTCTTCAGTCTGATGATAACTACAGTATTTTTTTAAATATTTTTTCAAAGTAGACTATTGATTTTCTTATGTTCTTACAGTCCCACGGATGACTTACGAGCCAATTTTTCAACAGCTGAGTTTGCAGAGCAGTATAATCTAGGTGACCCTCTTGCTGTCAACTTTTTCATATCACAATGGGACGACTATCCTGAATTTCGCGGAGCTATTCCAGAGCCAAATTTTTGAGTAATAATCATTTTTTTTTTTTTTTAAAAAAAAGTAATTAATCAGGCTGTAACATGATTAGCACACAAGAACACTCTAAATAAAATATGACTCTAAATAATATAAGGACTACACGAAACCTACGTGGCCGAGCCTGAAAGAATCAGATATTCAAACGGCTAGTTCGTTTCGGTGGTCATAACAACCCCACTTTTAACCGGATAATATATACAAGTGAAATTAACTCTTTCTGGTACGCGCTTATCGCCAATTTTCGAGAAAAAATGGCTCGGGGATATGGTATTTTTTCCATCGAAGAGACAGCTAAGGTCGAATTATTTTGAAAAATGTTCAAATTTGGAGATCAGACTCCTTATCCCCCCTCTTTTATAAAAAAACACGTGTTGCTCTCATGCAGCAGTATGCAATAAAAAGCTAAAAGGAATGAAAGCTAAAACCTACTTATCACAGTCCGGGGTAAACAAAGTAATCTAAAAATGTTGATGGAACCATGGGCAAGAATGAAGGTTTACCTTTGCTGACTTCTAATGGCAAAGCGAGGAAACCCTCAGGTGACACTGAACTCGGCAGAGCCCTAAAAAACTAGTGGTGAACCGCACTCAACCCATCGACACCCGCTCTGTAGTTAGAAACTAAAGTACGCTTTTTGGGAAATATGAACCATCTCTAATAACCATGAGCATTTGGCCTCTTTAGCAATTTGCACATTTTCATGATCTAGCGCCTACAAGAATGTGTAAATACTTCACGCATTGCGCGTTCGCTAGGTGGGCGCATTAATCGCTGGAATTCTCGATGCCAAACCTGCGGTGTGCATCTTTTCCAACTAGAGCACACAGCAAGCCTGTAATCCTAGGATCGAAGGATCTTACGATTAAATATTTTGCACCCCTCAATGATACCCTAGTCTATTATATTGAGTCATCGATGTCGGAGCTCGTCCGTCTGTATCTAATCGACTATCGTATAACGAGAGGGTGTCTATAACAAGGAAATCCACCAGGCCCTTGAACTTATACGAGTATAGACTCGTATAAGTTCTTAATTATGTAAAATTTCACAAAAATAAGGAATACTTTTTTCAGTAGAAAAAAGACGTATAAACAGAAAAGGAAAAGACTCCAATAGATAGGTTTTGATTGATGGGCGTTCTCAAAGTATGAGGCTACATCGTAGCTTCAAAAATATTATGAGTTATTTTTCACGAACGCTGTGGTCACAAATAGCGTCATCTGTCGACCTAAAATTCTTCCTTTCCTACTTTGTCCAATTTTCAATCATTCTTCGGCGGGAACTGAGGTTGTATGATTATTTAAATGATGGCGATACACTTTTATCAAGTGCGTCAGATTATTCCAAGATAAGAGGATGAAGTTGATAGAAGTTGGTATTTTCTTAAACACGTGTCGAAACCTTTTTGTAGGAGCTATGTAGAAATGTGTTTGTCTATTTATAAACCGACGTGACTTTATTTAGTTAGAGCTAAATACCTGATGTAGCCTATATTAATTCAGTTTCCATAGCCAGTATTAAAAATGAGTGGCGTGGGAAGAACAAAATTCGTGACGTTAATACAAATAAGTACCACCGTCTGCAATTTGTGCTCCATTTAAAGTCATCAATTCAACCTCACTTTTTAAATTTGATTCCGGCAAGATAGACATCAATTTGTAGTGATTTTAATTTATTTATTTCATGATTTTTACACCTCTTGTAGAGAGATTCTATCATTTTTGAATTCGACAAGTTTCCTCTTTTAATTGTGCCAGCACAATTGAAAAAGTTTTTGAGATTCGATTTCACCTCTGTTTTGTTTTCCCCATTCTCACTAGGTCATTAATTTTATTCCCATCATTTTCCTCTGCAATACTATTTTTTTAATTATGACACTCAAGTATCACCTTATACCTCCAATATTTACAATGGCGTTGTTGAGTACTTATTTAAAAAAACGTTTCTACCGAAATTTACAGGTTTAATCTGACAGCTGACGAAATACAGACACAATTGAAAAAGCACGAGATAATTCCAGATGTCATTCCAACAGCTCCTAAAAATGTTTTGCAGGTAAATAAAACTCCACCATGCGTTTATTCACTTGCTAGTGTAAAAGACACGTCATTGCATAATTTCCATGGAAACTATTTAATTTTTTTTATGGAAATTGCGTCACCCTTCCATCTAAAGATAAGTCATGTAGTCGGTTCATGTAAAGTCAAGCGATTTACTAAAGTAATTTTGTTAATTTTGATTCACTTAAATTCCCTTCCTTACAGCATTTGGAAGAAATTTTATTGTAAGCATGACAAATCTATTAAATCATTTTAGGTTTTATAATAGTTACACAATCATAACAATCCTTAATCAATAAAAACTCTGCAAGTTTGGTACTCAAGTTATGGATTCTTGACCATTAACGTTATAAGAAAACTTTAATGGAGAGCAGAAATAATAAGGGGGTCACACAGCCGCTATAGGGGGCCCTTACGCAACCCAACCCTCTGAAGACGTTCTTCACCGTCAAAGGACCACTTCTTCGGTCATGGATTAAAAGAAAAAAAAAAAAAATAAAAAAAAAAAAAATAAAAAAATAAAAATGCAGCCTAATCATCATGAACAACGACCCGTTAAACCTCTGGATGAATGAAATACACGATACTGAATTTTACATGGTTCATATGAGGAAAAGTGCATGTTCTCCACTTGATATCCATTAAAAATGCGTTTCACCCCAAAACTTTTAAGGACAGAGCTGATCTCAAGATTGCTACCTACTAATATTTGTAAAAATTATAGAACTCGGATCAGTTGATGTCTAGGAAGATTTATGAAAACAAAAAAAAGGAGGGGAGTCGGAAGATGTTGTGCGTATAATAAAAATTATACTGAAGCCTTTTCTTGTGAGCAAACATGTTTGTAATAGTGGTATTCTTTAAGGATAAATATGTTTGTATTAACTGTGTGGGCGAGTTTTGACAGGTAACTTACAATACAACATCTGTGAGATTCGGAAATGAAATAAATGCTACCGAGACAAAATTGGAGCCCACACACATGGAATGGCCAGAAGATAAGGAGCACCATTATACATTAATTATGACAGGTAAAAAGTGATTTCGCCCTTTAAAAATTAAGCGCATTTAATTCAATTATCTCCGTGATCTAATAGTAATGATAGCTGAATTATATTTTTGAAAGAGCAAGCAGATCTTTAAAAAATGTTTTAAAAAAAAACCCACAAAAACCCGTACTAAAAAACTTAAGATCCTGGCCAGGCCCGCCACATCCAATCTCGGGCTCTGGTACCAGTTTTAAGGTCCGGATCCATTCCGGAGAGTTCAAATAGTTGTATCATTGCGCCTTAGAAATGCGACGGAAGATTTAAATGGAAATAGCCTCCATGCACGCTGGGCGTGTCGACTTCCTTTGACATTTTTGCAGTGGTGAATGCATAGCTGAAGTGCGCTCCAGCTAGAATTGTATTTACAAATGGGTTGGTTTTCTACGAGGATTAAAAATAAACGAGTGGTACGGAATATAACAAAATAATATGAACCATGCAAAACGATAATCCGGGTATCGGAACTTGGCTGATTTGAAAACGCCTTCAAATGCGGCGTGATACCTCACGCATTCCGGAGAGTTCAAATAGTTGTATCATTACGCCTTAGAAATGCGACGGAAGATTTAAATGGAGATAGCCTCTATGCACGCTGGGCTTGTCGACTTCCTCTGAAATTTTTGCAGTGGTGAATGCATAGCTGAAGTGCGCTTCAGCTAGAATTGTATTTACAAATGGGTGGTTTTTCTACGAGGATAAATAATAAACGATAGTGGCACGGACAGGCTCGCCACATCCCATCTCGGGCCTTGGTACCAGTTTTAAGGTCCGGGCCCCAAGCAAGGAGGGGGGGTCCGAGGGGCATCCCCCGAGAAATTTTGGAATTTATACTACTAATCATACGCATTTTGAAGCTTCCATAAGAAAGTTTTCCATCAATTTCTGCGCAATATTTATGTTTTTTTTTTCCACTTTCAGCACAAAATACGAGGGGCGTTCAATAAGTAAGTATCCCCCCTCTCTAAAATCAATAAGAATGTACCAATTTTCAAAAACTTGAGCTCAAAATCTTCCTTAGGATATACTGAGTTCAACAAAACAAACCGCAACAAAATCGGACATGTGCGCCCGAACGCGAGCCGTTTGAACGCGCCGAGGGGCACACCGCTCCCGCCAAATCCGCGGAAATTTGAAGTCCGCGACAAGAGAGGAGCCTCTCTGCCAACGCTTCAGTCGCTCATCACTGACGAAAAATACGGTAATAAATAGCAAAATAGACCACTATTTATTCCTTTCTCTGAAATCTGAACTGGGGGAGTTCATTTTGAATCAGCGGAAGAGGTCAAACAAGCCGTCAACACTTTCATCCCCAGCCAGTTGAAAGACCTCTACACGCGTGGTATCCAAAAGCTGTTCTCTTAGTCTCACAATCAGTATCAGACCTGCTTGGATCGAGCTGGTTATGTGGAGAGGTGAGGTAAGCCCTTTATTCTACAAAAACTTCTTTGATTTTTCGTCAGTGATGAACGACTGAAGCGTTGGCAGGGAAGCTCTTCTCTTGTCGCGGACTTCAAATTTCCGCGGATTTGGCGGGAGCGGTGTGCACCTCGGCGCGTTCAAACGGCTCGCGTTCGGCCGCACATGGTCCGATTTTGTTGCGGTTTGTTTTGTTGAACTCAGAATATCCTAAGGAAGATTTTCAGCCCAAGTTTTTGAAAATTGGTCCATTCCTATTGATTTTAGAGAGGGGGGATACTTACTTATTGAACGCCCCTCGTACTTGCGAATTGTTGCATTCAAAACATCTGGAGAATTTTTATTTTTTGGGGGGAGGGGCATATGATACTATTTTCAGTTCTAAGAGGGCCAGGCCCCCCTGGACTCTTCCTTCGTTTGTCTATGGCAAGGGAGTTGAGCCATGATCCATTGAAGTCGAGGATACCCAGACTGGAGACTCTTAGCATCTGACGACGGAAGAAAATGAAACGCAGTTACTAAAAATATCCTCGGTACTGAAAATCTTGAAAATAGATAGAAATTTTCCAGGAAGTATACTCCTTTGAAAATTTAAGAAGAATTCTACAGTGCCCCAGCGTGTTTCTGAAAATCTATCCACCTTTTGCGAAATTTTTAGGGTAAATTTTTCACTTTTTCTTACGAAACAAGGGTTGCATGTGAATTAGTAGTGGTTTTTTACGGGTAACACGGGCCCCCTCCGGGGCCCGGGCCCCGGTACCAGGGACCCAGTATCCCCCCCCCCCTCGTGGCGGGCCTGATCCTGGCAATTATCTTGAAGCCCCTCTCAGACCTGGCTTTCCCTCTTCTTGACAAATTCTGCGGTCACTGCCCTCTCACTGGGCGTAATTTTTTTCTCCTCCGAGGAAAAACCAAATTAAAGTTGTTTGGTCATTGCGTTGAATACAATGTCATTTTCACCTTCCGTGATTTGACGCTTTTTATCATTACGGATCCAAAATTCTCTAGAAACTCTTGTTGACTTCCTCCAGAAATCCATCCCCGTTTCTCTTAGCATTCTGTGATCGTTTCACCAGCTGCCCGACTTTATCTCCTTACATTAAAATACTTTTCACTCTAGCGTTGTAAATTTCACCTTTGTTTTCTCCCGAAATACGATGATCCCGTACATAATTTCATTTAAAATCGTAATATCCTCATACCTTCCTTCCTTTTGTGTTGTTTCGTACTTCTGTCCTGGGATAGTCGCAAATCTTGGTACTCCTACTCCACTCCGGGCAGCTTTTGATTTTCTGCCCATCCTTCATCTCAATGTTGTGTTGCTGTCAATGTCTTTGGTTGCTGTCCAACTGAAGTCAATTCTCCGTTAGGAAAATTCCGAAGTAATGGAGGTTTATTTGGAGAGGAAAGCGTTGTTTGAGAATTATTTTAGTTTGTTTCTTTTTGCTTATTTAAATAGAATGAAAGGTTTAATACTTGGTCATCTCTTTTTACTCGGTTTAAAATATCTTTTATCTCTTTTTAAAATGCTTGTATAAATTTACCTGTATGATTTTCGCAGATCCCGACGTTCCAAACCGGACGACACATTTTGAAAGAGAGTGGCAAAATTGGGTCGTGGTAAATATTCCTGGCTGCAAATTTAAAGATGGCAAGGTTCTCACCAAATACATTCCTCCATTACCGGAAGAGGACTTCGGAGGTGATATTAAAATGCAATAATTAATAGTGCAAGTATCTCAAGCTCTCAAATGATCTCGACTAGTTTTACACTACTGTGTAATGAGTTATTATTTTATTATTATTTTTTACAAAAAAGAGAAAAACTTTCATTAAAAACTACGAAATAAATTAAGACATTTTTCTTTTCATTTTTCAAATATCCTTTTTCTCATTTTAAGAACAGATAATTTTCTGTCTAGGAGTAGAAAAGTAAGGAATTCAGAATGCAGTAAATTTAATAATAATAATAAAAAAAATATAAATACATGATAAGTAGGTAGATGTCGGATCTCCAGAGACAATCACCAGTGGCGTGGCGTGAATTTCGATGTATCGATTGTTATGCCATTTAAACCTATGGAAAAGGATCGATACACAGGGTGTTCGCAGCGAACACCTTAATAATCAATTCTTTATCATAGGTTTAAATTACATAACAATCGATATATCGCAATTCACGCCACGCCACTGACAATCACATGATTGAATGGAGAGCAAACATATTTTATTCATTTAAAAAGACTATTTGAAGGCCTTGGAGGACAAGATGCATGAGTGCAGTTTTTGAAAAAATTGAGATAGTAATGATTCCAAGTAAAACTAGTCTGGATGCACATTCTGTGAAAAATTCGCTCCAAAATTCTAATTTTTAAGCATCAAAAAGTCAGTATGTACTTTCTCTCCGCCGTAATGATCCATTTGATTTCGAAACTTCATACTCGTATTTCTCGAAATAACGAAAACTGCACTTATGCGCCTTGTCATTCAAGCCTCCATTTGACACTGCATTACGACCATTAAGATGCTAAGCTTGCAAAACTAAGTGGTATAAATCACTATTCTTCTCACGATTTCAGGAGTTCACCGATATGTGTTCCTGTCCTACAAGCAACCAAGACAAAATATGACTTTCAACGAAACCTACGTAAGAATGTAAGTAAGAAGTGTATTCTAGCTTTCAAGTAGCGCAATTGAACTTCGTTTGTTCATTAGTTTACTGCATTGGTCCTTTATTGGAGAAAACACTTTACAAATATTTTTGGGGAAATAAAAAAATTGTTCCGCTCACGTCATGTGGTGATAAAGTTTTTTTTTTTTGAGAGAGAGTTTTGAACGTCCAAAAAAGTTTATTCAAGTATGATTGAAAAGTAACAAAAATACGAAACACTAAAGTTGGGATTTAAACCAGATTAAAGATGATGAAATTTGGTGCGTATAATCCAAAGCCACTCACGAATTTTAACAATATAAAAAGACTCTACGATAGAAAATATTTCGATTAAGACGGAACATCGTTGCATGTGAATTAAACGAGCAAAAAAATAGAACAATATATGGATTCCAATTGTTCCTTTGATGCAACTGCAAATGATTATTTCATACATACATAAAGCCGCTTTTAAAGCGCCGCCTCGCGCTCTGCGACGCCCAATCGCCATTGCCCCCTATCCTCCCAGAGATCATCAGGCAATTGGCAACTTTTGATCTCCTCCTCCACCCCTTGTCGCCAACCTTTCACAGGACGTCCACGCTGTCGCCTTCCGGGAGAAACCCAATCGAAGACCTGCTTGGGCAACCGATCATCTGCCATCCTTCGCACATGTCCATACCAGACCAACTGCTTGGACCTGATATCGTGCACAATGTCCTTCTCCACACCCATTATCTCGCGTACCTTCTCATTGCGTCGCCAAAAGTCCATCTCGGTTGCCCTAAGCATATCTTCAGTTCTTTTCTTGAGTTGCCAGACCTCACTCCCGTAAGCATTATTTCATAATATGGCTAAAAATGAACAATTGATTATTTTCCCATGCCCAAGCTTTTTCTACTTTTTTAATGTCATCCTAAAAATTATTTTATCAGTCATTGGCAGTACCTATGTTTCTTTTGTCCACAGAGCATCCTATGGACTACGTGGTGAATTTTCCACAAGAAAATTTGCTGAAAAATACAGTTTAGGGGATCCTGTGGCAGTAAATTTCTTCTACTTAAGATGGTCATTTATTGTGTAACCGTTAATTTTTTGGTCACAATTAATAAACAACTAATGGCTCAGACTAGGCGATTAAATTTTATCACCCTTGTTTACCTTATAATCCACCATGAAAAGTAAAGAAAGAAGGAAAGAAAGTAGTAATGTTGACTTTACCAAAACAATTTTGGCGCAAGTAACTGGATGGTTCTCAGAATCGAGGAGACGTTTAGCATCAGCACCACTTAATTTTTTACTTAGTCGGTTTCCATAAATGCTGATTAAAAGAGCTGATCAAACTTAGATTTCTTTTGAGCATACCACTAAACTAACTTCTAGGTAGGTCATGAAGTATCACCCCTTAAAGAAGCAGGCGCTCGACGCCAAAATGGTGCAAATCATAAGGCTTGTTCCAGTTGACGAAGATATTGTATTTTTGTATGTAGTTGTATCAAATACTTTTCGGATAAGTATTGTCATACATATTTAAGGAATGGAAATTTGAGGGTAGGTGTTGTTTAAACCGGTGTTTTCGTCTTGAATGAAAGATAAAATATTCATGGCCCACAAATCAAATCTTAAAATTCAAATGGGCCTGTTGCATGCAAGAGATACAGCCGTGCGAATAGACTTTTCAGAGGTTAAATGACACGAAAATTACGATGGTCACATTAAAAAAGTCTGAAATACACTCCTTACTGCGCAATTTGCGTTGTTAGGAACGCGCTTTTTCAAATTTCCCGCGTCTGGGGGCAATTTTCTAACTGAAACAATTAACGGCAACTCGCGGCTATTTCCGGTCAACTAAAACTGACAACATAACCTAAAAATCGGAGCTCGTGATATCGTGAAATGAAATGTAGGAGGATTGCGTTGGATATTTAAAAGTTGATCGATTTGGTTAGCGCATAAAGCGTATATGGACCACTATGAGAGATCACGTTGGGTTTGTAAACAAACTGAAGGAAAAAATAACAACAACAACAATGACTCGGCATCTTCCGGAATTCACCGAGCCCGCCGTTTGCTCGTTTCCGGTGATTAGAAAACTGCCCCCAGACGCGGGAAATTTGAAAAAGCGCGTTCCTAACAACGCAAATTGAGCAGTAAGGAGTGTATTTCAGACTTTTTTAATGTGACCATCGTAATTTTCGTGTAATTTAACCTTTAAAAAGTCTATTCGCGCGGCTGTATCTCTTGCATGCAACAGGCCCATTCTAATTTAGTTAATTGCTATACATTAGTCATGGTAAGTTAGGTTAGGTACATGTCACAATGGGTACAATGAAGATTAACAGATCAGTTTGTGAACAGACTACTTATAGGTTATCACCAATTTTCTTAAGTTTCTAAAATTATCTTAGGTATTAACAATTATCTCAGTTTTTAACAAATTATTTAGATTTTGACAAATTAGCAAAATATCTTTAACCCTAAGATTAAATGTGTGGAGTGATGGGATCGTCGATAAATTCCTTTAAAGAGTATCGTGGGCAATTCATAAGAGCCTATTTCAGGGTGTGGCAGAATTGCCAGGATCCACATCCTGAAAAAGCCTCAAATGAATTGTCCCCGATACTCTTTAAAGTAGTAATAATACACCACTAACTTCATTATTTTGGATACAAATCTTCTGTTCGCGATCTACCACCGTTATTTACGGTACTAAACCAAATAGTTTCATTTTTGAACATACTTTAGAATAAAAACGTAAGCTTTTTCCTCTACCATTAGAACGTAACTAGCTGCTTCAGCTCGCTTCGCGAGTGAGTATGGGACTCTCGAGAGCGGATATTGAAAGTTTTGGATTATTGGTATCATCTGAACATCAACAACTTTCGTTTGCAACAAAAATCAAGGAAATCGGCCTAGCGGTTCCTCAGAATTAAGGATCAAAGGGTTTCGACCCTTACAATTTTATTTCTGTACCTATATATATTCAAAATCGGATTCAAAGTATGTTGATGGCCACATTAAGGTCACTCCTTTAATTAGCTGGATATTTTTTGCACTTAAGTGCAACTAATTGTAACTATTCTTGTAAGTAACACTTTTTGAATTTTCTCAGTTGAGAACATATCAACCAACGAGATTAATAATTCAGTGATGCGTTTGCCTGATTTTCCCTCTTTTATCAGAAGGAAGTAAAGAAATAAATTTACATTATAGAGTAAGTTATGTAATCTCCTAGAAAAAACAGTAACTGAGCCCAGTCTACAGAGAGGATTGCTAACTGTAGTTAATCCCGACCATTATTGTTTGTGAGAGTTGCAGATTTTATAAAAATAACTACAGTTAATATGTTTGCGTTGATATAGTTGTTTTGAGTTGGTTTTTTTAAATAAATAAATTAATTAATTTTGTTTTCAATTATGTGGATCAATCAATGCAGAGATGTGGAACAGACGGATGATTTGGAATCATTTGGACTACTTGAGGAAAAAATAAGACATTCATCACACAATTCGAATGTGATACGGTAATTTCTTCATGGGTATGCATCTATCCAGTGATGCATCCCGTATTGTGTGGAATGAAATAAAGTAGCAAGATAGAGACATCCCTATAATACAATGCGTGGAATCTTCACATTTAGTGAAAATTCACAAATGTCAAATACGACCATTGCGTAGAGTAAATTCAGTTTGCGTTTAAGTACCCAAACATTCAGGATTCCGTGCCATAAGAGAAGAAAAAAAAAGTATCATTGACTTTTCACACAGGTTTTATTCTACACAGTGCTTCTCTTAGATAAATTGGAACCAAGATGAGAAAGAAGAAAAATGTAGGATATAAACTATCGTGAAGACACCATCTGGATCATAAAGTGTTAGCAAGTGTATTAACGAGGAAGGAAAAACCTATGTATAGCACTTAGATAAGATGCAGATCCAAGGCCTTTATCGGTTCATTGCAACGGTGCAACTCACAATTTTCACTACGATAGAACTCGTGACAAATTCTCTGCCTCTCACCACCATTCCTCTGCACACGCACAAACAATCTAAAGGAAAACAAGAGATCTCAATGAAAAAGCTATCGAATACAACACCTGCTAATTTGCCAGTATTCACTCCCCCCACAATTGACCCCGGCATCAAACCATTCCTTAACAAGATCCTTGATGACTCGGACTTGAACGTTGACTCTGATGAGGTAAGTTGAGTAAAGCCAAATATTGCTGCCCGGCTGCTTTTATTCATACAACTTTCATCACATTAATATCATATTTAATGTTTCCGGGTATAAAGCATGCTTTCAATTTCCTGTTGTTGTGTTCGCAATTTGCACCTAGGATTTTCAACTGCCGCAAAAATAGCCCTCTAACAAGGTCCCAAGAGTTTTGTGTGTACCAGAAGGGGCCCCCGTGGCCTCCCACTCACCCACCCATCCACCCAAGCGCCTCACGCTGCGCGCCTCCGGTGTTGTACATTTGGCATTATCTCTCTTGTGATTTTATATCATGGAAGTATGGTAAGTGTATGTGGCACGGAATGGTCTTAAAATTCATCAAATTTTCTCACAAATTCTCAAAGCAGAGATTAATTCAATGTCCGAAAGATTTGACTGCGTCAATACCTGTGCTACAACAACCTCATGGCGTGTTTAGTGAAAAACTGGACTGCATTTTGCAATTTGGAACTATAAATTCTGGCTCATCTGAAAAAACACTTATGTGCATAGGGAAACTAATGGCACATACGTTGTATTTCAACCGGGCCAGAATTTATTGTTCCAAATTGCGAAATGCAGTCCAATTAGTCTTTCATCAAACCAAAATTTTGAAATTAATCTTTAAAACACACAAATATCTTATTACGAAATAAAAATATTGTGAAGAAACCAAAAAGTCATTTTGCACAAAATAAAACAAAAAATGAAGAATCAGCATTTTTTTTAAAATAGGCAATTGAAACATCAGGATGTTGTAGTAGCCGTTTGACTTATACATGTATTTTTGAAAATAAATGACTAAAAAGAGGAAATATGTACATAGCTTTTTCTTACATTCAGGAAGCCAAACTGCGTGAGCAGGAAAAAAAGTTAGAAAATTGCGATCCGGAAGTACAAGACATTTTGAGGGAAATGGAAGAAGAATCCAATGATATATACTATCCAACGGAAGTTAACTACTTTAATCAAAATATTGATCACTTTCTCAACAAAACTGCAAAGGAGCTGAAATGTTTACAGGAGCGAAATCAAATTTACAGTGACTTGATAGAAATGCCGGCTGAAAATATTATACAGGTGCGAATATTTTAATAACCACATGATGCATGCGACATAATTTCTAACATTACATTTGCTCTTACAAATTTGTCAAATGTGGTCTTCTTCTTCTTCCTCTTCTTCTAACTTCTGACTAGGACCGTGACCCTGTTTGTGTAGCCTCTAAATTAGTATATGAATATAATAAATAAAAACCAAATGTGGCCACATTTGGCAAATGTTCACGCATATAATCTGTGTACAAATATAATGACAAAATTGCTCTATGCGTGAAAAAGTCACTCATTTTGTAATGGTGACATATGAGTTGAGACTCCCTACTACTGCATCCCGTGTCATCCCCATATGATATGAAACCTCAATAGGTCGATTTCCCTATTAATAGAGTTACCCCACAATTACAGGATAGTTCTTCCGTTATCCCTTGTTCATCGGTGTTTGAAGTGTTTTTTTCGTATCTACAGTCGCGGTTACTAGTCTACTGCCCTATTTGCAGAAGTCTGCTTAATTCCATTGGTCAGTCCGCAGAATGGACAACCAGTCGATTCATGGATTTGTCGATCTTCCGGCTACTTCGCAAACTGGCTGATGTAACTTGTTGTTCCATGAAATGGATACAAAACTGAAACTACCTATTCCGTGGAATGGTCGAATCTGTAAACGAGGTGTAACAAACAACGTTTATTACCATCTTTAAATTTTTCTGTTAAGAATATTGATCAAAAGTCTTCTTTATCTGCAGGTTGCGTATGGTACAGTTGAGGTAGCTATGGGAAATGAAATTCATGCTAGATATACGACGAGAATGCCAACGTTTGTGACATGGCCAGCAAAGAAAGATTCGCAGTACTGCTTGATAATGACAGGTAAAGCTAGTTGAGTAGATTTTCATATGTAATTCCGTATTTGATGAAATCAATTGTTTTTTTGAGCCTTACAAATCTTAACAACTACTTTTACTGTAAATTATTGCATAGAAAACAATCGCACACATTTTAAATTTAAATGGATTAATTTTGTTATTCAATCAATATTTTCTTCTTCTTTTTGATGATCGCAGGGAAGTTCGCTCTAAACTGCACCAAGCCGAGTACCAAATACTTAGACAGCAGAAAAATCCATGCAGCGAGAGATGTCCGAAGTAACTCCTAGTTGACGAATTTATCTGGTGATTGAGATGTTTAATTCGTGATGTGGGTCGGTTGGAGCAAGTTTAATTGCTTTGATCCAAATTAAAACCGTTTCGGAGGCAAGGCACCGTGCACGTGTGGCCTTGTCAGGCAAACCAAAGTTGGAATGAAATTATTTTCTTTTCAAATTACACGGTAATAATACTTTTGTAAATTAAGCGCACAGTTTGTGCTGTGAAAATATGCCTCATTATTTTTTTAATATATATTTCACAGTGAATAAGACAAAGGGGTTAGGAAACTATTAAAATTGAATGAAATTACAAGTCATTTGAAGCTCTGCAGACTTTAAAAAAATTTCTTCAGAAGAAAGTATTTTATCGCATGCTTTTGTTACTTTTGAACAGATCCGGACACATCATACCACTCCCGACCGACGGAACCGAGAGAATATCAACACTGGATTGTCGTCAATATTCCCGGCAATAATTTAACCGGTGGTGAGACTATAACCGAATATGTTAGGCCAAACCCAGAGTATGATGATGATGGTAAGCATGCAGCTTGAAATATTTTCAAAGATTTAGTCCGCATGCGACTGCGATGTAGTCAGTCAAAACAAATGCGTTAAGTGCGTGATAACATATCCGAATTGCAATAGCCCCCCCTCCCCCCACGCTACCCTCTTATGGATTGTATTTAGTTGTTTTTAAAAGTTTACACGTGAAGCTCTAATTCTAAAAGAAAGAATTGTATTATTGAACTGCTGGTTTCATTTCCGTGAGAAACAAATGTTTTTGCCAAAATCAGCTGGGAACCAGATCATATTAGCTTGATCATGCCACTTCTGCGGTTCATATAAATACGGGTTAATCTCATTTGAGAGCAAATACTATTTAACAGGAGCATGATCACTGAGATCAAACCTACATGGATTAGAGGAATTCACGTCTCAAAAACTAAAAAGTGAGTCGGGGTAAAAAATTATTGATTTAGATACGTATATATCGTAGTATATTCTGAGCAAGCTTAACCTTCACAATTCTCAAAAATAAGGGACACATTGACGCGATACTTCAACGCGCGTTGATGATGGCGCAGAGATACAACCATTACTATTCGCGATTGATGGATGTCCGTGTTGCATCTGCAAAACTGAAGGCGCGGTGGCGCAGTGCGTGAACTTGCAATGCTCCGCTGTAGGTTCCCAGTAAGATGTCATTCAGATTCGGGAGAAACGTTTAAAAAGAGGGCCCTATCCCGTCGCCTCTATTTTCGGTTGCCTTAACGCTAGATTTTGTTTGCTTTTTTTTTTCAATTTGAAGTCTAATTATTTTTTTACGATGTGTTTGTAGACTTTCATCTAATGCTCGGATGTACCGGCTCGATAACGCCCCCAAAGGTGATAGTTGGGTCAATTTGACCGAGCTCGGGATTTCCATGCTAGTTGTCAAAAAAACATTCGCTGACACTCGATTTTTTATAATTTGATGTCCGATTCTTTTTTTACAATGTATTTGTAGAACTTTATCTAAAGTTCGTATGGACAGGTCCCATACAACCCGCGGGGCAGATGTTTGTAGGAAGTCTCGGATCATCTTGACTCAGTTTGGACATGTATGTGTTATCTTTCAATGACTTTTACAAGTGTCCTATTTCCTGTTCTTAATGAATCACAATCCGACTATTTTCCTCTCTACACAATGATTCGACTAATTTTTTTCACATTTTGCAGGTTTTCATAGATTCATTTTTTTCGTATTCAAGCAGGAGGAAAAGGACAAAATTTACGATGAAGTCAAGCGTAGTCATATGTAAGTCAATAAATCACGCTTGATCTAATGATTATCAGTTTAGATGCAGCAGCGGGCTGATTTTTGAAATTGACACATTGAATAGACAGAGCTATAGACAATGGGGAGAAAAGTGGGTGGTTACAATGGACAAATAAGGTAGGTGATAGACTAGTTAACTGCAACCCAAGAGAGACCTAAAAATTAGTCCATCATTTTCTTCCTTAGTCCACAGGAACCATCCATTTCAACCAACAGGATCGATCCATACTCCCTCTGTTTTCTTTGTCTGTTGTTTTGGCCATGAATCTCAACAATTAGCCCGCAGGCTGTTAGTTGAGCCATGTATGCTGCCATCCAAAGTAAAACTGCCGTACCTCCACTCAACTTAATCACTTTTTTCTGATAAAATGCTGTTTTACAAACAACTCAAGAAATATTCATTCTTCATTTTTTCAACACTACTCCGCCACACCCAGAGACGTCACACCATCGGGAACTAAAAATGAAAAGAGTAGGCCTTGTGGCAATTAATTGTATTGTAATAGAGCAGTGCGTGCTGGAAAAAAGAAAACAATTTTGAGTGGAGTTACGGCATTTTTACCGTTGACGGCAGTATGGCGTATTACATCTCCAAAAACTGCCGCGTGTTAAAGATGAACGACATAATGAGGTTTCGAAAATTGCAAAATTCCTTTTGATAAAACACGAATTTTCTAGAAAACTAAAACATATTTTTACCCACAATGATTGACCAACGCGATTTGACCCAACGTATATAGACATTTTCAGAAGGAGTATTCATAGCTTACCGGAAAAGTACACATTTTATCAAAAGAATTTTGGCAGCATTTGAGTGTCTACCTCCAGCTGCTACTCAGTCGTGATACGGAGGAAAACCGTAAGTGTTTTCCTGTAAGAGGCATGATTAGCGCATACTTTTATGTGTCTCGAGGTTCATCCTGCAGAAGTACTGTGCTTGTGAAAAAAGGGCTTAAGATGAATCCAGGCTTGGAACTTCGCGATTTGGCTACCACGTCGCGCTGCTCAGAATAGCCGTATATATTTGCCAAAATAATAAAAACCGTAATACTTATTTAAGATTGGGGATCCAGGGGATATAGCAACATATTTGAGGAACACTCAATAAAAAATTCTTCACAAAATTCCCAAAAATAAAGTCGTAACTAGCGCAGAAAGTATTTCCATACAATTCCATTGCAATGCCCATTGCAATGGAAGAGAGAGAGAGACAGAACATGAGGGATTCTGTTGCGCGCTCGGCCGCCGCGGCTGAGCTGAAAGTTTCAGCCATACTTTCTCTGCGCTTGTATTATAATTGCCAATATTTTTGGCTCAAAAAATCAAGCAAAAATAATCTATGTATTGTCGATCTGCTTTTTGTAATTTGAACAATATTGTATCAGTAATCGTTGAAGGAAAGTGAAATTCTCAGTGGTGACTGGTGGCGCTATCTCTTATCTTGAATTATCCCTAATCGAACCCTGGATTGGGAACCCACGGGTGACTACTTAGTTGTAGAAATGTTTCTTATTCTAATGTTTTTTTATAATAAACGAGACTGCAACATTGCATAAATGTCAATTCAAAATATACTCATGGTTTGAAAACTCAATGTTTTCTTTCATTTTTCGCAAGAATTATGCAATTACTAATAGTTTTATAGGTGAGAGACATGAACGAAGACGACACGATGCTTGGGCGTATTAAATGTCTTATGTTTTTGTTCCAGACCTGTTAAATCTCTTCGAAAAGACTTTTCTACTAAATTATTTGCAAAGAGACATCATTTAAAAGGACCCGTGGCGATTAACTTTTTCATAGCAAAATGGGATAGAAGCATCAACGAGGAAGAGGAGCTTTTTGGACCACTTCATCACTGAACAGGACTTAATTTTTTTCGTCGTCATTTTATGTGGAGCTTCTTATTTCCTCTTCACAGTCATCACTTATCTAACAGAAGGATAAAAAAAAGGCAACCGTTTATTTTACTTCCTATCTCAGTGAGTTTTTGTTACATTTGATGTTGTATGAGCTTTCTTCACTGACTTGGATTTTTAAATCATTTTCGGGTATTTAAATAGGTTATAATAATGTAATTTTTTGTGGTAAAGACAATAAATTAGTTTTTTTTTAAATTATTTGTATGTATCTATTCATCAAAAAACTATTGCGAATATTGCGAATAATCAACTTATAGTTTCTGTACAAACTTTTTGATGCTACGTTCTAAACTGCCTTATTGCTAAATAGGAAAAACGTTTATGAGCCTTAAGACACTCCATACTGATACAATTTTTAAACGAATTCCGAGGGAAATCTGTAAATATTGTCTTCAATTTTTCAGGTAATTTTGTTCGCAAAAAAATCTAAATTATCTAAAAATTTCAGGAGAAAAAATGCATAAACCTTTAAAATAAACATTTTATCGGGTGAAATTTCACAACTCTCGAATTTTCATGCGGCGTTTTTTCTTAGCACGGCAGTAAAAGAGGCATGCTTCATTCATAACCAGTAAAATGTATTTCCTTGTGCCTTTAATTTCTGTATGCATGATGTATAAACATCTAACTCCAATAGGGCGCGAAAATTCGAGAACCTCCATGATTAGCGGCTTTGGAGATACGGTGACCATCGAAGAACACGTAATTAGCCAACTTAATTAGCTTTTTATAAGTACAGATTTTATATTTTCGAAATTAAATTTAATACACTGCATAGTGAAGTCGTTCAAAACATAAACAAAATATGACGGTAAACTGTTGTTATCTTGCTCGTATTGCTTTTAATTTACATCAAACTTCAAAGTTTAGGGGTGGCATTGAGGTCGGGCCTTTTAAGTTGAGAGACGAGAGATCCTTGAAATTGTTTAAGCTCAACAACTATTTGATTGCTTGTGAAAGTAAAATGTGCACAGCAAAGTAGCTGTAAAATTTGTTTCTTCACATTTCATTTTGGAACTGTATGAAGCTTACCATTGCAAATTTGGCTACTCATTTGCCTTTCATATTCTCTACTTAGCTCTCTTCCGTAACTCTTTGACTTTGAATAAAGGGCGCATTGGAAAGTTACGATGTAAGTAAGCCGGTGTTCAATAGAATTAATCTTCTGTTTTTATTATTTTTTTCTCGTTGAGGTAAAAAACAATACGAATGAAGGAGGAACGGACGGACAGTGATCAAATGCAAGAAATTACTCGGACAGTTCAGGAAAACTTGTTTCTGTTTTTGATTGATACATTTTTCTTAAAGTGTGAATACAGGTTCTGCTGTAGTAGTAGATGTGATAGCAAATTTGATTGCATTGATTAGCTTTTTTTTCTGTTTATTCATTTTATAATTTTTCTTCGTATAATCTTTCTCCAGTCTCTGCATTTTTTCGAGTCGAAGCTTCCGAGCGTATTTGGGGTCTATTTCCTCTCTGCGATAGAGCTTTCCATACTGAGATAAAAAGAAATTTCCAGCGACGGGTCCGGTCATGTTGTATTTTTCGGCGAACTCTCTACAGCTGAAGGGAGACCTCAAAGAGTCCACAGGTCTGTTGAATAAAATCAGAATAATAATTGTAGATCTGGTTTAATTTTTTTAGACATATTTTACGAGCAACCCAGTCACGCTTTTGCTAACTTTTGGCTCTAATAGTAGATCACGAATCATAACTTGCACATAATATATTCTCATCTAACCATCTCAAACATAAACCAGCATCCAGAAATTAAAGAAACTGTAAATGCATTCAAACTTTGCTTACGGCTTTTAATTCAATATTGACCGCATCAACAAGAGCTTTTATTTTTGCGTGATTTCCTATGTGTGGGCAGAACCTATTCATTTGAAATATCTCTTAAAGTCTCAGAATATTGGCAAACTCGACACTATATTCAGACTTTACGAATAAAGTATATCACTTATGAAATGGAAGGTCTCGATGTGCCAAAGATGCATCTGACACATGCAGGAAAAAATCTAAAAATACCACTAGTACATACTCCGAAAGCTACCTTTTAGGAAACCCAAATTAATTGAAACCTACATGAAAATAATAACAAAGCCTGATCATTTACATCCATTGCATTTTGGCCAATTTGCGATATTTATTTATGATGACCTTGTCAAAAAGTAATAGTCAATATTCAAAAAAACTTACACTGCAATTGTATGAATTTCCTCATATTTTATTTCTCCACGAGGCTGTTCGTATACCAAAAATACATAACGATGTATACCTGAAAAATTTTAACTTATCGTTATTCATTTTTTATTGTATACTTTTATTTTAAAACAAAACTAAGTTTCCAATTATATCACTGATTCCATCTCTTATAGTAAATATTAATAGTAGCAAATTCCTCTCCACGAAATCACATACTGTATGAATAATACATTTAGCCGGCAATCATATTTGAAATACTAGTATAAACTGTATGTATTTCTTGCAACAATCATGGTACTCAAAATTCGTTTGAAACCTCAGGGACAACACCCCTAACAAGGGCAATGATGAATTCGCAGACTCAGCACACAAGGAAAATTCAAACATAGTAAGTCCACCGGGCGGAAACAGTAACGTTAAAGTCAAACGCTGTTCGCATCATTATTTTGACAGTTTGAAGAATAAACCAAAACCACATTTTTTTTTTTTTTACGATTCCTATAACTTTCAAAAACTAGCAATCAGATAGATTCTCCCAATTCAACCGAGTGAATGGGATTCAATTTATTGTAAGAATTAATACAATTAAATTAATTAATTTCGCCAGGATGCTAAGTTACCTCCCCCAGATTCTTATTTCATAATCTTAGTTGTTTACGTTTCCAGTTTGGTTTTGCTAGCAGATGACGGGCGCGGCGCAGCGTCCTCCAATCCATGGAGATTTTGCAAGTTGGCAACACGGTTTTCCCTGCATTCAAATCCATGAAAAATATCGATTCTAGGCGAGACAAGCTGCCTCAGTGCCTCACCAAGGATCGATTGTTTTACATACCTACATTTAAATGGAGGAAAAACGGTCTTGCCAATTTTCAAGAATCGCCACTGCCATAATACGCCCTTTTTCAGCATACAATCTAAAACTCTTACCAGTGTTATTTTTGGCTTCAACCGGGATATACTCTGATAGAATGGTTCCTTTGATGAAAGTGTTGCCAGGTATGTCGACAACCAACCAATGGTGCCACTGCCTTTCCTTTTTCCGATCTCGACGACTCGGGTAGTCAGGATCTGTCACATTGAGCTTTACGTCATTTTCGCACTGTTTAAATCCTATCCATTCTTACATTATCAAGCCTATAGGCACCCTGGAATACGGGTACAAAATAATATTCCTTATCAAATATGCTCCTCTCCAATATTAGTCGCTGGGGTTTTCGTTGAAAAAATTACAAAGGTATTTAGTGGACAGTCTATAATTTATAGATTGTGCCTGTTGGCAACCCTTGCGTAAATCTAAGAAGAGCTATTGATATCCGCAAAAATCATCAAAATAAGCGCAATTGATCTTTAGAATGAACTTTGACAAAAAATGAACATTTAAATTGTTTAAGCGGAATAATTTACAAAATAACATAATAAAAAAGACCTTTGGCCGTATTCTTAAAATTTGAATAGAAAAGGCTCATGAAGAAATTGTAACGTGTCAAAAGCTACAAAAGTCATGGAAATCAGCCTAAAGGAGCGGTAGAACAGACCTTCACAAAAAATTAAACTTTAGGGAAACTAATAGGGGGAGCTTATAGTAATGATAATAAACCATCTATTTGCACAGCCTCGGTTCAATTTTCTGAAAAATGATGACAAACCTATCATAATAAGTGTGTAGTTTCTTTTCCGTTCCGCAGGCCATGATAAAAATGTGGGTGCTTCCCTTGATTCCATCCTGGTGATGTTGTTACCAAAGTCTACGACCACTTTAGCACTAGTGTAACCAACCTGAAACAGCAATTTTATACACATTTACAGTGTAATATACAAAATGCTGAGTGATGACTTCCCCCAAATTTAGAAATCTAATATTACTTAGTTTCTGCCTGGTGTATCAGTTTCTTTCATTGCAAATTATGAAAAATGGATAATTTTACATTAAAATTATCTGGTAGAGTTTGAAAGCGGTTATTACCACAGTAAACAGTGAGCGACAAGCCAAAGATACTGCCATAATGTATTCTAGATCACCACGAAATTGTGATCAATTGTTTTTTATTTTCTGTTTTATTTTTTTTTTGTTTTTTCTTTCCTGAAAGAATTTAATGGTCCATTTTCATAATATTTTTCATATTTTACTCCTACAGACGAATGATTACTTACTTGTAAGACATGAGGTGGAGAGGCATCAATTACATCTGGAACAATCTCATGTTCTTCAAAAAGTTTTTTAATTTCGTCTGATGTTTTACGGGGGTACTTCGGATTCCATTTTTGCTTCTTCTTTTCCGATCCATTTACACTAATGGAAATCACCAATGTCAAAATGGATATAACCGCTCTCGATTGCATGATAGTACATTTAATTTCAGCACAGTATCCTGCTCATGTTTTTATCTGGAAGGAAAATACGTTCATTTTAGTTTGGATAAATTACTGAGCATAATCTAATATGAATACTTCTTTATTTGTAAAAAATCTTGTATGCCTGACCGAAACAAAAAATTTTTAGGCTCGTGATGACTCTAAATTTAAACGTAGAATACAAAAAAAACAAAAAAAAAAACGAAAAAAGCCTTTCAGCTCTCTCGTAATTTGTCTTGTAGGGAGCTTGTCTAAAATTAATTATCTGCATTCAAATTTTCTCTTTCTCATTTTTACTTAATTTAATTCGTTTGTTTATTTATTTGGTAGATTTTCTTTATTGGATATTTATGCCATGGAATGCAAAGCCTCCTTTGATTTATTCAGATATTGAGCGTATTCAACATATTCAAATATATTAATGACGTCATAGTTTTTTTTTTTTTTTTAATTTTTTTATCCAGTATTTTGCGTAAAACTTCAAGTCTCTAATAAAAGAAACACCCTTTTGCTCTAAAATGTTTACACGCACAACCACTTTTAGAAACAACAATTTTATCAATCTCTCTGTTTTGAAATGGTGTATACTGATGACTGCTTTCACATTTGAAACGAATCTTAATGATCAACAAAATATCGCGTTTCAACATTTTGAAAAGTAGAAACATGCGTAATGCATCGCTGCTAAACAAGAACTAAAAAATACGGGATTTGGTCTCGATATACATAGTTGAACCACAAAGAATCTTATCTCTCAAAAATTACTTTGAATGATGGACGCAGCCTTAGTTTTAAAATTCTATTCCTCTTCCCCGTCTCCATTTCAATGGAGCTACTATTTTTCATGAAAAGCACAATCCAACACAAGCCACATGTATTAACTTGATACGTTTACACATTTTTTTTGGTGTTCGATGCCTAGTTCAGATTTGTAGATTCATGCAACGACATACCTTGGAGTTCTTAGTGACAGTGCTTGCACTTAGTATAACTATTCGCGCTCAAGGGTTGTCCGTGTTGCATGCACACCCAATTGCAGGCGCTTTAGATTTCACATTTCACATGCCATGGCGTTGACCATACCAAACTTCGGATTCGATTGAGACAACATTTTTCCAGAAGAAATTAAAATCCGCTTAACCCCATCTAAGCCCAAAATTTTTCATTTTTCTCTTTCTCCGGCTTTAGGACATTTCGTCAACGAATTTTTAACCGAACACTTGTTTTTACCAGTAGTTTAAGTCCACGCGTTTTTTCGGCAGGGGAATTTTGGTCCACTTATTGAGACCCAAAGTTAATTGGTCAACATGTAAGTACAAACAACATTTGCTCACGACGTTTTTGGATGAAATGTACAATGTCTTGGAAGAATGAGGGTTCGCTCGTTTTTTGTTTGTTTGCTTGGCCAAACGGAAACAAATATATAATTGAGAATTTTGGCGTCAATTCCATGAGGGAAAATTCACTAAAACTCTCTACACCTCTTTGATGCAACAGGACTTAATTATCTTTCAAGAAAATCCCATCTTCTTATACCTGAATCGGATGAACCTTTTGATTTTCCTCAGCTGAAAGCTCTTAGATTTTTCCTGTGTACGATACTTGACGACGGCGCCGGCGTGCCACAGCGCTTCGAACTACTGTTTCGCCATGGAGGTGTTGCACAGTATCATACAAGATTGAAGGCACTCCAACGTATCATGATTGATGCATTTTTCAAAAGCACGAAGTTCCCTCGCAAATTAAATCGAGTGAAGACGAAAAAAAAGGAGCTGTAGTCGAAAAACTTGCTAAGTCCAAGTATCTGATCCAGTAACGTTCAGCATGATTTTTGAACTTAATTAAAGGAAAGTGACTCGATTCAAGCAGAAATATGCTCAAATTTACCGCCGAGAAGATTTCTTTATAAATCAATGAAGATAATAATGCCTGTTTAGAGAAAAAAGCATGTTTAAATAAAAAGAAAAGTCACTCAGACCAAGCAGAAACCCGCTTTCATTCAGCATTTTATTCTTGATTCAAAATAAAATCTTCTTGACGGCATACTCACTAATGTTTCTGCCTAGATCGAGTCATATTGTTCTCTAATGAAATTCAAAAATGTTGCTAGCTAAACGTTAACAAAAACGGATGCAAGGACTAAGTGAGTTTTTTAGATTACCACTCTCTTTTTGTAACGTAGCATCTTGATTTATTTTGCAAGGAAAGCTGTGTACCCTTAAAAGAAGCTTGTCATTTTTGATACGTTGGAGCGGCTATGATACTATGCAACACCTATGTCGCGAAATAGTTGCTTGAAACGCCGTAGCACTCCGCGACGCGGCGGGCGACCAGCGTGACACGCGCATAGGAGCCTACGAACCTAACAGGGATACTTCACGCATAGCGCAACGCGTGAGGTATCCCGTTAGGTTTGTAGGCGCCAGTGCGCAAATTGCTCTGTGTTAAGCTCAAATATTTAATCTCGCGGAGTCAGCGTTTTTCAACTCACGATTTTGAAACATTTGCACGCTCTGCGCGGATTAGTCTAATTTAAATTGATGAAAAAAATATGACGGGTGTTTGGAAAATATTAGGGTGGTTTCGTGTCCAATTTAATGATTTCTACAGCTTCTTAATTTTTTTTTTTTTTTTTTTGCTTTTACTGTGCTGCAGCGTGGTATATTTGCAACCAAATGCTCAAAATTGGACGTGTTTGACTGTAAAAGATCGATGTAAAAGTGGGTTAAAACCAGAGATTGCGTCCTCCTTGGTTTTTTCTCTCTCTTTTTCATTTTTGTATAGTTCCTTTCAACACAAGTGCGGCTCATTGAGATTAATATCGATGCCGGTCTGAAATACAATCTTTGAACCAAGTCACTGTTTCTTATTTTACGCGTGAACGTAAATTACTGGACTAAACAGGTGCCCGGACAAAAAATCGTTGACGGAATGTCCTGAAACCCTTTCTCTTTTCACAAAAAAGAGAAAAAGAAAAGAAAATTGGGGCTGCGATGGGAGGAAAACTGAATTTTTAATTTTTCCTGTAACCATTTTGAAAAGCAATCTTGCAGATAAAAACGGATATTTGAGAAAATATGAATTAATTAGAAGTAAATGTTTCCTGAAATGCTTTGACTCTAAGTCCTGGGATTGAAGCATTAGATTGTGGTGGATGTTAAGATATTTTGTATTACTTAGCTCTAGCGCTTGCGTAAGTTCCTCCTTTAATCGTAGGATTTTGTATGCGCCTGTTCAGAAATTAGATGAATTTGAAAATAATAGATGTGATGTCACATTTTTATCTGCTTTGTCTGATTCTCTTAGATAAGGAAACACTATATTGAATGGGATTTGGTTTTAATGGGAGTTGTCCGTCTTGTAATTGTTTTCATAGTATGCATCAAATTCTTAATGAAGCTAGTAGGAATACGTCACTGTATTCGCTATTCATTGAGTTGTTGTGGGTCAAAACTGACTATATAAGATGCTCTTAGTTAAATTTAGTCACCTGCTATTCATCAAACGATGTGATTTACTCGCTTGGTCCGAAATCAATTTGCACAACTAAAAAAGCAGTCCTCTCCTGTGGCTGACATCAATTATCACTCTTTTATCAAGCGTAATTTTGACATTTTAATACGAAAGTGTGAAGCTAAGATAATTATCAATTTTATGAAAATGTTTCTTTTTTATGCCTGAATTTCTCAATGCCCGTCTCAAAATTTCCAACATATTTTGTGTACGTGACTTTTTCTTAGTTAAAAGCGTCTTAACGCCAGGAACAGTGTTTCTTGAATTTGATGTAGACGCACTATCCTGAGATGTAATTCTTTCAGGAAGTTAAATTTATGATTAGTTCTCTTCTTTCATCACCTCCCCCCCCCCCAAAGAAAAACATATTACCTCGATATGAGACGAATGTTTCACCTCCCGGTTGCAGCCAGCGTAGCAGTCTTATTAGGTATTTTTTATTCTTTAAAAGTCACCGTTGGTATTCGTAGGTATAATCTTACGGCTGTAGAAATAGATGAACTGTTGAGAAAACACGAAATAATTCCTGATGTCATTCAAACTGCTCCGAAAAACGTTTTGCAGGTAAATGAGACACCATAATTTGCGTTCTTTCCGTTTTACATAACACCGGTTCGTTCAGTGTAAAATGATGATAAGGAAAAGCTCCGACTAATCACTTTTTACTTTTTTTACTGTTTTACAAGGGTATCTCATACAGATCGATCCACCCTTTAACATTTTTTTAATTAAACGTGATGGTATAAAATAAAAGAAATGTTTATTTTATTTATAAAATATCTCTGAGCTTTTGAACTGCTTTTTAAGTAGAACAACTCTGTCAAGTTCGTTCGACAAATTAACTTGCGTATTTAATACTTTCTCATGGAATCATAGCTAAAGCTAGATTGAGGTTGAGATTTGGAGGGAAGGAGTTTGTCCTGATTAAAATTAAAATTAATCGTTAGTTGTTATTTTATTGATAAAAGCCACTGAGCGACCTCTGGCTCGTTCCCATTGCCGGAACGGTGCTTGCACCAACCTTTGTAGCGGTTACACTAAAAAGGAAATACAACCAAAAGCAAATTTTCCCCTCGTAGTAAGAAAAATAGGGTTAGAAAAAAAGAGGAAAGAATATGATCCTGGTTCTTTTTAGGACTTGAATTGTTTGAATTTCTGATTAGAGTCACGGTGGAATCTATAAAAAAATACATTTTGAATATTTTTTTAATATTATATTATTTGTTATTATTGTTATTTTTATTACTTATTATTTGTATTATTTTTTGAATACTTTTGAATATTTTAACTCAGAGCTTGACATCATTTTGAGCCAGCAGTACAGGGGGCTATCCAAGATTTACGTAAATGATTTTTTTCGATTTTATTTACCCCCTCTCCCTCTTAAGGCAGCCCCACACTCCCCTTTTTTTGATTTACGTAACGCTGACTTGACCTCCCCCCGACCAGAGAATGCTGAGAAAATAGCTCGAAAAAAATTCGGAGTTTTTTTTTTTTTTTTTTGGAGCAGAAAAGATACATTGGATATGTTAAGGTGCTCATTCCCCCAAGATGTGTGGTTTGTAAAATAGCAGTGGAGGTTAGGAGTCGTAGAGCGCGAGGGAGTGCTGTAAAGCGACTTGTATGTATGTGGAAACGATTCATTCGGGAAGGGCGGGATTTTAAATTTTTTGCACGTTTTTCAAAGTTTTTCCCCCTGCTCGGATATGTTACGTAACGCTGGGATTGACCCCACTCCCCTCGTAACGCATCGTAACGCTGGCTCAAACCCCCCCTCCTCCCTAAGTGCGTTACGTAATACTTGGACGGTCCTTAGGTTCATTTTAGATTGCAACGACAATGTAGATAATTTTTGACAGGTCACTTATTTTCCAACGCTTGTGAAATTTGGAAATGAAATAAATGCTACCGAAACAGATATGGAGCCCCCATTGATGGAATGGCCAGCAGATTCGGAGTACCAATACACACTAATTATGACAGGTAATAGCGTTAACAGGATGATGTTTGTAAATATTTTCTGATCTTTATAAACAGAGTAAAGTAAAGTACTCACAGTAAGAAAGAAACATACAGGGAACCAGGGTCTTTTTAGACACTATCTGTTCGGTATGGAGCAACACGTGACGTGCAGCTCAACAACTAAACTTTGCACCCGATTGTGTAGGACCGGCATCGTTGTTGGAGGTTTTTAGATAGTAGTAGTTATTTTAAAAAAATAAATGTTAAAAGTCGGTGAATATTCTAATTTGCGAGGAGAAATGAAACAGGAAAATGTAAAGTTAATTTACATACGAAGAAATAGTATCTCATGAAAATAGCCAATGTACCTGTTGCTGCTCTCATTTTTCGTCACTTTAATACATTAAATTCACAGATCGAGCACGAGACGTTTTGAAATAGTGACTGTGTTGAAATTATATTTTATTCGATTGATTTGCCTAGATCCTGACGTTCCAAACCGAACAACACCTTATGAGAAAGAATGGCAAAACTGGATAGTCGTGAATATTCCTGGCTGCAAATTCACGGATGGCGAAGTCCTCACAGAGTACATTCCACCATTACCGGATCAAATATATGGAGGTATGAGTATTCAACTTTCTTACGGTCAACAACAATATTCAAACCCTCAAACAACAATGCTCTCTCTCCGGAAATATAGAATAATCCTTTACTGAATAATTTCAGTGTTTGAAATCCGCTTGACAATATCTGCGATCAACGCTAACTGAAATCTAAAAATGAGGATGGGCCAGTGCGAGATAATCTCTTTAGATCTGATCGTAGAACTTCATCTACACCCTTAGTAAAGCTTCATATCTCAACCCTTGTATGTGTCTCGTCAATGATTTTAAATTTGTCCAATATCTGATTTTTCATTTCATAAAGGTTGTTCACCAGACCAGAACACGACAAATGGAAAATTATTAGAATACAACAAAGAAATCATCGGAGAAAAAAAAAGGGGGGAACCCCCCAAAAAAGAGAAAAAAACGAAGAATGGAATAGCTTTTCTAAAAACGAGCTTTTTTGAGGAAAAACAACGAAAAATTAAAGAAGTGAAGAATTCAAAGTTAATGTTATAATTTTGTTATTTCTCCATAGGCGTGCATAGAGTGGTATTTCTAGCGTACAAGCAGCCGCTACTTGATATAATTTTCAGAGAGCCGGAACTTGGCGAGGAACAGTAAGTCAGATTTTATATAACCTAATGATATATTTTTTCAGTAAGTGAGCTTTGTATTGCATTCAATCATATTCCATTACTCTTGATGTTCCGAGCAGCAGAAAAGAAGGCCCAAAGGCAAGGTCCAATCTTCGGCTGGGAGAGATTGGACCGAGAGGCATCACATATGAAAATTGGCATTTTATTTTAAGTTGCTCACCTAGACTGAAACGAAACGAATAGTACGGAGCATTTCGTCGCTTTTATATGTCTTTCGCAAAGGTGCATATCTTTGTTTGACTACCGTGTCCTACTGCCGTTCCCGGCTGTCCGCTCTAAAATAAATGTTTGGGGGTGGGGGGCAGAGAAACAAACCAAAAGTTGACTTCTCTTGTTCGATCCAATGTTCTGCCTAATTTGAAATTTCCACCATTTTTCATGGGCAAGAATTCAAACTTTGCTTATTGCTCCTTACCTTGCTTAGGTCCCCAGTCTCCTCTAATATAACAACCTGGCTCATATTTCAAAGCTCTAAATTAAACGGGCTCATCTAGAGAATAACTTCAATCAGTTGGGACAAAAATCATGAAATTAATTTTTCCCTCTTTTTCGAGGAAAATAATTTTCTCACGAAAGTCTCAAAAGTGCCTCAGTTATGAGGAAGTATCCAGTAATAGAAGTCTTTAAGTCAACAAACTGTCAATTGGACTATTTCTACCAAACAGAACTATGTGCGGGTGGGAATGATGGGATGCTTTCTAGACATCTGTATAAGAAATAATGTAAAAGCGCTGCCGTGATAGCGAAGAGAGCCGTAGGTGCAAAATTTTCGAAATCGAGTTTTCTTCAAAATTCGTTTGAACTCTTTTAGATGAAATTACTGAGACAGTTAAAACAGCAAAATTCATCCCAATTTAATGAAAACGAGACGTATGAAAAAGCCGTAAGTGCACAAAAAATGACATAGTTTTTTTCAAGACAGCCGTGCGTGCATGAGAGCCAATGAAAACAGTGCTTTCAAGAGGAATGCCGCCCACATCTGCCGATTTCTAACCTGAAAATGTGTTTGTTGTGTGTCAAACACGCTACGACAAAAGCACGCAGAAGATATCACGTATTGCAGTCTTGCCAAATACTAACCAATACTGAAAAAAAAGTTCGGTAAATCCGAACTAGTTAGGATCATATGGAACCAGATTTTGTTCGGTACACATAACCGAATTATTCGGTCTGTTCAACCAAATTGTCCGGTTTGTGCGACCGAACCATAATAAATTCTTACAGTTCGATTCAGTGGACCGAACAGTTCGGCTGAGCAGACCGAATAATTCGGTCGTGTGTACCGAAAAAAATCGTGGTTCCATATGCTCCGAACTAGTTCGGATTTACCGAGATTTTTTCTCAGTGATAACATGAAACTGAATTTTACCTTTTTCATATACTTTAAAATAAAATCAGTCGAGTTTTAATCCCCCAAATGATTTCTTAGAGTCTATCGAATGATTGGTTGCGATTTGACAAAGAACGGAGGCTTCTTTCAATAAAATGTTCCACTCAGAAGCTTCTGAGCCCGTTTTCTCAAAACTTCATCTTTGAACTTTCTGCTCCCTCCCCTATCACGGCAGAGCGGGCGTGATTCCCTTTCGAGAGATGGTAAAGCGGGATTTTACATTCTGCCAAACGGAACTATGTGCCAACTGAATTCGGGACTCATGAGCCGTGGGCATGGCAAAAGAGCCTTGTGGATGGGGCTCATGAGTTAAAGCGGAGGATGGGTGACAATCGGGGACGGCTTCGTTGCCGCTGATGTTACTAGCGCTTCAAAATTCTCATACATTCTTATCGCTCGAGAACTAACTACATATCGACGGTGAAACTACCAAACCACGTATCTCGTTTGCGGTGTTTAAAAATCTACGCTCACATTTTATTTTTTTGAAGAAGACCAAATCAATATCATTCCTTGAAATTTTCACGGAATTTTCTCCGCACGAAGAAACAAAATCACAGAAATTTTCAAGACTGAATGTTAAGTAGTTTTTCCTTTAAAAAATAAAGTATGACAGGAAGTCTGCGACGCCGCAAACCGAGATACGTGGTTTGGTAGTTTCGCCGTCGATATAGCACACCCAAACTTCCCCACCTGCACGCAGTTCTGTTTGGTAGAAATACGCCCAATTGTTTTATCAATTTACTATTAAACGATGTTGGGTATTTCTTTTTCAGAACATCTTACGAACATCGCGGTAAATTTTCTACGGAAAAGTTTGCAAAGAAATATAAATTAGGAGATCCTGTTGCAGTAAATTTCTTCTACCTAAGGTGGTCTAATATTGATTAAACTGTATTTTTCTGTGAGCGAAAACTATGTAAAAAAGAAATTTATAACGTTAAATATCATTTTGAACTTTCAACCTCTATCAGTGCGCAATATAAATTGAAAAGATCTGACCGTGGTTAGATGTGAGTATGTGTCACTAGGGTGCGGCTTATACGATAAATTAAAATGATGAATTTCAAAATTGACAAGGGACCCCGCCGAAACGTTCCAAATAATGTGAAAACAAACGTTGTAGAACGATTTTGCATTTGCTCAACATTTAGAGGTCCCAACGGACCCTTAAAATAGCAAAATTTGGCTAATTTTTGCATTTTTTAATCAATTTTGGCAAATTTTCTCAGGTCTCAAAGAGAGTTCTGATTGATAATTTATTCGAAATAGGCAAAACATAGCCTAAAATGCACTCCATCCTCCACCTAAGGCCCTCCATCCTCCACCTAAGGCCCTCCATCCCCCCAACCTCCCTCCCTTAACGCTCCAATAGAAATACACTCTTTAGAAACTACGCTATTTTGATAGTGACTAGAAATCGAGAGTAACTTTGGTAAAGACGGGTTGAAATGTAATGGTCCCAGGGTAGTTTTTAGCGCTGAGTCCAAAAATAACCTCCGTAAGGCTGGGTCAGGTCAACTTCCCCCGCAAAAATCTGGATTCTATTTAAAAATTGAGCTTTTCTGGAGAAAAATCAATTTTCTGGAATATCCGTGCATGATGGAGAAAAGCGAACATTCTTTTCGGAATCAGCAGCTAAAATTACATGGGTATCTGTGTATTGCATGCCTAATAAAGTTTCCATTCTGTTCCTAATATCGAGGTTTTTCGGACTAGTGCTCCTTTCCGCTCATGTAACAGTGGGCCACCTTAGTGTTCAGTGTGCCATTGCATCAGGACAATATCTTAGTACTCAAAGGTCAATGATTTTCCAACTTATGATTATAATGGTGACAGGTAAGAGGGTCAGATAGGTCACGATTTTGCAGTATGACAACCCCACGTATGCATTTAGGTTAGCAAGTCCTTGCAGGTGTGAACACATCTAATGGAATTGAATTAGTTAGAGATGGAGCGATGTGCTGTCATGAAAACGGCTGTGGGTCTTCTTTAGACGAGAAATTTCACTCTTCAAATAAAGTAAAGTTCTTCAAATAAAGATGAAAACCGCTGATGCCGCAAGTTGGAATAATCCCATCAAACGCAGTGCGGCCGGCGCGGAAAGCATATTAGCGCCGTAGAAGACCGCAGGATACTTCATGCATTGCGCGCACAGGACGGTGCTCGCGGCGCATCGTATAGCGCCTTACAAGTCTGCAGGATACTTCATGCATTGCGCGTATACCACGGTGCACACTCAATGTCCCTCGGGCTTCAAGTGTCACCAATGACAGTTGAGTTTGATCGTATTGTAAGCATAAGATAATAAAAACTACAGTCCCACATAAATTGAAAGACGGACAATTGCTCCTCCTCTGGACCAATGTTACTTTCGATTTCTGGTCACTATCAAAATAGCGTGGTTTCTATAGAGTGTATTTATATTGGAACGTTAAGGGAGGGGGTTGGGGGGGATGGAGGGCTTTAGGTGGAGGATGGGGTACAATTGGACGTATTTCTACCAAACAGACCTATGTGGAGGTGAGAAAATATTAGGTGTGCTCCTTAGTTCTCTTTGCGTAAGAGTGAATGAGAATAATAAAGCGCCAGTGACGTCAGCGGCAACGAACGAGCGCCGGCACAACGGGGAGATCGTTGGAGGGAGTCTTTAACTCATGAGCCCTGTCCACAAGGCTCTCTTGCCATGCCCGCGGCTCATGACTGCCGCATTCAGTTGGCACATAGGTCTGTTTGATAGAATGCAATATCCCGCTTTTCCAATTCTACAAAAGGAATCACGCACACTTTTACATTGCTTCTTATGCAGCTTTCTAGAGCACACCTCATATTTCTCACCTCCTCATAGGTCTGTTTGGTAGAAATACGTCCATTTTAGGCTATGTTTTGCCTGTTTTGAATAAATTTATCAATCAGAACTCACTTTGAGACCTGAGAAAATTTGCCAAAATTGATTAAAAAATGCAAAAATTAGCCAAATTTTGCAATTTTGAGGGTCCGTCGGGACCTCTGAATATTGAGCAAATGCAAAGTCGTTCTACAGCGTTTGTTTTCACATTATTTGGAATGTTTTGGCGGGGTCCCTTGTCAATTTTGAAATGCGTCATTTTAATGTATCGTATGAGCCGCACCCTAAGTGTGTCGCGTAACGCATTACGTATTACTCTTAAGGCACGTAAGTGAAAGTGCGCTGGCTCAGAATGGTGAAAATAATTGTTCTCGCCCCAAAAGTTATTAAAAAAGGGAGCAAACAATTTATCTTGCGTAGTATTTTTTAACATATCTATGTGATCTATTTACTTTAAATAAATGATGAAAATATAATTATGAAAATATTACTTGTAGAAAAAAAAATTATTTTGTAGAAAGTGAGACAGTATTTACAGTATTGAGAAAAGTGTTTTTCTCATAATGTTTTTTAAATTACATTATTATTGTTGGTGTAATTTTTCAAACCATTAAACCTTCAGAAAGCCCTCCTTCATATGGGATAAAATACAAGTAAATGCTAAAAATATTATTATTATTTTTTAATTATTAGTGATTTTTTTTATCAATTTATTCATTTAATCTTCTTCATGAGTCTACTCTCTACTGGTTTCTCCTCACAGTTTTCTCTCCTTCCTTCCCTCTTTAAATTCATGCTAGAGAATACTTTAATAGCTCCTGTTTTTAGATTAGCCTTTTCAATGTTATCAGAACGTAAGTGCCGGAGCAAGCACTGGGTTCAGTTATGTCATCGACCATCAGTCACAGTAAGTGAAACTTAGTGTATATGGGGGTAGTTCATTTGAAAGCGGTTCCTACCGTTTGGTTCGTTTGAAGGTTTCTTGCCGGTAGAAAATTAATAGGACGGCATTTATAATATTTTGAAATTAGAGGGGAAAAAATATAAATGAATTTAGGATGCATTTTACACGAGTAGCAGGGACATTTTATGAAGCAGAACTAAATAAATCGATTAAACTACTCTTTAAATTGAATCGCTAGATTAAGTTTCTAGATTTACATTTAATGGTCGTGAGAGGGAATGAATCAGGGACTCCAAATTTCATTATAAGATGAAATCATCAAAGATTTTAGTTCGCCTTACTTGTAATAGCGTTGTCGCGAACAATAATGTAATGTATGACACAAAATAGCAAAATTAAATATGTGAAGTGCATGTGTGAGTGTGGTTATGGCATCATAGATGATTGACAGGTAAATAAAATGTATGCGTTACCGATCTAATAAAATGCCGATTCGTGTCTTTCATCAGTTTATTTTAACTTCACACTTCACGATTTTTATGGCGTGTACAAACATGAGAACTCCACCAACTCTTACAACCACATCTAAACACAAGCAGAAACAATTGCAAGGAATACAGGAAAATTCATCAAAAGCGCCTCCAAACTCAACACTCATCGATCTGCCAGTTTTTACCCACGACGAAATCGACCCCGAGATCAAACCATACATTGATAAGGTCTACAATGACTCAGACTTCGACAAAATCGTCTACGCCGATGGTGACAAGGTAAAGTCCAAGGGTGCACACTCAGCATGCCTGTCAAGTTTTTAGACTTTTTTATCACATATTGTAATGTCTTAAAGCAAATTTAGGTTTGTTCATAACTTATAGAAATATTCAGACTTCTAATTTATAACCAAATGGCAGGGGAGCCCGAGAGGTTAATCGAAATTTCTGGACTTATCTCCAGAAATGCTAAACACGCGGCAAGCTGTGCGTACAATATTTTCTTAATAATTTGTTGGAATATGTTTTGTTAGTCAAACTCCCCAATACATGATTCAAGAATCAGTTTAACTCTTACATGCACAAATAAGACAAACGGAACCAACACAACATGGAAAAATAACAAGGAAAAGGATGCGCGTTGATGACGGGGCAGAGATACAACTATTCGTACTTGATGGATGACCGTATTGCGTCTGCAAAATTGAAGGCGCCCTAGCGTGAGGCGTAAACCCGCCATGCTCTTCTCTGTATTGCCAATGAGGTGTCATGCTGATTCGGGAGAAAAAATAATATACAAGGCCCGATCACGTTTTTTCTAACTTCGACTGTATTGCTCACGTAGTCCATTCAGCAACCATGCAAGAAAAAAAAATAAAAAATAAAAATAAAAATAAATATAACCAGACGGAACCAACACAGCACTGCGCAGCTAGAGAAAAGCTAAGGGTGCGCGTTGATGACAGCGCAGAGATATAACTGTTCGTTCTTGATAGATGTTCGTGTTGCATCTGCAAACTTGAAAGCAAGATACCCAAGTAGCAGTGATCGCGATAAATAGCTAATTTATCGGTTGATTATCGCGATTATATCGGTGACAATTCATCGCAATATTGTCGAATGAAAACTTGCGATTAATGGCGATTAAATCGCTATGCATCGCAATTTTTTGTTCGACAAAATTGCGATCAATTTTCCCGATAAAATCGAGATTAAATCGCCATATATCGCGATTTTTGCTTCAATAATATCGCGATAAATTGCCGGGCAATTAATATAAATCGCGATTATACTGCAACAAGATCGAAGATGACCGCTCAGATTTTGATGATCCTAGCGATTTTATCGCCAATAAAATCGCAATATATCGCGATTTTTCCGTTGAAAAATGCTACTTGGGTAATGGTGCTAGGCATGAACTTGCAATGTTCCTATGATGCCATCAAGACATCCAAATGTTCAGTTTTAGTCTCATTGTCTGCTTATTTCCGAATCTGCACGACTAGTCTTCATTATTTTCGAACTATAGGTATTTCATTTTTCTAGAAGAGTTTGCTGTTTTAAAACCTTTGAATTATTCGCCGTCTTTTAATACCATAAATTCGTTAATAAGCGATTATTTGTCCATCAGATTTATCATCCGGCCTCGACAGGTCCCTCTGTTTTATGGAAAAAGAAGGCAAGGGTAGAATTGATCCACTGGCACATGTTAGTTCTGTAGAATTTCAGCGATTTAACTTGCCTAATTTCCATCTCTTTCCAACATCAAGACCTTCATTAATACATTTTCCAAAGAATTTTCCTTCGTCCGCATCTTTAGCGCAAAAAAGTTATGACCTACTCAACGACATACACTCTTTATCCCACTTTTTCATGTATACATAAGACGTGATAAATGAAAGCTTTGACATTTTGATTGTGTAATTACACAGGATGTAATAAAACATTTCTGGAATGAATTTGTGAGAACTGGAACTAAAATCACTGTGCAGTATTTTTCAAAAATAATTATTAAAAATTGTATCTTAAATTGTTAGTGAGTAGCAATATAAGTGAATTCAGTAGAGGTGACGTTATTTTTTTTCTCCCCCGATTTATAGGTCACCATTTTATACGATCGAGACAAGGAGTCAGAAGACGACGACCCGGAAATACAGCGATTATTGAGGAAGATGAAAGAAGAATCCAATGACGAATACCGTCGAACAAAAATGAACTACTTCAATCATACCGTTGGTCACTTCCTCAACAAGACTGAGGAGGAGTTGAAGTTTTTACAAGAGCGGAACCAAATTTATGATGACTTAATAGAAAAACCGGCACCAAATATTATACAGGTGTTGGACGTATTATGTTATGTACTTATGCCCTCCTAAAATATAGCACCGCTTTTATTTTCGACTTTAGATCATTGTGTTTGAATGTATATAACTTCTATTCTTTACGAAAAATAAGCTTCAATCTCATTGAGCTAAAAATGCTTCAAAATTAAAATTATTCAGTGCGAAAAATATTGTATTGTTTTTTTTTTTATACACTTGCAAATAATTCGAGAATTATTACCGCTGCAGACTGCTGTTTAGAGAGCTGTTTTGAAACATAGGACGAGGGGTGAGGGGGAGAGAGCAAAACAAAACAGCTAGTATTGCCGACGCAATCCACTGAATACGGTACTAAGAATATAATATGAATTTTATAGATAAAAGTTTTGTTCGATAAAAGTTCATATAGATAAAAGTAAAGCTTCAGTCTTTTCTGTCTTACTTAGACATAGCAATCATGATAAAGGTTTGTATATCGTCATTCAAGAACTGATCTATCCCTTTGATCTACAGGTTGCGTACGGCAAAGTTGTAGTTGAGCTCGGGAATGAAATTCATGCAAAACATACAACAAGGATGCCATCGTATGTCACATGGCCGGCAGAGGACAATTCTCAGTACTGCCTGATAATGACAGGTAAGGAACGCATTGGGTATATTTATATCAGTGAATTGGCAATTATATTGTCACTAAAACACTCTCAAACTCAAAATAGCAATATTCTTTCTATCGCGGTGGTCCTCCAAGAGAATTGGAATATAATGGGTTTTTTTCAGACATATAATCGCGCAAAAATCACCAAGGACCCTAAAAAAGTCTGAAATCCACTCCTTTGCGTAAAATCTGCGAAGTATGCATGACAAACTTTTTCGAATTTCCCGCGTCCGTGCATGGACATATAATCTAAGTTGACGGTGACCAAGTTTGCCTAAAGCCTGAGACAGCGTGCCTAACTTGAGTAAATAAACAAGTGTGTAAACTTTTTCGAAAGTTCGATTTTAATCATTTCGATTTTTTCCAAGCGTCCGTTTCCTCTTATTTATTTATTTATTTATTTATTTTTAGAGAAAAAAGTTTTAAATTAATAATAATATTACGTGAGGAAATTGTCAACAGTTTGAAAAGTATTTGTTTGCCTAGGTTAGATTTTCTCGAGTCTCTCTCTCGGCAAACCTGACTGCCGGCCGGTCGATAAGAAAACCTGCCACCCGACGCGGAAAATTTGAGATGTGCTGGTTACACGCTCAAATTTCCATCAATTTCCGATCAAATGGTGACTGGTACGCACCATCTACCATCAAACTGCGGCCTGCAAAAATTTGATGGTAGATGATGGAGCTCTGGGGCTCATCCTTCATCTGATTTCCACACAACCGTGCTTATTTCATGCTTATTCCAATCAACACGCTGTTTTAATTAATTTTATTCATCAATCTAGATAACTCTCGACCGCCATCTTGGTCATTATTTAATCGGAGTTTGACGGAAATTTGAGCGTGTAACCAGGCTAAAAAAGCGCGTTCAAAATAACTATGCAGTTTGTGCGTTAGGGAGTGGATACCAGAATTTGTTGATGTGCCTAGCGATTTTGGTGTGATTTTACATGTAGAGTGTCTGTTCACATGGCTGGGTCTCTTGCATGCAACGGACCCATAAACATTTTATATTTTAGCAATATGACCTCCGCTGGCTCTGATTGATTATTTATTTGACACTTCAATATTTCTTTACCGCCCTAAGTCCTGTAAACTTCATAGAGACCTCCCGGGAAAAATTATTTTCTCTGTTGTGCTTTTTGCGTTTTGACAGATCCGGATACGTCTTATCACTCCCGACCGGGAAAACCGAGAGAATATCAACACTGGGTTGTCGTCAATATCCCCGGCAATAATTTATCTGGTGGAGAATTCATAACGGAATATGTCAGACCTCACCCAGAGTTCGATGGAGTTGGTGAGTAGCTTAGAGTATGAACCCAGATTTGGTGTATGAAAGAAATGTCTTTCGTCAAACCTAATGATGCGCATGCGTTTGTATGGTATTGTCTCCTGCAACCACACTGACCACTAGCAGTTTTAACAATGAACAATAGAAACAAACAGTGAACTATAATGGCGTTAATAAGGCGCGTTGTTAAGTCACCCATCAACATGATCATTTTCATTTACAGAGATTGTACATATATTGTAAGTAAGTATAGCACATGAGGGAATTTCACGATCTACGACAGTAATTGGTGGTGAATCGATTTTTGAAAGAATCGAATCGATTTGGTCACTCTGATATTTTGCCAGGGCCGGTTCTTTTCCCTCTAAGATCGAAAGAATCCGTTTATTTTCATAATTCTTACATAAAAAAAAAAATATTTTAATTTGTTAGAAAGAAGGGTACTGGCATGCTTCATTGCGAATATCCTTTTATTTCTTGTGAAAAGTCCGAAATTATCCAAACATTTTAATTCTCCTGGGATCTAATTCGATCGGATCATCTCATGATAAGTTTGGCAAACCCGATTGGTTAATTTTGAAATGTTAGATTGGTGGGGAAAATCGGAATTAGAAATGTATCATGCCTCTTAATTATATGGCTATTGCACGTTATAGAGCATACTCGGCTCATTAATCCGAAGTACTATAATTCAAAATCTTGAGAATACCAAGAAAATGCTGTGAAAAAGTCTTGAAAAACTTGAAAGCATGGAGGGAAGTATTTTACGCAAAGAAATTCCAGTTTTATTTAAAAAAAAAAAAAACATTGCAGGTAGTTGATTAAAAATAAATTATTTTTTGTAGAATCATTTTCTTTAGTTCAGTGTTACCAAACTCTCAAAAGTTAGAACAGAAAGAATGACGTCCAACGAGTACGTTTGTCAGCTCACTATATTTTATTACGCTCTTCTCTGCACTTTCAGTGACACATTTGTTCTCATTTTTCTCAGGTTTCCATCGATTCATATTTTTCGTTTTCAAGCAAGAGGAAAAAGACAAAATATACGATGAAATCAAGCTTAGCCATATGTAAGTAAATTATTCATGAGCTATTTATTATCAGGTTAGGAGGCTTTATCATTTAATGTTCTATTCCCAATTAGATGAAAGTGGTGAGCTCAAAGCGAATACTGATGAGCCCTTACCACACCGTTGGCCAATCAGGCTATGCCCCATACAAACTTTACTTCGAGCTCTCATCAACAGCTTGTCACAGGAAGGTAACTATGTATACTTTTAGTATAAATCAGTGTTCGTTGAAAAGTGTTGAAATTATCTTTTGATCCGACTAGACCGAAAAATTTCGAGAGCATTTTTTTTTAGTCGAAAAACTAATGTTTTTCTTAACTTTTTTCAAGTCTGAATATATCCCTAACCTCCTTTTGGTAAGATGCACTAAATATGTTGAGATGATACCTACTCTAATTTATTTCACGTAAAATTTTTGTTTTGTTTTTCCAGACCTGTGAAATCTCTACGAAAAGGCTTTTCGACGAAACTATTTGCAAAGAAAAATAATCTGAAAGGACCTGTAGCAATTAATTTCTTCATAGCACGATGGGATAAAAGCATTGATGAGGAAGAGGAAATTTTTGGACCGTTAGTTCATGGACAAAACATTTAAATATTTTATCAACAATTTATGTAAAAATAAAATGGTTTCTGCTACAAAAAAAGAGAAAAAAAAAAAAAAAAAAAAAAAAAAAAAAAAAAAAAAAAATCGTGAGGCGGGGCCAAAAGAAGATGAGGGATACTAGACAGGAGACGAATTTGATGGTTTATACTGTATAAACCCGCCAGTTAAATAGCTAAGAATGTGCATTGTCTACGCTGTCCTTACTGATTCCAATGTTAAAATTAATTTTAGGTAGCTAAGTAATTTTTTTTCATAGTATATGTTACGTGCCATATTACTGCACTCCACGTGAAAGACAATTAGCTTTTTAAACATTTTGTAGATTTGGTGAGAAAAAAACTATACTTACACTATTTTATTAAAAAAAATTAATCTAACGGATCAATAAGCATTCTGTGCATAAATAATGCCAGTTTACTCATTTTAATGTGAACCTTAAAACGAAACCCGCAGCTCTAATCAAAAAAATCTATTTTCGTCGTGTCTGTGTGTCTTGCATCTGCAGCCAACAGCTTCCAAGTTGACGAATCGTGAAATAGTAAATTATTTCGACTGCACTAAGTAAGCTATCACCGACAAATAGTGAAACTGCACCTCCCATGGATACTGAAACAAAATCGTGCATCAACTTTACAAATAATACGAAAATAGTTTCTTTGTGCCACTGGTGCACTGCCAAATGCCAATTACAGTCCACTGTGAATGTTTTAACTTGAATTTATGTGTCAAAACAAGCGGGTTTTAAGGAAAGGAAACAAAAACGGTGAAAATGTTACTGCCTTGCAATCCTTTGCAATTCAGCAATTGTGCCAAGATAGCGTTTTAAGTCACTGACATCTTGAATTTCTGATTTGTAAAAATCGGACGGAAATATCGACATTTACGTCAAAAAGTACCACTTTGCACCAAGTTTCACAAAAATCGATCAAACAGGAGCCGCGTAACTTATTAAGATTAGTAGGAATGTACATTCTGTCGTGCTAAGGAAGAACGCCGTATGAACATTAGAAAGATGCCATTTCCCCGGACAAAACTTGTATTTTTAGAAAAATTCCTTGAAATTTTCAGAAATTTTAAATTAAATTGCGGGCAAAATTGTCTGAAAGATTTTTAGGAAATTATTAACAATCTTTCCGGTAAAATCGTTATTTATTGAAGGACATATGTCATCGCCTAAATTATCATGCGGCGTTCTTCCTCAGCACAGCAGCATAGTGGTGAGCGATATTAGTCAAGTTGCGTTGAGGCGCCTTCAATTTCGACTGATACTGTGCAATACTTCTGTGGCGGAATAGTTGCTCAGAGCGCCTTCCAAAGTGTCGCTTCAACTTGACGGCAGGAGATCACGATCTCCACCTATTTTCTCCCGAAATTACACGCTGGCATTTGTGCAGTGACACATTTTCTCATCATCGATGGCGAGGACAAAAACATTCATACCTCAATTTGCGACGTTGCAAGTTTTTCTTTGCATATTTTAAAAGGGCACACCAATATGAAAACTCCATAATCTGCCAATATTTCTCCGAGATATGCTGAAAAATATGACCTTAATGTTTCATCCAAGTCTATTTGCGAGCTCTCGTTGAAAAGGGAAAATATTTATCATAGATGTATGAGTAGGAGCCCTCAAACGATTAAAAGTGGATCCAAAAATGATAACTTTTGACGTAAACGTGCCAGAAGCAGTGGCGTGACGTGAATTGCGATACATCGATTGTTATGCCGTTTGAACCTATGGAAAATGATCGATTAACAGGGTTTTCGCAGGGAAAACCTTAATAATCGATTCTTTACCATAGGTTTAAATGGCATAACAACCGATACATCGCAATTCACGCCACGCCACTGGCCAGAAGAGTTGGAAAAGCACAAAAAAACAAATGAAATGGAGGCTCTTGACCATGATGTTTTGTTTTTATCGATGATAAAGCTTGAGCTCATTTTTTTTTTTTTTTTTAACCTACTGGCAAGAAATAAAAAGTCTATTTTGGGCCTTGTTATGAGTATCTCATCCGAAAGGTAGATCCTCTTTGAATCCTCGATTAAGAGACAACTCTAAGCATTTATTGGTGCCGACTATTTGTGTGGTTATGCATCGTGCACTTTTGAGGTCATTTAGGTGGATTAATCCGTATATTTTAAATTTTGATTGTCATTCTTGTGCCAATCAAATGATTCAAACACTCATGCTAAAATACATCCACATTTTCATACAAACTATAGGTTCAATTACAGACTCTCCTTGACCACAACAACGGATAATAGAAACGGGTGGGGCAGAAGTTTTTCTAGGGGACTCTCATTTTCTTGTGGTTAGCAATACTAATCTCTGATTTTAAGTGGCTAAATATTTTGCCTCTGGCTTTCAATGTATTGTACTCAGTGTGTAAAACTACTGTTTAGTATCTAATATTTTAAAGAATGTTTTTTCCGATAAATTTAAATCATAAAAAAAATCAGTCTCCATCTGATTCTTTTACGATAAGAATCTCCAAGTCAACTTTGATTGCGACAGAAAAATGTCTCTTATCTTAATGACTTAACAAATGGCATACGCAAATTGTACTTGACTTAGGAATGAGGTGAGAGGTACAGTTGCAAAGCTCAAGTTGCCTGTTGCGACAACAGTTGATAATGCAGGGCGCTGAAACTGTATCGGTCGCTCACAGTTTACGCGTTCTCCTCAGCGAAGCGACATTTTCGTTGCTTGATGCTCACCGAAGCCACCTCATCATCGTTGAGTGTTTCTTTTAGGCTTATGCTGAAGTCCATGTGTGTTTGTGCACTTTGAAGGATTAACGCGTTTGATGCGTCCGCATTATAGAATGGTACGTCCACCCGAGTATGCATGTACACCTTCGAAATATACGGAAAACATAATTATTCAGATCGGATTCGAACTTCTGTGTAGATTTACCTAGGAAGAAGTTCGTAAAAGTGAGGAGGTTCCTTTCTTCCGACTGAAAGTGGCTAAGTAAAGCATGTCTCTTCGATTCCAAAGATGGTTTATTATCGTCAAGGGTAGAACTCAAACTAAACTTATCATTCCGATAAAGTTCTCTCATTTAATAGACTGTACTAGAAACATGCACAATTCTGACTCATACGTAGATGAGTGGAGGAATTTCATCCGTCGAGGTCATTTGGTCGTGAGATTCAAGCTTTTACTAATGCGGTGAATTCTAGGGGGATTTTTACAGCCAACTATTTTTTTATTTCATTTGGATGTTATTAGTAAGCACTAATGCAATTAAGGTATATACTTTCATTACGTCGTTTGAAATATTAAGCTAATCTTGAACTTGCATTACATCAATGGCCAAACTGCAAAACCAAGGATCTCCATTGTGATGTTTCAAAGATTCCACTCTCATTTTTAAGAAAAGGAACACGCCAACTTAGTTTAAAATGTTTACAGAATATTCTACTAATAGAGGGAAAAGCAAGAAATTAAGCTGAATAGTTTGCCAAAGAAAAAATGAAGTATGTCAGGAAGTCCGCAACGTTGCAAACGAAGATACTTGGTTTCGCACTTTGGGCATCGAATACAGTGATTGAAAAAATCGAATTATTAGAATTTTTATAGGGTATTTAAAAGTCACTCATGCGTAACTAATGTGCAGGTACTTTCTCATAGTGACAAGTCTCTGCCAGACGATAAGAATCTGTTTGTTTTGTTTTGTTTACAGAAAAACGTTGCGGCTTAGAACATACAACAATTTTACAATTTTAGATCATGAATGCCTTATAATTTTGGACAAACAGGAATTCTCTTTTGAAAGTGCGGAAAAAAATTTACCAATATTGTACAAAATCAGGAGATAATGTTTCATGGACTGTTTTGGCAACAAGTTAATTTCATATGTCTCTACGGGCTCCTTTTTATTTCTACAACAACATGGTGGTCCAGAACGCTTATGACGGCGGCGTATCAATATTCAGTGGTTGCGCTCAAGAGTCATAAGTGGTAGACATTTGAGCTTTTTAAAAAAGGCTCGCACTTTGTCATATGTTCTCTTTAGTTTAATAATAATTGAATGGTCCAACTCTCCAAAGTCCTGAAATTTTACTTTGGAGCAATGATATCATCCCAATTCAATCGTTAATCCTCAGTTAACGCATTAAAATAAAAGCTAAGACAATGGTTAGTTTGACGGTTTTAAGTATTGTGTGCACCTTATGTCAATGGTCGATAATAGTTGTAGGAAATGTAAGCGTTTGGGCTAAACTCGCTTATCTTACCGGGTTTCACTTGACAACCCTTGAGCTCTATGAGCGCGGATATTTCGGGTAAGGATCAGTGGCGTGGTGTGATTCGATATATATCGATATTTCCCCATTTGAAGCTATGGTAAACAATCGATTATTCAGGTGTTTGCAACGAACACCCTGTTTATCGATCCTTTTCTATAGGTTTAAAGGGCATAACAATCGATCTATCGCAATCCACACCACGCCACTGGTAAGGATACTGACGCGTGCATGCACACATAGAAAGTATCAACGTTTCTGTTAGTTCTACATGTAATAAGTATACTGTAAACACTACTGTAAAATAGAGCAATAAATAATTGAATTGAATCAATAATGAATCGAATGTTTTGAAAAATGAACCATTAGATGTGATGAAAAACAAGGCATTGTATTTTTTCATAGGAAAAACGCACACCGATGAAAAGATTTGTGTTCTTGTGTTACTTTTGGTTCATTTAGGAAGTAAAATACAGTCCAACCCAAATTTTATATTAATTATGGTACTGTTTGCGGTGAATTTAGGGCAAAAAACAATGGAGAGATTGGAGAACCCCAGCTTGGGTTATATATTTTTAAATTGTATAAAGAATGGGCTTTTTATTTTTCATCATTTTTTTTTATTATTCTTTTAGCATTCGACAAGACCTTTGTAAACATCACATTTTATATCGTGCGAGAATTTTATATTTCTACCCTGCCTTCAATGTTACGTTACAGTTATCTGGAAAATGAGTGAGCGATTAATGTCTCTAAGTAATTAATTGTAGCTGTTTAAAATTCTATGATTATATTATTTTATTAGTATGAAACTGGGCAATTACCTTTCCACTCAGTGTCTATTCTCTTCTGTGATAAAATGCAGACCATGCAAAGAAGAATGAGATTGATATTCCTGTAAACATGACGGAAGGACCATATCACAGCCGCGTCTAAGACACAGAGGAAAATTTGTCTCTTATCGAAAAATACCGCACCTGCCTGGAGAACGAATCAAAAGACTAGCGGCTAAAGGCCTAGATACACACGGCGATGAATTGCCGCGAGTGAAAGACGAAAGCCAATGGAGAGCCTTGATTTTACATCGAAGTCAATGGATCGAAATCAAAGCTCTTCATTGGCGTTCGTCTTTCACTCGCGGCGATAAATCGCCGTGTGTACCTAGGCCTTAAACAGCCCAAGTCGAGCAGTGCCGTACATATTTTGATCTCGATACTGAAGCGCAAATATTGAGATGTTTTCCGTTAAGTCGTTACTTTTCTTCTTTATCGATTAAGAATAAATCACCACCCCAGTATCGCGAGGGAAAAATTACGATGTGTTATAGATCCGTCCAAATCCTGGCAACACTAACATGTTGATATCTACCGGTGAAGTACGAAGTCACTTAATGGCCATGATTGTAATCAACCGACAGGTGGCCGAGTTCTCATCATTCAGCTGCCCTTGATGGTGGTTAATTTAGTCACTCCGCATCGAGAAATAGGGGTTGCTCGGAAAGCATATACACACTTTCCTTTGAAAAAGAGATGGACTTATATTGTATTTATTCACCAGTCCTTCGCAGCTGATCAGATGATCCGCATATTTTGCGACAAAAAGTCATAATAAGACTGAAAATTGATGTATCCATTCCTTCTTTTATGTTCCTTTCATTTGTTGGTTTATGGAGCAGAATATAGTATTAATGGTGTTATCTTTGAGAGTCATTTCACGCTATTGAAAACTGATTCTTCACACTAAACGTGCGGTTTAAAAGTATTATTTCGCAGTACGATTTTCTTATCTCGTCTACCTTTTGTAGACCTAAAGTTCTACACTATTATTTCAAAACTTTATGAAAATACGAATTTTTTGGTCAATGAAGCGATGGCAGGGGGGCATGAACTTGGGAATAAGTACTGAGTCCCTCCCAACGTTCTGAGTTATAAATGGTCACTCAATTCCACAGTTTTGATAGAGTATGATGTATTGAAATGGGTGGGCTTTCGTTATGCTCTAACCAATGAGCTTCAAGCTTTGTGGGCATCGACCACTTAAAGCCGTTCTTGATGGTGTTTAAATTACAGCCGGGTTCTGAGAGTAGTTGGCACCGCACAAAATTGTCGAGCTCATATGTATCATTGTAAGAGAAGAGTATAGCGACAAAATTCTGATTTTATTTTCTGATTTTATTCTAAATTCTGATTTTAGTTCAAATTCTGATTTTATTTTCTGATTTTATTCTAAATTCTGATTTTATTTCAAATTCTGATTTTATTTTCTGATTTTAATTTAAATTCTGATTTTAATTTAAATTCTGATTTTATTTCAAATTCTGATTTTTTTTTCTGATTTTTCTGAATCAAAATCAGAATATTGTCGTTTCTGACAATTCCCCATGATTCATACTTCCGACACCTGCTGAATTCGCAAAATTCGGAGTCATTGTTACACATTTTTCTACAAAAGTTATGTGCTGATATTCAATATTCGCAGTGTGTTTTTCTTTAAAAAATTTTAGGAGAGAAGGGCAAACATGCAGTATATTCTTACAATTCTATATGAATCCTAATCAATGATGATTACTGATTTTTTTCGTCGGGATAATGCCAAACAATAATACGCATTGGTTAGAAAAACGCATCTATACATAATGGAGAACAGGAGTTGTTTCCGAACTTGAAGATGTGATTATTGCAAATACTAGGATGAAATTCGAGATAATTAAAACTCTATAGATCTTTGCAGTTCTGCACCTTATTTGCTTCGTCACGCCTTGCATAGTCATGTCGTGTCAACATCTTTGCACTATGTTCCCAAGTTTTGAAACTGTAATTTGAATTTTTCACTTGTTGCTGAACTTGATGTTAAATCTCAGTCATCGTACATATTCTTCTGGCAGATTGTCCATTTGCATTGTAAAATAATTGGCAGCTAAAGGAGCCAAATTATGCTCTTTTGCGAAACATTTGGATGAGAATTTTTCACGGTTAAATGGTTCAACATCGTCGACGTCAGGATCATTTGGCGGTCTGAAAACCAAGAAAATTTAATGTGGAGGATTGAAAATTAAAGCGAAACAATAAGTCATTACAATTATACATAGTTGAAGCAAAACAATCTACAATGGGCCTGTTGCAAACTTTTGCTAGAGCAAAAATAAGAGTTGTTTCTTGTAGAAAATGGCTTAAAAATCACGGTGAGTTCATCAAAAAAGTCTAAAATGCACTCCTAACTTCTTAATCTGCGTAAGGAATTCACGTTTTTTTTGAGCTCCCCGCTTCAAATTCGATACTACGGCACAGGTGAACATTTCGTAAGAGGAGTCGTTCCCTCCAACCTCTGTACAGTAGGACACTGCAAGATATTCAACATGGCCGACGCCAATCCGTCAAAACTGGCCAAAACTCATGTGCCGGGACGAAATTCTATAGCCATTTGTTATCAACCTGGCATGTTTACATTCATATTTTCCTCGCGTTGATAAAGATCCGTCTTGATAGCGTCGGTTATGCCGAGTATTGCAAAACATTCTAGTACGCAAGGGTTGAACGGGAGGACTCCTTTAACGAAATGAAACGCACGAAACTGTGCCGTAGTATCGTTCTTGAAGCGGGAGGCTCAAAAAAACGTGAATTTCTCACGCAGATTGTGAAGTTAGGAGTGCATTTCAGACTTTGTTGATGTGCTCACCGTGATTTTTGAGCCACTTTCTATAAGAACCAACTCTTATTTTTGCTCTAGCAAAAGTTTGCAACAGGCCCATTATAATGATACATTATGGGTGCCACAAAAATGTGTTCCTATTTCGCCTTCATTTGACGAGATAGGCGAATTGCGCTCAAATTGTGGTATCTTGTAAAGTATTTAAATCATTTATCATAGTCGTGCTTTTCGAGTTATCACAGGGTGTCTCTGTCTCAGACCACCCGCACCAGATATCTTCACGGTTGTGTTTCAGACAAAGTCGAGGACGGCAGGAATGAACATGGAATTGACTACGCTTATAACTTTCATTCATTTAGGTTTATGTAAAATTCAAAGATTTCTGCCTCGATGATTTCCATCCGTTTTAAATGTTAAATGTTCTTGGATCGGCAGGAATGATTAAAGTAAGAGAGCTGGTTTTTTTTTTTTTTTTTTTTTTTTTTTTTTTTTTTTTTAGCACTAGATGGTTTTAAAATTTCATAGAACAAATTATTCCTCTCATAAATACCATGAGTTACACTTATGGTATCATCTTTAAGTACCTATTCTCATTTAAATTGAAAATGTATCAAAATCATTTAAAATTACGATAAATCTTAACTTTGACTAATTTTATAAAAATAGTATTTATAAAATACTTACGTATATAGGTCGGGCGAAACGTTTATCTTTCCTTTAAGTTGCTTATAAAGAACTATAACTATTCGATGCAATCCTGTAAAACATAAAAAATCATCGAGTGTGAACCATTTGACCCAAGAGGATTTTAATGAACGTATGATCTTCCAATTTTTCTCATAAGTTGCAAAACGTATACCGTTAGCAACAGCAGAATGAACTTCTTAACAAACAAATAATTGAAATACCACGTTATTTATTTGTACATTATACCTCTTTGAACTTTACCGGAAAAAGAAATTAACGCAATGGAAAGTCAGTTTTCAATGTTCCTGTTGTCAAAATCAAATTTTACGCTTAACTTAAAAGAGGAAACGGGAGGCAAAGGGCTTTAGTCAGTAATAAAAAGCCTCGTTGGAAGTGAACAAAACTCGTTAGAAATTCAGTTGGCAAAACGTATTAAGACTATTTCTACAGCCGTTAAATAAAACCACCCCGTGTGACATTAACAAAGACGAAAAAAGTAGATACATTGAAAAAAAATCCACAAAATTTGATGACTGCAATGCGCCTTCATTTCAGGTAGGTGTAACAAAAAATAATCGACGTGCAGTAATTATTATTATCTGTTGCAAGCTGCGTTTTGATAAGATAGAATGTTTACTTATAAATGCGAGTTAAGTTGACCAATCCCTTATTCACCGATGATCTCCGGAATTGCTCATCGCGGAGATTTGAATTTTTGCGCCCTAATGAAGTTTGATGTTTACACGGCAGCTAAGATTTTTGTAGATGCAAAACCCGCGGAAATATTGTAGTATGTAGCGGTGATTTTTCTGGTTTAATGAAAGCGTGTGAGTGGGACGGAGATTTTTCGAGCATCCTCAGGGCGTTTCCAACGTATGTTCCTTGCCGGGACGGAGCAGAATTGACAAAATCACGAAAGGAACTATTCGTGCTCTCAGATCATATTGCAATTACGGCTATTGAAGCTGAGTTATAAAGGACGCGAGACACGCAGTAAGGAGAACTTGTGTTTCTTGGCTTCCTACAATCATCCTCGATTTTTTTTTCATTTACTGATCATTTAGAAGTAATTAAATAATGATTAAACCCGTAACGTAATTCCCCGTGCTAAGCGCGGGTAAACTGCTAATGTTAAACAAATGGGGGGTTTGGATTCGATCGACGTGAATCGGTCGAAGAATAAAACCGTGAATCGATCGACAAACCCGTGTCAAATCAATCAAATTTAGTCGATCAAATCAGTGTTTATCGAATCGACAACGTTTTTTTTTTTTTTTAAATAATTTGTCTATCGAATTGGTGTCGATTGGTTCACTCCGATCGATTCACGCTTTTATTTTTCGACCGATTCATGTCTGTCGAATCTATGCCCTCCTCTTTTGATCATTCTATTGTAAATATGTCCAAGAAATGTCCTATGTCATTTTAAGACTATCTCTTAGCCCCCCCCCCAAAAAAAAAAAAACCGGAAACAATCACCGCATTTTCTGTGATTAGGTAAGTTGTTAGTGAATATAATTCCCTGCACAATCAATAAATCAATAACAATCTTATTTATTTAGCCAAAAGTTGAGGTCGATATTGAAAACGTTTACCAAAGCAAGTTGCGAGATGTTTCTTTGATGGCGGCACATACGGAGCTATCACGTTCCCTTCTCTGATGAATCCTTCTTCCATGTTTGTTACCATCCAGTGCAAATACTCTTTTCGCAATGGCTTTTTAGGATCAGGAAAGTCAGGATCTGTTTGAATATACCCAATTGGCAAATTACATCCACTTAAATCTTTCACACGTTGTCAAGAGTCAGAAATACCATTTTTCATATAATTGCGAGGGTCACTAATCTTCCTTTTCAAATAGGTATAGAACGAATTAATTCAAGATGCTGATTTTGTAGAATATTTTGAAAGATCTAGTAAGTTTTCCTCCAAATTTATCTGGAAAAAAAAATTTCGAGTCCTTGTTGTATGGGATTGCCGTTGAAATAATCCATCTTCATTTAAAATATTTTCTTGAACGGAGTTCGTTATGCAAAATGTCTCATTTGCATGACATTTAATGCTAAAATTGAATTACAATAATTCTCAAGCTTGATTTTTTTGTTGAATATTTGTCAATATCAAGAGGAGTATAGATGACCGTCATAAATTTGTATTTTTACATGCTAAACAAAGTTTTCAGTTTTACAACTTTTTGCAGCACTTACCGGAGACTACGATAGTGTAAAATTCTTTATTTTCGTATTCCCAGTCTAAACTGAAAGGCTGTTCGTTCATCGGATTATATTCCACTAAAGTTCCAAATTCAATGTTATCATCCATGTATTCAACCTGAAATGATAGAAATAAATGTATTTATCATTTTTCCAGCCTTAGTGCAAAATATAACAAAAGTTATCTTACGCAAGGAAATAGATCAAGCCAGCTTCATCATATAATGTTCATTAAGAGCTTTAAATGAAAATATTGTTAAAATGTAAATAAATGAATGGAAATTGCCATACAAGCTAGGGAGTAGGGAGGGACTTATCGTATGATGGCAGGTGGTGATTAAAATTGTTTTACAAATAATAATTTTGCGCAGTATAGTTTCTAACTTTAACAATTTGAAACCAACATTCACCGTGAATGAGGATGAAAACGCTCAGGGGGACGTCCAGAGAATTTTCATTTTAATTTATAAGCTCTGAAAGCCAGTCTCTGGTAAGTGCAAATTCTTCAAATTTAAAATTATTGATTTTTTTTTTATCCCTCAAACGTTATATATGTTTGGATTGCACTAAGGTCTCGTAAGTCTGCCTTTTACTAATATTTTCGGCTTATTTAATGAGATAAATGATAATCTTTTGTAAAATAATCCATGCATCCTCAGTTATAGTATTATAATATTTTCAAATTGGAGTCTAATTCGCCTTTACAAAATTCAACCAATGGTAGATATTGAATTACTTTTAACGGTTGAGGAACTTCAGCCGAAATCACATCTGGGATTACTTTTGCCTCCTTTAATGAAGCGTTCCAATTTTTGAATCTATGACTGGCCGCAGTCTTCTCGTCGATTTGGTTGTTTCCACCAGGATGTGCAATTTTCTGTGTGAGGAGACAGTACACGCCATTGACTATACAACTTGTCAAAATGTACAGAAAAAAAGGATCACCCTTCACCATCGTTGCCTGGTTTCACCTGGGAATAAATCAGTCAAAACATAACTTATTCAGTCATACTATCAAACTATCAATCATAAACTATTTGTTGCATTTGTGCCACAATGCGATTCCCTTCACAAATGAAAAAGTTGGTTATGCGTCAAGTATTAATGTAATAATGTAATTGAGAAATTTGGTAACGATAAATCGAGTTAATTAATATTCTTGTGGCATATTTTAAGATTATGCGGGTGTTACATGAAAAATTTGAGCAAATCCATTCTATGAAAAGGATTGCGTAAGATGCATTATCCGGTTCTAAAAAAAATAAGCTTATTTCTGATTTATTGCGTTGTGCGAGACCAAAGCTGAGACAAACTATTTCTTAATGCAATTTTTCCGGTAAATATTCAAGTGTTTTAAGAGAAACTACTTGACATACGTACCTTCAGAATAATGAATATTTGGGCAAATGAGTCAGTTGTGCTACTTAAATAATCATATTTTGATTGCCCCAGGTTACCAAATAAATTCTAATATGATCTGTCCAAACGTCTAATATTAAATTTTGACGGAGGTGTTGCTCGTCGAAAAGCAGGGCGTGTGACGTCATCCGCCTTGGTAGTGCATACCATGATTTCTTATACCTAAGTTTCATTCGTGTTTTACGCCGAGGAACCAGTACAAAATAATGTGTGTCTCACTGATTCATGAAACAAACGTGGTAGTAATGTAATGGGACAATGTTACGCACACCACGGTACTACGGTGGTATGCACAACCGCGGTGAATGACGATTACGTAGCATGGTGTCAACGATTTCGGTGTCAACAAACAGTTTTTCTAAGTTTTTGTTGACACCATGTTCATCCAAAAATAAAAAAATGTTGACTCTCATAGTGATGATCACGGTGTCAACGATCACGACACGACTTCAAGGAAACTTGAAACTCCCCTCTACAACATCTTTCAAATTTCAAGTCTTGTTTTTCTTGTGTTTTTTACTCTAACCTAACCTAACCTAACCTAACAACAACCTTACCCAATTTTACATTACGTACGAGACCTAACCTTAACTTTCCCCGACCTTACCCTACCTAACTTGAACCTTACCTCTTCCTAGTCTAACCGTACCTGGCCTAAACTAACCTAATCTAACGATACGTGCCCCAAAACTCTCCTGTACTTATACTTACTTTTTTTAATTTTACTCATAAGGAAGATATTTTTTTGTTGGTTGACACCATGATCAGGGCCCATTTCTGCGTTGCCCATTGCGACGTCAACAATTCTTGACTCTGTGCGATCAGATTTTGGGTTTGTTAACACCATGATCGTTGACACCATGCAACGTCATACGCCGTGCTTTTCGATTAGCAGTATCTCCGTCACTGTTGGACGTAGCAACTTCGCGTTTGAACATTTATAGCTAATCTATAATGTTAAATTATCAAAATACAATTCTGAGGTCGGCCCAGTTTATCCATCGCGTGGAAAACATTTCGCGGTGGGGCGAAGGATCGAGCATATTTTGCGACACAAATCCTATTAATTAATTTATGTTGTGTATCTTTATCTATACGATTCATTGTGAGAGTCGGTCAAGATGTTTGGTAAGGGCGAACTCTAAAAATTCGGATGAAGAAAATAAAAACCCACTCTATAAAAAAGTTTACGTACCGTTTAATTAGGTCAAATAGGTTCTCGACACATCAGGCATGCTTTCATGTAAAAAGGCCCCAAAATAGAGAAAGTATGGATGGAACTTCATCATTGATCCAAAGGTGTAGAAGAACTATGGGAACTACTAATTCATCACGTAACTAAAATTGTATCACATCTGATCTAGCTAGTCATAAGTAGATTTAGGACTATATATGCATGTCCTTGCTATACCTAACCTAACTGCGTTTGATTTTTTTTTCTTCTAAAATAACAAATTTCAATAATTTGACTTGTTTATAATAATTGGAAGTACCTCAGATGACTTCATTGTGGGACATTTGCTATTGAGCAGGCGGGTAACAACCATTCTCAGCTAATAGTCCAGTCAATAGGGGGTAAAGTAGAGACAATTTCTGAGGAAACTTTCTGATATACTATTCTTATGTATTTTTCATCGCTGAATCCGAATTTCACATTTGCGAACAAATCTGAGGCGAGCCAAAGCCGCCATCTTGAAAAAATGGCCGAAATTTGCGTTTTTCGGCCGAAAACCCGAAATAACTCGTATATTATTGAAATTACGGCAAAAGTAGTTATTTTCTAAATTAAAGTACATAAAATTTCCATTAAAAAGAGTCCAAGATGATTAAGATCGGATGATAACAAATGCCGCTACAGCGTTGCAAAGTTTCAGGCAAGTATTGAGGTTGAGCAATTTTCGTAACATTCCCTGCAAAAAGAGAGCTTTCAAGGTAATTAATCATTAAATCGTAATAAGTGTAAGTATGAATTATAAAAGGAGTGCAATTTTGAGTTCTTGACTTTCAAGAACGGCAGTGGATAAGGAGGGGGGGGGTCCGGTATGAGCGCAGCTGCAGGGTCCTCCGTTCCTCCCCCATTTTCATGGCCCGGGTGCGCCCGGTCGGCCTTCGTTCTCCGGGTTAGAAGTTTAATTTGAGTTGTAAACGATGTTATTCCAATGAAACCTCTCTTATTATTTCGGGGCATAACTGCTAATAAAAAATCAGATTAGGAACCTCAACATTTTTTGTCGTACTCTCACCCTTTACCCTTTTGTTGAACTTAGCAGACGGCATGCGAATTCCACATTTTATGATATGTTTTTTACATTTACACGGTGTGTAGATAAAATTGACGACAAGAATCCTACTTATGTCATAGATGTCCGTTTTTTGCTCCATCGAGTGATTTGGAGACAAAATGAGGCATTTTCATCAAGATGCAACAACCACGTGTCCTACGTAAAATCGAAGTATGTTCCGCTAATTCTGTGATCGTTTTCGGCGGCTATCCCAAGGATATTATAAGATGCAGCACGAAAAGACCTGGAACATGGCGAAGAGGACAAGCTTCATCAGTGGAAATAAAATTCCATGAAAGTATGGTCCCAGTAACATCACGAGCAAATTTTCTGAAAAGCGGCAAAAACAAATCCCGTTTGATCCAAAGGCTCATGAAACGTTTCAGGGCTGAAACCATGTCTGTGTTTCAAGCAGAAGAGGTCACTGACACAATCAAATAGTTTCAAAGGCCTTGGAAACGGCAAAACAGGGCGAAATTGTTGTCATTGTAGGAAAATATATTGATCGTCTTGTCCTCCTTACTGCTCAGTCACGTAACGTCAAAAATGCTTTCCCTCTAAAATCCGGCAAAGGTGAGACTCTTTAAATACTTTTCAACCGAGGCAGCCTTCAAAATGAAGTGAAAGCCGAACACGTACTGTTCATTCATGCCATTAGTGGGTGTGACACAATATCACCACTCTTCAGACAAGCCAAAGTTAAGTTTTTAGCAACCCTGGAGAACCACTCAGCCAACTCAGATGCTTAAAAAATCAGCCTTAAAGCAAGAAGAAATTTGTAAAGCAGGAAAATAATTTTTACTCGGATCGTTTGGCTACAAGGGTGAGTAGAAAAAAAACTTTGGCTGAATTTAGGTATGAAAGCTATGTACGGACTTTTTTCTACGATGTACAAAATCTCGCTTGTCTTCCATCTTCAGAGGATGCTGCCACATTTCATGCTCCTATCCTCAAGCACATAGCAATGGATGATCATCAAGAAATACGCGTGTGACTGGGGGGTGGTAGAATGGCAGAAATGGCCTCATCCCCATCATCACCTTGGAAAATCCCGCTACGGGCGAAATTTTAAGCAAGATCTCGTGCAAGTGCATTGAAGAAAGTCGCGGCGCCCGCGGTTTTTGGAAGGAAGGCCTTCATTGCAGTCTTATATGCGAGTATTGCCATGGCTCGTGCGAAAATAGTCAATATGACGCACTTTTAAGAAGAAGAAGAAGGGGATGACGTAGATGATCCAGAAGACGCTGAATGTTCGGACAATGACTATGACATGCAGTGAAAGGAAGAGATTGACGAGGATGGAACAAGAGGCAATGAGGCGAAGGGGGAACCATGACATGGTGTAAATGCATTATAAAATGTGAACATAGTAACTTTACGCATGACATCTGCTGCGGTAAATAGCGAGAGTGGATTGGGTGGAAGTTCGTGCGACTAAAAATTTTGAAGCTCCTCATCTGATTTTTTAATAACTCCGAAATAATAAGAGAGGGTTTATTGGAACAACATCGTTTTCAACTCAAATTAAACTCCTCATACTGCTGATTGGATTACAGCGGTCGGCGCGCTTAAACTTAACGGACTCAAAATTTAGACCCACTATTATATTTTTGACAAGCTAGCAGTGCCTGTCTCTTTGGCTTGGTGGCAGCTATTGTTGTTATCAGCGAATATACCTATACGTAGGCACATCAAGTTTTTTTCCTCCGGAAAAGGTGCCTGTGGAGGACAGAAAAACTGATAACCGGGGAACGAAGGCCGACCGGGCGCACCCGGGCCATGAAAATGGGGGAGGAACGGAGGACCCTGCAGCTGCGCTCATACCGGACCCCCCCCCCCCCCTCCTTATCCACTGCCGTTCTTGAAAGTCAAGAACTCAAAATTGCACTCCTTTTATAATTCATACTTACACTTATTACGATTTAATGATTAATTACCTTGAAAGCTCTCTTTTTGCAGGGAATGTTACGAAAATTGCTCAACCTCAATACTTGCCTGAAACTTTGCAACGCTGTAGCGGCATTTGTTATCATCCGATCTTAATCATCTTGGACTCTTTTTAATGGAAATTTTATGTACTTTAATTTAGAAAATAACTACTTTTGCCGTAATTTCAATAATATACGAGTTATTTCGGGTTTTCGGCCGAAAAACGCAAATTTCGGCCATTTTTTCAAGATGGCGGCTTTGGCTCGCCTCAGATTTGTTCGCAAATGTGAAATTCGGATTCAGCGATGAAAAATACATAAGAATAGTATATCAGAAAGTTTCCTCAGAAATTGTCTCTACTTAGCCCCTATTTGTGCTCTATTGACTGGACTATAACTAACCAAATGTAACATGTAGACGGCTCTTAATGTACCTACCGATTATTGACTGAAAACTGAAACACATATTTAAGTAATAACTTCACTGGTTTGTGAAATCGTTCATTAAAATTCATTGTAATTCAAGGACAAAACTGATCATACTTTTGTGTCCGAAATAAATGTATTTGCTAAACACGACTCCATTTTTATTAATTTCATTATTATTTTTGTTTTGCCAAAATAATGAACTGTCACTGACAACACTGGCGTCTACAAGCCTCACCAGACGTCATGATGATGCAACCGTTGAATGACATTAAGTTAAAGGGGTGATTAACACATTTAAATTGCATAAATAAAGCCTTTCAAGTATGCTTATGCAACGACTTTGTGACTATAACAGCTGATTTCTTATTAGTTGCCAAACCTGCAGTCAAAGTATTTTTCCTCCGGTGGTATGGGTTCTTACCCAATAATTCATGTAGTTTGCAGTTTTTGTTTCTTTTTAAATGTAGATGACGCGCCTTCGTCATCGTTTATGAAAAAAACAATTAGTACGTGGAGTTTAAGTGGAAAATAATAAAAACAAATCGGTATATGTAAGATGACTTTAAGGAGCACGAAGTGTTATTCATATTTTCTGTTTTGTGGTGTAGTAATTTGTTAAGTGATTGATTATTCGGTTATTTGCGAGAAAATGTTAAAATCTGAATGGGCCAAGCATGATGTGAAGGAAGTTCTGGAAGAGGCTGGACTAATGCCTGATATTCTAGATCAAGCTTCCTTGTTTGAATCGAAGGTCATTCAATATTCTCAGTCTCACCAAGAACCGATGAATATTTTTCGGTTGGCATGTGTGCTTACAAGTCTTTCTCTGAAGTGAAAGAATTATAGCTCTCGATCAAATCTCGCCCGACCACCCCTCAAAATTTTGAGGTCAATTATTTTTTTGTCAAATATTACCAGGTGCAAGTAAAAATAACGACGGTGAAACTACAAAAATGCGTTTTTCGGTTGCGGTTCCTCAAAATCTCCGCTCATATTTTATTTTTTAAAAGGAGACCGTACGCACATAGTGGCTTGAAATTTTCACGAAATATTCTTCAAACACAGAGAAAAAATCATCAAAGTTCTCAAGAAAGGACGTTCAGTGGTTTTCCATGTAATAAGTAACGCGCGACGGCAAGTCTGTAACGCTGCAAACCAATACACGCATTTCTGCAGTTTCTCCATCGATAGGAAGCTCGATTAGTCTTCTCTTTGCATTTTTTAAAATGATGTTATGGTCCCGTCGCTTGCAGCCATTTAGAGAGAAAATATGAGAAACGTTCAAGAGGAAAGAAAAAACCGCGTAACCTGCCTTTCAATAGATATTTACAATCCTGTGATTATACATATAATATGTCGTCGCGCATTGCGCAATGCTTGAAGTATCCCTCTAGGTTTGTAGGCGACAATGCGCGTTTCGCGCTGACCGACCGCCGCGCCGCCGCGCCTTAAGTAACTATTTCACAGCAGAGGTGTTGCACAGTATCATACGAAATTAGAGGCGCTCCAACATATTAAGAATGACAGGCATTATATAAGAATACGAAGCATTCTTCGCAAAATAAATCAAGATACTTCGGCACAAAAAGAGAGCGGTAGTCGAAACCTGTGGTAGTTGATGTGAGTACTCATTAATTTTTTACGTTTACTTTTTTTTGCAGGTGGAAAGCAGTGTGCTATCATTACGTTGGTCGGAAGCGACAGGTGACGCGCTACCAAAATAGGGACTCGTACACGGCGACGCAGGTCTATTACGAAAGGGTCAACTCACACGCGGCTGGATCCAGCTTCGTCTACACCTTCTGTGAGGTCAAGGACATCTCTAAACGTATTGTCCTCAATCAGGCCAAACGGCCTATCACGAAAATTCGCTTCAGCAAAGGTTAATAACAAATTCATGTTGTTTTTGCCCTCCTTTTTTTTTTTTTTCTAACGAACTTGCAGAGGTATAAAAGTTGACGGAACCCACCTTAATCTTTAAAGACACTCATTATATTTTCCTTTCGTACATTTTTTTTTGTCATCAATTTAAATAAGAATAATTGATTTAGAGTATGCAAACATTTCAAAATCATGCGTTGAAAAACGCTGACTCCGCGAGTTTAAATATTAGAGCCAAACACAGAGCGGAGCGGCGTGCTGCCAGCGCGACATGCGCACTACCGCCTACAAACCTAACAGGGATACTTCACGCAATGCGCAATGCGTGAAGTATCCCTGTTAGGTTTGAAGGCGCCAATGCGCGTGTCGCGCTGGTAGCCCTCACCCACCACGGCGCGCAGCGTTTCAAGCAACTATTTCGCAACAGTGGTGTTGCACGGAATCATACTAAATTGAAAGAGCTCCAACTTATTGAGAATGACAGGCACCATTTAAGAGTAGGGAGCTATCCTCGCCAAATTAATCAAGATACTACGGCACAAAAAGAGGGCGGTAGTCCAAAAACTCATCAAGTCCTAGCATCTGTAATTAATTTTGTTTAGCATAATTTTTGGATTTCATTAGAAAAAAGTGACACGATTTAGGCAGTAGCATTCTTGAATATGCCGTCAAGAAGATTTCATTTTGAATCAAGAATAAAATAGCTGAATGAAAGTGGGTTTCTGCCTGATGTAAGTGACTTTTCTTTTTTTAGAAGCATCTTCCATTCTTTCAATTGCACAGCTCTGCGTCGCATTGCATGGCATATCTTGATTGATTTTTATGAATTTTTTATCGTTGAATTTGGGGAAAATATCTAAAAAATTCCATCACGTCGCAAGTTTCCAGGTCTGGACCACAGGTCCGCCAAGTTCCAAAACATTCCAATGTTCCGAGTTCCGAGGTTTCTCAATTTTTGAGCAAACCTAGCATATTTAGGCGCCTGCGCCATTTCGAGAGCCATTTTCCAGTTAAAGTTCTAATGTTTTTCTCATTTTTTTTTTCAAGTCTGAATATATCACTAATCTAATTTTGGTAAGATGCACTAACCATGTAGAGATGATTCAAAATCATCATCATAATTTATAATAATTTATTAAATGTACAATTTTTTTGTTTTTCTAGACCTTTGAAATCTCTAAGAAAAGGCTTCTTGACGAAACTATTTGCAAAGAAAAAAAATTTAAAAGGACCTGCGGTGATAAATTTTTTCATAGTACGATGAGATAAAAGCACTGATGAGTAAGAAGAAATTTTTGGACCATTCGTTCATGGATAAAACATTTAATAATTTAATCAAATATTTTTGAATAAAAAAAAATGGTTCCTGCTACGAAAAAAAAATTCTTGTGGCGTGGCATAAAGAAGACTGTGGAGAAGCAAAAGAAGACAAATTTCATGGTCTTCACTTTATAAACCCGCGAGTAAATCAGACAAAATTATATACTGTCTACGTTGTCCTTACTCACTCTAATGTTAAAATTAATTACATTTGTGGATTTGGTGTGCGAAAAACTTTACTAATACAATTTTTTCAATACATGACCTAACTAACTAATAAGCACTTGTTACCTTATAATGACAATTTACTTTTTTAAATGCAAATTTAAAAAAAAAAAAAAAACCGCACCTCTATTCATTAAAATGTATTTTTGTCGTGCCTGCGTTTCTTGTATACTGCAGCCAACAGCTTCCAAGTTGACGAATCGTGAAGTAGTAAATTATCTCAACTGTACTAAGTAAGCTAGCACCGACAAACAATGAAACCGCACCTCCCATAGAGACTGCAACAAAATAATGCACCGATTTTATTACTAATACAATTGGTCACCCAAACAGTACGCAATGTCTTCAATTGGATTACGATTTACAATAAAGCAACTATTTCTACATGACTCATCCACCAAATCACTTATCTGCATAAGGAAATTGATGAGACTTATGTTGTTTCTAGTATGAGCTCAAAATGATAGCTTCTTATTGCAAGATGTGATCAGATTGACTACTTGCTTCAAAGGAATCGCATCAAAGATAGCTGAAAGTATTTCGTAGCATAGGCGGTTCTACGGGGGTGCCAGTGGGTGCCGTGCACCCCCTAGTAAAAATTAATTACGGTTACCGGAACCGTGAAAGAGGCTTTTGGGCAAGTAAAAACGTCGATAAAAATCGTATTATGAAGCGCAAAAAATTGGCAATATTTTTATTTCATGATTTTTTGAAATCTGCAGGTTTTCAATGATTACGGGCAAGGGGTGATGGGAGGAGGGGGATCTCGTAAAATTGTAGTTTTGATGGAAAGTTTTGCTAAAAATTTTCTACATTGAATTTATAGGCATTTAAGTAGAAAGGAAGGAGAAAAAAAAGAGAAAGGAGGGTAGGAAAGGGATAAAACTTGAGGGCCGAAACTTGGGCCTCCCCTGAGCGATCGTCCCCTTCGGGATCGGTCTCCGACAGTTTCCACCTTTGGGCACCTCCAAGCATGAAGGTCTAGAACCGCCTATGTTTCGTAGTCCTAAAAGGTGGAGAAGTTTATTTTTGCTGGCCCGGCTAGGTACTCATGTACAGCTATGTTTAGACAAGGAAATAGTATAGAATCGTATAATATCACTTTTATACTTTTTACTACTAATTTTTCATAAAACTTACCAACTAAATCTATTTGACGCCTCACAACATTACGGCGGAACCTTTCACTTGGCAAATAAGCAAGTTTCAATTCCATAGAATACAGTGGCTCTGCTATCCTGCAATAATTTCAATGAATTACAGATTAAATACAGGGCATTATTGATCTTCGTATTATGTCTGAAAAATTGAACATGTTTAGCAGAAAGGAAGCAAGTCACATCAGCTATTGCCAAATTTACTTGGGCAATTTCATTTTTTACATGAGAACGTTTGTAAGGATTCCTTTGAAAATTTAAAATAATTCGCTTCGTACTAGGTGGTAGATTCACTAAAAGTTGCAAAATAATCTGCACAACCGTGTTCATGTAAAACATTAAATTGTCCAATTAAATTTAGCAATAACTGATGTGGCTTGGTTCCTCTCTGCTTATCGCGGTCCAATTGTAGTCTTTAAACCACTTTCACCTTGAGACTTTCCTTAAGCAAGGTTAAGTCAACATGGGAACCAAATTGAGAAAAATAAATTTTGTATGTATTTCGCGAGGGAAATAAACCAAACAGTAACAGGCGATATAGGGACGTAGGATGCTCATGTCGTTTTGCATAATTGTACAACATAGAAATAATTAGGGTTACCGTTGGGTTTGCTCCTGTGAATTATGATGACCTATGATATGTAAATATTCAGTTTGTTAAATACGTATACTTAAGTAACCGTTTGAAAATCTAAATTTTGGAGGGAAAGCTGACAGGAATTCTTACGTGGTAATCTCCCCATCTATCCGCTGCAACTCAATGTCATCACAGTTGGGTTCACAGTAACAGTCGTTGCCACCTTGGAGGGAGCCTTGAGACTTTTTCAGTGATAATTGAAGATAATTATTATTTAAACATAACAGCCCGTCTAAATCACATTGTTCACTTGATTCTAGAAAATAAAAAAGTGTCAGGTAAATTTTACAGCAACCTTTAGTACAGCACGTAGTCTCTTTGCGTGACGATTCTCGTTATATTGATAACTTATCTCTATATAGAGAGGAGAGTTGGCGGCCCCTGAACTGCTTAAGTGAAATACCTACGTGTGAAATACAAGAGTGGCAACGGAGCAACTACTCTCTTTAGCGACCGGCCATGTTGCCTTGGCTCATGGGTTAAAGTGCATGCAGGCGCATGGTACATACTAGGAACGAATCCTATCGGACGCCGCGCCGTACTGTTATGAGCAGCCGATCGCAGCGCAACCTCGCGTAAGATCCAAGTAGGCTCAGAGAGGGCCCCCCCCCCCCCCCCCNACCTCAACTCATCCATGACCCGCTGCAAAAATGAGGTTGAGCAGATAATTTGTAAACAACCTTTAAAGCAGCTGAATGGAGATGTTGCATGTTTGAGGAATTTGCGATTTGACTGTTCTTTCTCATGCAAAAGTTCGCAAGAAACACGATGGTGCCTCTGGTTTTCTCTAAAATTAACTCCTAAGCTCAAAGAAAGCTCTCAAATTAGCGTGGACTATCTCCCCTATTTTGGTCCTAACTTGAGAGCTTTTTTTGAGCTTGGGAGCTAATTTTGGAGAAAACCAGAGGCACCATCGTGTTTCTCGCGAACTGTTACATAAGAATCAACAGTCAAATCGCAAATTCCTCACACATGGAACATCTCCATTGAAAAATGATTACATTTTTTTACGTTTTCATACCCCTCTCGACTAGGAAGGGTCCGCTACCCAGCGGATTATTTTCTGGAGTCCCACAATCATGCGATAATGGCACTTGGTTGCGAGGCTCCTAAGCGAGGTGGCAGCACTAGTACTGCAACAACGGCTTTTACATTGGCTTTCACGGGAGTCCAGGGACCGACAGAAATGGTCTCTGTTCCTTCAGTCCCCGACTCCGTGAGTTAAACTTATCTCGCAAAACAAAGTGCTGTTGGTATGCGTACATTAGCGCCTACAAGGCTGCGCTGTAGGAATACTTCACGCATTGCGCCAAGCACAGTGCGGTCACCACTCGGCACGAGACGCATATCAGCGCCTACAAGACTGTGAGAATACCTCACGCATTGCGCAATCACGACAGTGCGCGTTTTAATTGTTGCAAATCCGTAATTTCTAAGGGCCGGATCTATCGCAATACACACCATTTCCGACTAACCCATACCACGAGCCTGCAATCCGAGCGGAGATATGCGACGTCACAGTTGAAGACAAGTACTCGTATTTTTTAACTCCAGGTACATATATCGGAAAAAAATTACAATCAACTGATTAGCTAATAAGACACGCTTTTCCATCTCAATATCGACTGAGAAAACAAAATATCTCGTAGCTTAAGGTGATTCGATGGACGCCATATTTTGTGTCAGAACGGCATGCGATATATCACATCAATTGGTTCCATTTTTTCGGCTACTCGTCAATTTTCTCCAATTTTGGGATCGCAATTCTGTTGTCAGAAGACTGAAGCACTCACTTACCAATTTTAACAAAGAAATTCAACGTAATAAATGCGTGGTTTTTTTAGAGAGAAAATATCGCATTCTACCGTATGGGGGACTGTACTCAGTACTGTCACAGGTTTAGCAAGCCTGCGGACCCCAGCTGGTAGCCCCTGCCTTAAAGGGGGGTGAAGATGGTCACCGGCTTCATGGCGTATGAACCACTCATCAGAGGGGCAGACAGGGCTCATAGCTGTGGTGAAAGCAGCCTGTCTAGGAGACGGTACTCCAAAATCAAACCCTGGTCCTCCAGGTTGGGGGTTGGGGCATCGGGCTAACTCCCCGATACCCGGAAAAAACTTAATGTTAAAAAGCCTAATAAAGATAGCCTCGGTGATAATGGAAAAAAACGGATTTTGCGACACAAACTACGGAAAAGGACAATGGTTTTTGGGACATGGAATGTACAGGGCATTTCTAATAAATTGACAGAGGTTGTATCGGAGGTAAAAAAGTATAATGTAGATGTCGCCGTGTTAACAGAAACGAAAAAGAAAGGCACAGGATCAGAAAACTTAGGATGTTATGATCTGTTCTATAGTGGTGTCAGTAAAGATCAACGCGCACAGCAAGGAGTCGCCATACTTATCCGGAAAAGTTTGCGTCCGTCTATAACTACTTGGGAAGCAGTAGACCAGCGGATCATCAGAATGCATCTTACACTGCATGGTCACAAGGTGGCCCTGTTAGGAGTATATGGTGTGAATGATGATGCTCCCGTCAATCTAAAGGATCAGTTCTTTGAGCAACTCAACGACGAGGTTCTGAGGGTTGGAAGGACAAGGGAGGTCATTATCATGGGAGATTTGAATGGTAGAACCGGACGAAGGAATGGTTCTAAAGTTGTTGGACCTTTCGGTGAAGAGGCGATGAATGACAACGGTGCACGCATTATTGATATGTGTGAACAAAACGAGTTGAAAATACTGAACGGATTCTACCAACATCGAGATATCCATAAGTACACGTGGGTTCAGCAAACTCGGGGGCTGAAGTCAATCATCGACTACGCGGTCACCAGGCAAACGAGTACCATGAAGGTTCAACAAGTAAGAGTTTGCCGGGGGTTCTCCTGTGGTAGTGATCACCATTTTCTCAAGGCGGAGATTGCATTTCCGGTTAAGTATGGGCTGCAGAGGAATACCTTGCAACATCAGAAGTGCCAGCCACAAGGAACGAAGATCGAACAAGTGCACTACAACATCGATAGCTTACAGCATGAAAGCGTGAAAGCGCTCTACAGGAAGCGGCTGGATGAGAAACTGGGAGTAGAAACTTTCGATACTGCAGAAGAGTTGTACCAGTTCATCAAAAGTTGCATACATTCAGCTGCGAAGGAAGCCCTGGGTATGTGTAATGAGAGCAAGGATGTACAGAAACCCTACTGGTGGGACAAAGAGGTAGAGGAGGTAATTGAAGAAAAGCGTAGGAAGTACCATGATTATCTGGCTTCTAGGACTGCAGACACCCGCGGCGCGTATAGGAAAGCCCAGGCGAGGGTTCGTCTTTTAATCACCAGGAAGAAAAACGAGTCTTGGGAGACCAACTGCTCAAGGATTGACACATACCTGGGGGGAAGGAAGAGTGCTGAGAGCTGGAAGCTGATCAAAGGCCTAAGAAGGGACATGAAACGGGACATTATATCTCCGATAACAATCTCACAGCTTGACGAACATTTTAATAAATTATTGACGGAAGGACGACCAGAGTTTCAAACGGGGAATGCTGAAAATATAGTCGAGGATCACTCAATGGAAATTCGAGTTGAGGAGGTGGTCAAAGCAATCAGGGAATTGATGAATGGAAGAGCTCCTGGGCCAGGAAACATTCCAGCCGAGTTAATTAAATGTGGGACTGGCAAGTTGGTTAACCATCTCAGGGATTTGCTGCAGAAGTGCATTGACGGTGATGACATCCCGAAAGAATGGAAAGAGGCCTGGATAACAGCGTCGCATAAAAAAGGAAGGAAGGATGACTGTGGGAACTACAGAGGGTTAGCGGTGACAGGAACGATAAGTAAAATTTATGGAAAAGTGCTGAAAGCGAAGATCGAAGAGGAGTGGACCCCGTTCGAGGCGGAGGAGCAAGCAGGTTTTAGGGCTGGTCGGTCTACCGCTGATCATCTGTTCTGTGTTACCCAGTTAACCGAAAAGAAGAGAATTGTTGGCCAGGAGCTTCATTTAGTGTTTTTGGATATTGAAAAGGCTTATGATAGTATTCCTCTTGTGAAACTCTGGGAAGTCCTAGAAGAAACTGGTTTTAGTAAAGGACTTATTGGGGCAGTCAAGCAGTTTTATCGGGGGGCTTTTGCTAGAATTAAGTGCCAAGGAAGGCTTTCAGACGGTTTTTTTGTCACCAAGGGGCTTAAGCAGGGATGTTGTCTGTCACCGACGCTGTTTAAGATATATCTAGAGCACGTTCTGAAGGAATGGAAAAGAAAGTGTGCCGGCATGGGCGTCCCTCTAAATGACCAAGAAACACTGTTCACGCTATGCTTTGCTGACGACCAGGTAGTCATAAGTCAAGATCACGATGACGCGGAGTATATGACCCGGAAGTTGGTGGAGGAGTACCGCAAATGGGGCCTCGAGGTTAGTGTCCGTAAGACAAAAAAGATGTCAGTCGGAGGCGCTCAGCAAAGCATAGTCCTGGAGGATGGTCAACATATAGAAAGTTGCGAACAATACAAGTACCTGGGGGTGAACCTGACTTCGGATGGGAAGCTGGATCAGGCCATTCGGGACCGTAATCTTCTAGGAAGGAAAGCCATCGCCATGCTTAATGGGATCCTTTGGGACCAAAGGATTTCCAAAGACAACAAGAAGAGGATTTATAACTCGGTTGTCAAGCCTATTATCACCTATGGCAGTGAAGTGTGGCAGTTGAAGAAGCGGACCCAAGAAATGCTCAAGGCGACCGAGATGGATTTCTGGCGAAGATCGGCTGGAATCTCGAGGAGAGAACGTGTCAGGAATGAACGTGTCCGAGAGATAATGGGCGTTGAGGGGACGATTGTGCACGATATCATGACCAAGCAATTGGTATGGTATGGGCATGTGCAGAGAATGGCTGATACCAGGTTGCCGAAGAAGGTGTTGGAGTGGGTCCCCCCAGGTAGGCGACGGAGAGGGCGTCCAGCCAAACGGTGGGTAGAGGGCATCCATGAAGAGATGGAGAGATGCCAGCTTCCGGAGGATCTCTACCATGACAGATTCCTGTGGAGAATAGGCGTCGCAGAGCGCCCTAGCGCGCCGTAAAAGCGGCTCATACATACATACAAATATCGCATTCAAGTGCAGTTTCGATATTAGTATCGAATGCGATGTTTTCTCTCTAATAAAGACCACACCTTTATTACGTTGAATTTCTTTGTTAAAATTGGTAAGTGAGTGCTTTAGTCTCCTGACAACATAATTGCGATCTCAAAATTGGAGAAAATTGACGAGTAGCTGAAAAATGGAACCAATTGATGCGATATATCGCATGCCGTTCTGACACAAAATGCGGCGTCCATCGAATCACCTCAATGAAAACTGTGTATCATAGGTAAGGTTATGTACTTGACTTTGGTATGAGGTGAGAAGTACAGTTACAAAGCTCGAGTTGCTTGTTGCGGCGGCAATTAATAATGCAGGCGCTGAAGCTGTAGCGGTCGCTCACGGTCAACCTGTTTTCTTCAGCGAAGCGACACTTTCGTTGCTTGATGCTCACCGAAGCCACCTCATCATCGTTGACTGTTTCTTTTAGGATAATGCTGAAGTCCATGTGCGTCTGTGGATTTTGCAGAATAAACACATTTGATGCGTCGGCGTTGTAGAAGGGAACGTCTGCTCTAGTGTGTGTGTAGACCTTTGAATTAAATAAATTATTACATGTTAGATTTAATTATACAATTGATTTCCTTACGCCTTCTAAAATACTTTGCGTAAGAAGGATCCACTTTGAAAAGCACCGCCAGGTTGTTCCGTATTGTTGATCCACAATTCAGAAAAATCTACCAAGAATTTTTCGCCGTGACCCGTGAGGGGTGGGGGGGGGCATTCCTAACAAGTTGTCTCTATTTATTTTTAAAAATAATTTTCCCGGGGAGGTTGGCGGCGAGTTTTATATGAACCGCGTTAAGCAGAAAAGAACGAAGCCACATCAGCTATTGCCAAATTTATTCGGACAATTCAATATTTTACTTGCTGCATAGTGCAAAGGAAATTCCTTGAAAATGTCAAAGGAATCCGCACAAACCCTCTCTTATGAAATATGAAATTGCCCCGTTAAGTTTGGCAATAAATTACGTGGCTTGGTTCCTTTCTGCTAAGCGCGGTCCATGTTATGTGTGTGTTATGAGAAAGACAAAATCAATATCAGAATCGTGAACTTTTATAGCTTGATCAAAGTGAAAAAATGCAGGTCACAAAAAAGTGTATCGCACCTATATCTTTTGAATAAGTTGAGAGCTCGCAACCGTGGGTACGATTTTTTGTTTGTTTTTTTTTCCCTCTTGTTTTCTTTTCAGGAAGGATGCACGTGACCATCCATTGTTTTAGCAAGTCTTGTGGTATCAATTGGTTACGGACGGACAGTCAACATTTTCGGAGGGTGAAAAGAATGGTGTTTCACGACTTTTGAATGACCTTCTATGTATGGGACTAATTTAGGATTTTGATGGTGATAAAATTTTTATGGACACAGTGTATCACTAAAGAGTTTATCATCAGAATCAAATTAACGAAGCAAAGTTTATCATAAGTCTCTGAAGCACAGCTTAATCTGTAATAACTGGATAACGTTCGAGCTGTACATTTGAAGCGAGGTATTATGCCAGTTTATCAGTGTTGCTCATTTGTACATTCAGAAACATATAAAAAATTGATTAAAAAACTATTCTTATGCTTAACTGTCTGTTGCTGAGGGCCGATTGACGTCTCTCTTTTACAATTGTTTGAGTATGACATTCATTTTTTCCAAGAGTGCAGTGAATTTTAAGTGCAGTTTTTGAGACCAATTTTTGTGTGTTCCTTTCTGGCGTCTTCGGTGAGTATTTACTAACTTAAAATTACCATTCATTTTGTCACCAAAGAGTGGTTTACGATCATTTCTACCGCTTCTGATGCATTATTATAATTTTCATTTTTATTTATTTATTTTTTTAATGGCCCTTCTTACATTTTTATACTGTTTTTCGATAAATCGTACTATATGAATAAGCAGAGATATTTATATTCTTCCATTTTATTAAGTTCTACCAAAATGTAAGGTTATGACACAGCACGTTGAATATGTTTCAGAGTCACGAAAAAAATGTACGTGATCTTCTCTAATCTGAAGTGTTCTCTTGTTCACAGGAAGTCTCAGAGCAATTGAATACATTTGAAAAACCTACTGAGTGCTAAACATCACCACATAATTTGGAGTCCGCTGTAGTCTCTTAATGGTAGAGGGGAAACATGTAAATAAAGGGACATTTTAGAAGGAGAATGAGCAAAAAATGTTTCACGCTCTGATTTGGCAACAGGTCAATTTTTTCACAGTTTACGGGCTCCTCGCACTTACCGAAACTACATGGTGGTCTAGAGCACTTTTGGCAGCGGTTTATCAGTATTCAGTGGTTGCACTTACAAGCCACAAATGGTAGGGTTTTTGAACTTTTGAGACAATTTAAGATTCATTATCCTTATTTTAAAGAAAATTGGTTACACCAATCAACCTGATTCCACGGACTCCACTCTCAACCTCATCATCTCCTCTCAAATATAATCTACCGATAGATAGGAAGTACCCACTCATACACGAGCTACAAAAATGGTCAGTATAATGATTTTGTCCGTGTTGAACACTATATGTCAATTGGGCTTAATGAAGAGTGGAAATACAAATTTTTGGTTTAGGCTTCTCTACCTTCTCGGTCTTCACACAACGACAATAGCACTTTACAAACACGGATTTTACGATGTTGGAATGGAATAATTTATTGTAAATAAATATTTTCTAAAGAAAGTATATAGGTTACTGCCTTATTTGTTGTTCCGTTTTTACTTTGCAACAATCACGATCGTAACACATCAAACTTAAAATTCATGATTCCTCAGATTTCACGATTTAGAGCTAACTTTCATATACTTGCGCTTTTTGCTTCAGGGCAATTAAGAGGCGGCCTGCTCCTTTCTCACGATTTGATATCAAGCGAAGAGCTCCTTTAGTGTCTTTCCTCGCTGAGAGTCTGCAAAAGATTAATCAATAACTCAAAAATATTTTCAGCACAATTTCAAATAGAATGTTAAAAAAATATATTATCAGACATTTTATCTCTTTCTGAACCGGCAGATATAGGACAAAAAGACAGAAAAAGAAGTAGAAAAATATTTTATACGTTCAGTTGTCAATTGCGATGATTTAATTTTGTGTAGGTTTAAAGTTTACCTGAATTGCTACTGGTTCTATGACTAAAGATAGCAATAAGGTCAACGAGACTCAAAATGAACCGCATCAGTGTACCAAATAAAATCTAGTAAAATTTCACAATTAATAATGTCGTACCCCTCCTAATAATGAATATACCGATGTCACTCATGCATGCTTTCAACCATAATATTATCATACTTTAAGGTACAGAAAACGGGAAAGGGAGCAAACGGTGGTTGCAAAAATGATAATGTTAATGTTAACGAGCATCAGGAAAAAATGTTTTGTCTCAGATTTTGGCCCCTAATAAAAATTTAGAAAGATGGGTGACAAGACTGGAGCTAACAATTTGGGGCTGATCCGCCATTTTTTTGAGGGTGCGCACCCCTCTTTCTCGGAAAAAACGGTTTTTTTTTTTTCATTTTCCCTTTCGAGCAATGTTACAAGAGTAAATGTAATTGGAATGTCCGTTTCTACCAAAAAGCCAGCCCTAGTAGCCTATTTTATTATTGACCTATCTTTTTGATATGAATCAATTATTTTACGAATGTTTGATCAATAAAAGAGCTGTGTCGTAATTTAAACCTATCAAGGATAGCAGTGAGTTAATCAGTTAATTAAATAAATTAAGACACTGAAATCGGAACTTAAATAACTTGCCCATGATCTGAGTTGATTATGAAACATGTCCCCAATTCTGTTTCAACTGGAATGAACTCTCGACAGCAGTTGAACGGCTTGTTATTCCATCTGCACTCGAAGAAAATGTCCTCACACGAGCTTCTAATCTGAATGAAATGAAATATGCCTATTTATTGAGTATTCAGTTATTTAAAATTTCCTTTTTGCAACGAAACAGTTTTCCAGTAGTTATCAGTTGAATGAACTTTTGACACGACGCACTCTTGCTTGACTCTTAACCCTTGAATGTCCAAGTCGGGTCAAATTGACACGCGGCTTATTAAATTAGCACGTGCTCCGCTGGTTGTAGGGTGCCGGTAATATACATGCGAGCTGTAGATATATGTCCACTAATAAGCCGTTGAAAAAACATCAGACATCAAATTTAAAAAAAAAAAATTGAGTGCCAGGAATTTTTTTCAACTACTCCTAAAAATCCCAAGCCGAGACAAATCAACACAACTATCTCCTCTGAGAGAGTTATGAGGCTGGCACGCACGAGCTTCAAGTATAGATCCACGAATATACCCTAAAAACAGAATCAGAAATTTGGCCTCGCCTTTTAACGTTTCTCTCGAATCTGAGCGACAACTCAGTAGCAGCGTGGAGCAGAGCATTGAAAGTTAACGCCTCGCGCCATCGCGCCTTCAATTTTGCGAATGAAACACGGACATCCATCAAGCACGAATAATTGTATCTCTGTTCTGAGCTGGCGTTGGCAATAATTAGAGATGACGCAGCACTACCTTTGATTACGTTTATTTAGTCCATGAATACGAGTTTCCCATGCAGTCTATAATTTGTTTTCATGATTTCCGTCGCAATATACGTGTTTTGAAAATTAGGGTCAAGATATATGAATAAAAAAGTATGACGTTCTCGTTTAACATCCCAATTTTTGTGACGACAGTGTTTAGATGGCAGAAAAAAATTACCTACCGTAGCTCATTTTTACTGTTACTTTTAAGTAAACCAATTCAACAACCAAGTAAACAAAAGTATGCAATTTGGTCGTATTAAGTGTCGGTATACTTAGATATATTTGTACTTTAAGATGTTGGAGCTCGGCGTAATGAGTTAAAAGTGATGGAACAAATACAACTTTTATTAAACTTACAGCAACCGTTATGTCCTTAAAATTGTTTTGAGGGCAGTTTGAGTCATTTTTTGAGCAATATTGTTTTGTGTAGTATGTAACGCCTGAGAAGTAGGCAATTTCTTTCAATACCTCGTCCAAGGTGAAATCGTACTGCGACCCATAAACTCTACAAATTAAGAGAGATTGTACCGTCAACATTAATGATCTGATATATTTCAGGTTAGGATAGAAGTGATGAGAATATAAAACTGAGCAATTACATTTCTAAAGGTTTTTGAAAAAGACTTAAGAGTGATAAATCTTACTGAAGAATAAATAAGCCAAAAGACCTAACACACATTGTCAAAGACAGGGACATGCGACAATCTATGCAACTTCTAAGCAGACGTGGAAGGATTAGGGACCGCGGTATTTCACTAATTTTTCGGGCAAAGGAAAAAGGCCTCAGAACGTGCGCATCTGTCATATGTTCGACTTTCAGATGTGTAGGAGCAGAGATTGCCTACCGACCCTCTTTAATTTTGTTGGTGTGCGTGAATTGCCACAATGTTGCCTCTGATAGTCTGTTTACCAAATTCAAGTGGTTGCACACTAACTCAATTATAGAATATCTTACGGGAATCAGGTCACTACTCAATTTTTGATTGATTCCTATTGTTTTTGCAGCTGAAAATGAGTCTGTGATGGCTTGAAATGTCCTGCCTACTTATTGTTTTAATAGGTTTGCCTTCTTTACTCACTTGACATGCCTTGTCTCACTATTTCCTTATTCATTCTGTCGTCCTAAAATGAATTAAACAAAATATTAAATAATTTTATTTAGAATATTAAGGAGTAAACTGTTTAATCCAAATCCTCCAACTCCCCTACCCCTCCCTCTTTCCAATTTTTTTCTTCATTCTCTTAAAGTTCTACGTTTGCTAATGAATGAAATCGTGTGAAATATTTACTTTACCTTGAGGCGTAGCTGCTTACTCCACTTGGATTCTCTGTCTCGCACACAGACACCGCTGGGAAATTCGTGTCCCAGTTCAATGAATTAGTTTCAACTACAAAACTAATTGCATTATTTTGAAATGAGTCCCAAGCTGCAGCCATCAATTTGACGGATCCAAACCAGCTCAATGAACAAGAAACCAACCAGAATAATCTGAATATATGTACACATTCATTGAATATTATAGACTGAATTTTTTCTGACGTTTAAATATTTACAGAGATATTTTCGGTGTAATGAACAGAAACTAATATTTCTTGGGACCCTATGAAATAAAAAAAAATATAAAGTTTCCCTCTCTTTCTTCCCTCTTCATAATTTGCTTATTTACTATGACTTCAAAAAAATACCTGCTGATAAAAATGTAAACATCAAAACTTTTTAAATGCATTTTTACGCTGTATTGGATAAGTTGGACTGCATTTTGCAATTTGGAACTATCAATTCTGGCCCGGTTTAAAAACAACGTATGTGCCTTTAGTTTTCCTATGCAGATAAGTGTTTTTTTCAGATGAGCCAGAATTCATAGTTCCAAATTGTAAAATGCAGTCCAGTTGTTAGTCACCAGAAAACGAGCATCATTATAAGTTATTTCAGCTATAAAATAATGTACGAACTTTATTTCCCATGAGTAATTACTACCTTTCTACCCAGTGTCTATCTTTTTCCGTGATAAAATGAAGGCCATGTAAGGTAGAATGAGATAGATACTCTTTTAAACACGATGGAAGGAACATGACAGAGCCGTTTTTCAATTGACACGTTCAACTCGAAGAGAAAATCCCTCCGCGATCGGATAAAACATTACTGGCTGAAAAAATAAAACTAGAAAGAGTCCATAACTCGCAAAAAGTTTTTGTCTCGTACAATGCGTGCAAGGTTGTACTTGGTTTGATTTTGCTCGTATCGCGATCGCATAAATAATATGTCTCCTAAAAATCCTCCTGTTAGCTGCGTTTCCGATTGGCGAGAAAAGCTTCTAAAGGTATATAAGACGAAATACGAAGCTGTATACTTTATTTCTTCTTTAAACTGGCAACCCCGGTGGATTGATGGGCAGTGGTTAAAGCTAAGCCACTTAGTGCTCATGATTGTAATCGACCCACAGGTGGCTTGATTCTCACGATTCCGAGGCCCTAATGAGCCTAGCTTAGTCACCCTTCAACAGAAGAGAGGCTGTTCTATAATACGCACGTTTTCGCCTAAAAAACTTCGCAACTGCAATTTTTTACCTTTCAATTTACTCTTCTCTAATTATTGATGACAACATGTTTTCCACAAAGAATAGGTGTTAAGAACACTAAGACTACCCCTCAAAGTAGAGCTAGGATAGTTGAAAAATATCCTAAAAGTTTATTTTTCCGGGCAAAAATTTCGGAAAAAAAGGAAGTACCTCCATTGGTTAATAAATTCTCTACTGATTTGAGCTGTAGAATCTGTCAGTGGAATAATTCACCCCTTGAAATTAGGAGAAAACTTCCTCCTTCATTGGCATTTTGATACCTTGTTGAAGACAATACAATACGGCTTTTAGGCGGACGTCTCTTGAGACGATGATAGATAATAATTAATCAAAAAACTTTGATTGAAACTAACGCTGATAATAGAGGAGTTTTGTCGTGACTTAAATTACTTCATGCATCAATGCTGCATGATTGATCACCTACTTCAAGACATATGTGAATACCTCGATGAAATAAGCAGCAGATCTTTAAAACTTGTAAAATTTTGTTTAAGCTTCAATGGTGGTGAAAGTGAGACCGGGTCATGTGAGGCGTGATTATAAATGCATTTGTATCTTTCTTGTGCTAGCAGGCTTTTTTATTGATGTTCGGACCAGTGAATCCAAAAATTACATCGAAGAGTTATTAATAGAAAGTAAAATTATTCCAGATGTCTTGGATGTAGCTCCAAAACATGAGTTATTGGTATGAATGGGTATTTTTTTTAAATCGTAGTCTATACCTGTAGTCATAATCATTCAGATAATTTTCGAATTTACTTATACTGATAAAAATTTCATCTTGAGAACAACTGCTAATGATTTTTCTTGATCTTTCAAGAAGTGGGTTTTATCATGCAATCACCGTGCGAAAAATTTAATAGAAACATACAGCAAAAAGAAACAAAATAAATCAAATACAACACTTGAGAAAAAGGTTAAACTGATTTCGCTTTAAAAAATTTCTTATCCTGCAGCAATTTGAGAGATTTTATTACTATGTACAAAAATTCTATTTTCTTTTATGAATGATATAAATATTTTTAAAGTGTTGGTCCTTTATTATCCCTTTTTTTAAGATAAGATCTTAAAGTAAGTAAAAGGGTATTATACAAAGTGTAGTTAATTTAAGTCGCTTTCGTCCATCTTAATCCTCTGTATTAATAATAATTTCTTTCTAGATTATTTATGCAGATCAGTCTATCAAATTAGGAACTCATGTTCTTCCCTCTCTTGTTCACGGGGTTCCGACGGACGTCGACTGGCCTTATGACGCAATGGCATATTATACGCTAATAATGACAGGTTCTAATTCTTATGAATTTTCAAGTTAAATTTTTGAAGAAAGACTTGATTACAAGGAGGTGCGTGGTAACACATCTTAAAAGGGATTGGTTATAGACATCTACGCGCGCACCAGTAAATGATCATAGTATCACAAAATCAATACTGTGAACTGCATCAATCCAAAGTTGGTCAGGATTTGTTAATTCTTCCATGGATACACAGCCTTTGCGTACTTTCTTTATTTTTGGAACGTATTAGGTGAACAAGCTTAACTGTCATTTTTGTCGTATGCTCCACAATATGTGGGGCAGCGCTTGAGCTTCTTAAGGTGATTCGATGGACGCCATATTTGGTGTCAGAATGGCATGCGATATATCGCATCAATTGGTTCAATTTTTCAGCTACTCGTCATTTTTCTCCAATTTTCAGATCGCAATTCTGTTGTAAGGAGACTAAAGCACTCACTTACCAATTTTAACAAAGAAATTCAACGTAATAAAGACGTGGTTTTTTTAGAGAGAAAATACCGCATTCGAGTGCAGTTTCGATATCAGTATCAAATGCGATATTTTCTCTCTGAAAAACACCACGCTTTTATTACGTTGAATTTCTTCGTTAAAATTGGTAAGTGAGTGTTTTAGTCTTTACAACAGAATTGCGATCTCAAACTTGGAGAAAAATGACGAGTACCTGAAAAAATGGAACCAATTGATGCGATATATCGCAGGCCGTTCTGACACAAAATATGGCGTCCATCGAATCACCTTAAAGCAATTCATCTTGGCTACCATCTTAAAATCCAATTCATCTCCAAAACAAGCAGATTATAGTAGTTAACTCTTACAGCCCCCAACAAGGTTCAACTTCTTTTTTATTAGATCATCCAATAATCGCTAAAAAAAAACGTGAAGTACAAATTTAAAAATCCATAAGTACGATACAGAAATAAGTTATTTCATCGTCGAAAAATTGTATTTTTTTACCTAGGGAAATTGCAACATTTTAGGGGGAAACCATAAAATGACTTGTTCATAGCCCTGGAAACATGATTATTTTGAGTCAATTTCTCACTAGTTTAGAAATTAAAAGATCGATCGATGCTGATCCCAAAATTACTTGAAATGATCAGAAAAAAGTGGGGTGAATTTGTGTGACAATGCGATACGGTCCATGAAATACACGTATTTAAATCAAAAGGAACTGTATCCATATTGACAAGAACCTTGAGCACCATAAGAGTACGTAAATGGCAAGGATGTAAAGATGGATGAAGTTCATTTTGATTTAAATGCGTCCAAGAGGTCGTGACCTCGGTACTTATGTTCTAGCGTTGCATCAAGCTGCAACGATATTCTGCCCTCGTGGTTTGACTCGATTGCATTTGCGAAAAAATATACAAACCTCACAAAGTAATGTCGATGGCTTTTCATGAGTAAAATGAGCATCATATTTTGATTGCGCCGATTTTATTCACCACGGTGTGCCACAGGCTAGCGCTGTTCAGTCGAATAACGAATTGACTTCATGTGATTACGAACATGATGGATTATTGAAGGACACTACGCTTGTCATGGACAGAGATCTCTTAGCGGCAATTTATTTCTTGGAGAGAAATAATAGAAAGGGGGGGGGGAGTTGAGCATGTCTGACGTTATATCAAAAGCCGTTCCCAGCCTCACGCTTTTATCATCGCTCACAACAGGATACAACGTATTTCATTTTTAGAATTCTTGAAGTGTCATCTTCGATTTTTATAAAATCTGAAACCTCAGAGACGTGCGTAAAACAGAAACGTTTCTTTATTAAAGTGTGCCATATTGTCATCAAATTCTCTGCAGTGATTCATTTACAAACATTTTTCATGGTAAATGTTATTTTCTCATGTTCTGTTTTTTTATGAATTGAAAAAGTGACTCCCAAAATCGTGCACCTTACATGTGAAAAAAGCATGTGCAGTCTTTGTTTCATCTCCAATTTAATAACTTATTGGCTACACTCTGATAATACTGGTTCAAGTTTTGAGGTTGACCTCATTAATGATAAGTCACAGTGATATCTATTCTTTTAACGATTTTATTTTAGCTGCAAAAACTTTTTGTATCCTTTTAAAGCATGTGAAGTGTGCGTTTTCTTCGAATGTGTTGCCATATCAATGTCGGATACCAATGCATGTGACCCGCAAAATATCTCAAACAGACCATAGTATTTTCGAGTTAGAAATGGGCAAACAGAGTTAAAAGTAACGCGGTAGAAATAAAAGCAAATAATAAAATGGAGAAAGTACCTATAACTGATCAGGATATCGACGGCCAAAGTACGAAACCACGTATCTCCCCAGCGATGTTTCAGAATCTCATCTCCTATCCTATTTTTTTGAAAAGAAACAAGTCAACTATATAATTTAAAATTTCCACGGAATATTCTGCTAATAGAGAAGAAGATCGAGGAAGTATTCAAGAAATTAGGTTGACTAGTTTTCTACAGAAAAAATAAAGTATGGCCTGAAGTCTGCAACGTTACAAACGGAGTTACGTGCGATTCTGCACTTAAGCCATCGCTACATAAGGTTTTAAGTTATTTTCCGACGTATTATCTCTTATAACCCTGAATTTATCATTTAAATTCCATTTCAGACTTATGTCTGAATGTCATCGAAGTCTCTATTTTTTTGGCTAATTGTATGCCTATCTATACGTTAAGCTCAATAAATACTAACATTTACAGATCCTGACTCTCCTTCTACGTCGAATCCATATAATAAAGAGTGGCAGCATTGGGTTGTGGGAAACATTCCAGAATTCAGGGTAAAACTTGGTGAAGTCCTTACCCCACACATCGGAGCAGTTCATCCAAAGGGAAACGGTAAGGTTTCTACGACTTCAACACTACTGCAGAAAATCTAGTTTAAATAACATTGAAAGTGGTCTCTATTCCATCACAAAACTATGATACTGCGTGTGATATTTGCGGAAAAATTAAAGCACAATAAAATCATTTTAAAAGTTATTTTTCAATGCGTGCAATTGAACATTCAGTGCGCCGCCGTTTGTAAGGTTATGAAAAGTGCTATTTAATGTGATATTCAGTATACCTATTTCAAATAACAACTGGAATTGCCTGATATTTCAATTTAACCATAGTATATTTAACTAATTTCCCTGTGTTTGTGAAGGAAACTCTGACGAACCCAGGGCCGGATTAAGGGGGTGGTCACATGGGCCGCGGCCCATGGCAGTAAATTTAGGGGGCGGCAAATTTTGCAATTTCTCTAAATGTAGGTATAAAAAAAAATCGGATTCAGAAAAAAAATTATCAATGGGAAAAGGGAACAAAATCTCTTTTACCTAAGAGTATAGTAATTTCTAATTTTGTCGTTTTTCGGTGATGCAAGAGACAGCATCTTTAATAAGTCGAGTTAAGAGAGGAGCTAAACACGCAATTTGGCCTGGAGCTCAGTGTAGAGAGGAATGCGAGGACTTGAGATGAAAAGGACAAGTCCTCGGCGCGGCGGTCGGCATGTAACACATATTAGCGCCTACAAGACTGCAGGAATACTTCACGCATTGCGCCAAACACAGTGCGATCAACGCAGCGCAGCGGCGGAAGTTAAAATTATTAAACCACATTTATGTTTGCTCTTTCATAATTTTTTGTTTCATTTCTTATAAATGGAGGACCTTGTCCACACAGAGATAGGTTTACGGAACTTAGGATATTTAGGAACTAAGGAGTAGGCGGCCCATGGGCGGCAAGTAGGTAAATCCGGCCCTGGGCGAACCCCACCAAATTCTGGTGTCAAATAGAGGAAATTGAAAGTAGATTTGATTTGATTCTGATACGTATCAAAGATTTGTGTTTTGGTGGCAGTAAATTATAAATTTGCAAATACAAATATTAAAATACAAATATTAAAATACAAATATTAAAATACAAATATTAAAATTTACCAAAAAATTTAATCAAACGAGAATACCACCTTGCGAAAAAGAGGATTGTAGGTGCACGTAAAACTTCATTCATCATGTTAGTGCATACCATGTATCACTTCTGCCACTTGGAATAATTTATCACTTACGAACATGTTTATATCGTATGTTAATTAATCCGTGGATTGAACAGAACTCAACAATCAGCGAGAGCTACGCAAACAATTGAATGCTCTATGGTTAAGGGTGGCGCTGATCACTTCATTTTCGAGGGGTGATTTCAGCCGTGATCTTGTATCACCAATACACAATGGAGACATTGCATGTGTGAGGAATTTGCAATTTGACTGTTGATTCGTACGAAAAAGTTCACGAGAAACACGATGGTGCCTTTGGTTTTCTCTGAAATCAACTCCCAAGCTCAAAAAAAACTCTAGTTGAAGCCGAAATGGAGGGGATATCCCACGCTATCCTGAGAGTCCACCTCTACATCAAGGCAAACTCTCCATGCCAAGATAGGGAGCAAATACATCGACAGGGCTGCCACTTTATTTGGGGAATGTATTTCCTCCCTACCTTTGCATGGAGACTTTGTTTTGATGTAGAGGTGGACTCTCGAGATAGCGTGGGATATCCCCTCCATTTTGGCCTCAACCTGAGAGCCTTTTTTGAGCTTGGGAGTTGATTTCAGAGAAAACCAGTGGCACCATCGTGTTTCTCGCGAACTTATACGTAAGAATTAGTACCTAGTGAAATCGCAAATTCCTCATACATGCAATATCTCCATTCTATTACAAGATAAACTGTCCGAATTTTTAAGGATAACTTCTGGATCAGTTTTTTATTCCTCCTCCTCTATTTTTCGTCACTTCGTCAGTCAGATCATTGAATCATCACAAGGCAGCGAGAGCGAACTTTTAAATGAAACCAGACGGACTTCACAAGTTAACACTATTGCTCATAGATAAGTTAGAATATGCATTGATTGAGTTCTCTAAATACGCTAATATGTCTTGATCTTTCTTTCAGGATTGCATCGATATGTTTTCACCGTTTTCAAACAACCTGAAAAAGTCAATTTCACAGACTTAATCCTCGACGAACGGTATATAATACAATTAATCATCCTCATAATTATCTTCTTTCCAAAAGTGATAAAAGTGACCTTACATTAATCAAAGTAAATTTTTCAGACTAAAAGCGTCCTCGAAATATGTGAAACTCTGCCAACCAAGTCAGGAGGAAAACCTCACCTTTTCCGTAAAAGCTAGTTCCTTGTAGTTCAACAGTCAGCTCAATTTTTATACAGAAAAATACTCCATTTCTAGGAAACTTTGAATCTTTTAGAGAAAAAAATCACGATCTAATATATTTCATTGTTTGTTTTGCTCTTCAGACCATCAGATGCATACCGAGCGAATTTTTCAACGAGAAATTTTGCCCACCGCTACAAATTTGGAGACCCTCATGCTGTCAATTATTTTGTAGTGAATTGGGATACGCCTTGAGCTACATCCAATCATCTTCCAAAAAAAAAAAAGGTTGGGGAAGAAGAAAGGTCGATATAAGTCAAGAGGGGAATTAGTACGTGATTGTTAGAGTGAATTTTCTTTCCTCACTTTTTCTTCTCCTCCTGGGATTATCAACGAATTTTTTGAACAGTTCTGACAAAATTCTATAGAGTATAATAATTAAGTATTTTTTTAAAAACACGTTCCTTCAACTATGCGTTTTTGTGATTTTCAATTAATTTACGAGGGCTGTCCCAAAAGAAACCGGACTTTTGTCATAGAAGGCGAACCGAGCGTCGTAGTGAAGTTTTCTTGGGCTTGTTTGAAAGCTGATAACCTACTGGAGATGCTTGTTTTTACAGAATGCAAAAATTCGTCTTGGTAAGGAAACTACACGCTTTGGAATAAAGGAAAGTCAAACTCGAGTTGCGATTTTTGTCTTTATTTCAAAAAAAATTTGGATACAACTTAAAAAAAATAAACCCAGGTTTTAAGTTAAAAACTTCGTTGCTCTCTCATTCAAATGCTTAAAAATGAGGAAATTAACATTTTAAGCAGCTTACCAAGTCATCACCTATCCCCTTCAAAATACTCGCCAGCTTTGTCGATGCATTTTTGCCGCACCGTTTCTTCAATTGGAAGAAACACTGTTGGAAATCCTCAGGTTTGAATGATCGCAATTCCTTCAAGGTGTTCTCTTGAATTTCCGGAATGGTTTGAAAACGTCGACCTTTCAAGGTAGATTTAAGTCGTGGAAATAAGAAAAAATCACACGGAGCCAGGTCAGGTGAATAAGGGGGATGAGGGAGGACACTCATGGCATTCTTTGCGCAAAATTCGCGAATTTGGAGGGATGCATGGGCAGGTGCATTATCGTGATGCAGAAACCAGGAATTGGCTCCGTGTGATTTTTTCTTATTTCCACGACTTAAATCTACCTTGAATGGTCGACGTCTTCAAACCATTCCGGAAATTCAAGAGAACACCTTGAAGGAATTGCGATCATTCAAACCTGAGGATTTCCAACAGTGTTTCTTCCAATTGAAGAAACGGTGCGGCAAAAATGCATCGACAAAGCTGGCGAGTATTTTGAAGGGGATAGGTGATGACTTGGTAAGCTGCTTAAAATGTTAATTTCCTCATTTTTAAGCATTTGAATGAGAGAGCAACGAAGTTTTTAACTTAAAACCTGGGTTTATTTTTTTTAAGTTGTATCCAAATTTTTTTTGAAATAAAGACAAAAATCGCAACTCGAGTTTGACTTTCCTTTATTCCAAAGCGTGTAGTTTCCTTACCTAGACGAATTTTTGCATTCTGTAAAAACAAGCATCTCCAGTAGCTTATCAGCTTTCAAACAAGCCCAAGAAAACTTCATTACAACGCTTGGTTCGCCTTCTATGACAAAAGTCCGGTTTCTTTCGGGACAGCCCTCGTATACTGTCTTCTTTTTAACCGTCTGCGGCGCCTCTTCAACACTCCCACTGGATCTACTTCCTGTACCAGCAAAATCCGTCGCTTTCAGGTAATGTATATGCCTCGAGCCTTCAAGTTGCCCCAGTTGTGCCGGTAGCCAACAAACGGATGTTTTGTCTTAATTTCATTTAAAACGCACTCAAATTCTTCAACTGTCTTCAAATTGAGACTCCTATTAGTTGCGATGATGTTTTGATTTCTCCTTTTCCAGAGGGTGACGCGACCAATATTTACGGTTCTTGTTATTTTGGACCGAGACTGATGACCTCTATTTCTCAGTACATTAATTTCAGTGGTCGGAACGGAGAATCTCGGTCGACTAACGTCACTGAGTCTTATTACAGGATAAGTAATTTGGACATTGTTATGTTTTGTATTGTAAAATAAAACAATGTTGCACTCACGTACTAAAAGATTTAAGAAACTGATTATGACCATTATGATCTCATGAAGGTTATGGTCATGCGTGTCATTCGATGGAAACTGACGGGAAAATAAAGTTTTCAGTTAGAGTAGAAACTAGGACGCGAAGGATTTCAATATTTTCTTGTTGTTTTCTTGTTGTATTTTATTGTTTGAATGATCGCAATTCCTTCAAGGTGTTCTGTTGAATTTCCGGAATGGTTTGAAAACGTCGACCTTTCAAGGTAGTTTTTAACTTAAAACCTGGGTTTATTTTTTTTAAGTTGTATCCAAATTTTTTTTGAAATAAAGACAAAAATCGCAACTCGAGTTTGACTTTCCTTTATTCCAAAGCGTGTAGTTTCCTTACCAAGACGAATTTTTGCATTCTGTAAAAACAAGCATCTCCAGTAGGTTATCAGCTTTCAAACAAGCCCAAGAAAACTTCACTACGACGCTCGGTTCGCCTTCTATGACAAAAGTCCGGTTTCTTTTGGGACAGCCCTCGTAGTTTACTAACATGTACAGAATATTTCTAATAAATATAGCAACATTTGTATTTTTGTGCATGTTTTATAAGTACAAAGATAAAGTTTTCAAAGCCTAAAGCTTTTGCCGATTTTCAATGCAACATTCTCCGCATGAAAGTAACAATATTTTTCGGAATAGCCTGTTCTTTTGAGGGAAATGTCAAGATCACTGGAAATTAGTGGGTATAGGTAAAAAAAAGATATCATTTCCAGACTCAGCGCTAAACATTACGCAAGAAATGGACTACATTTTGCAATTTGGAACTATCAATTAATTCTAGCCCGGTTTAAAAACAACGTATGTGCAATTAGTTTCCCCATGCACGTAAGTGTTTTTCCAGAAAAGCCAGAATTTATAGTTCCAAATTGCAAAATGCAGTCCAAATGATCATCATGTATCCAGGATTTTTTTGGTGCAGACCAATGTTATTATTAATTTGAGAACCTTTTTTCCATGTTTTTCCTAGAATAATAAAAAATTATTTTTAATGCAAACTGTTGAATTAGACGTTTTTTTACAACTGAAATTCGACTTTTCGGTGAAAAGTTACCTTCGACAATATGTATTCGTGCGTCATACGATGGTCGACAGTCACATGATAACCATGGGCGTAGCAAGGGAGGACCGGGGAGGCCAGGTCCCACCTAGAATTGAAAATAGTACCATCTGCCCCCCCCCCTCAGAAATTTTGACTGGTGGAAAAAGATTTTCGTAAAGGATTTTTGCCTCTTTTAATGCAGAGTTTTTAATGACACGAACTTCATCGAACAGGGCCGTCCCATGCAGGGATGATGGCAGGGCATTGACGAATAGATGTTCCGTTGTCAGTTGCCCGATAACCTCCGGGGCGTTTGGTATACTTGGCGTTTGGGTGTATAGCAGAACGGAAGAGTTAATTGTCATGAATGTTTAATGAACACCACGTACGCACGTACTCATTTGGAAAGTATTTTCTAGATTTTGCGTCATTGGGGCCTCAAAATGGGCCCCAACTGAGTCGAATGTTTTGAAAAATTCCGGAATTGTCGAATCCAACAATTCAGTAGTATTATATGCTGAACGTACGCAAAACAGCGTAATTTTTCTTGCAGAAATCGATTGATTATTTGCGTCATGGGAGCCTTAATATACGCCCAAATAGAATTAAAATTGCGAAACATTTCTGAGGGGACCCCCTGTACTCCCCTCTGAACTAGAGGACATTCCATACCCCATGGACCCTCTTGCGGTAGAGGGGCCAGAGGCCTTTTCTAGCAAAATAACAGAGCTGTGCACCTATTATGATAACATTATGCCTGCACTGTCTTATCTTCTAATCCTTTGTCTATCGCAATAGTGAGTCACACGCCGAGCTCTCCCCCCTCCCTCCACCTTCCATCAATGCCCCACCCCGCGACTCCCGTCTCCAGCGGGCTGATTGTTGAAATTGATGGACAAAGCTGTTGACAAAGAAGATAAAAGAGATTTGGAGGGATCCTATTCGTGGATGTGGTGGTTGCAATAGACAAATGAGGTAGATAATAGACAAACTAACGGCAACTCACGAGAGTACCTATAATTTTCCATAATTTTCTCCTTGTGTCTATAGGAACCACCCATTTCAACCAATAGGATCGCTCCATAATCCCTACGTCTTCTTTGTCTATCGCTTTGTCTACAAATTTCAACAATCAGCCCGCAGTCTGTCTAGTGAATCCAGGAATCCTTCGTGCCGCGCGGTAATCGCTGAGGAATGCGGAAGCGGCGGCGCGGCGCCTAGACCTTTCAATTTTGTTAGTTTCCGAGTATCGATTCCTCCGTTATCTGTTTCCTCCACTCCTGACCTACTACTGCGCTCATGCCGAGTGACTATTCTGAGTGTAGGGGCACACAATGGTCACTTCCAGACTCACAAGAGCCTAAATTCAAATATAAGTAAGTACGTAAGTAAGGCCGGGCTGGCCGGCGAGGCGCCCTCAAGGGGCCAAGGCAACTGGCAACTGCCGTCGTGCACCCCGAAGTTGGACCGTGCTCCTTTACTTAACTTCGTACCATTGACACATTGTGTATCCTCTATATTCCCGCAAGGCTCAGCGGCCGTCTGATAGCCAACTGCAGGTCTTATCAAAGGTGACTATGTCCCTCTCGCACCCTGTTACCTCGAAGGGTCAGAGTATTGGAGTGGCATAGTCATCCACAGTCACGATGACTGGTATTTGAGTGTCCTCAAATATCAGTCACCTCCGGGGATTGAACCCGGGACCTCAGTGTTGGCAGCGAACTGCCTTGACCACTACACCACTGAGGCTGACTAAATTCAAATACATCGCTTACAAACGGCTGCTGCGAACTCTCCAAAAGTGACAGAACGCTCCGTTCCATTCATTTTGTTTCAGGCTTGGCGGGAAATTTGAAATGAAATGCCGATTACCATATTTGATGCTGCTTAATGGTCCAATTGCTCCCGGCCAGAGGGAAATGGGATCCTTTCATCGGGGCGTTTCCATACTTGATTTCTCATTGGTTGTACATTTTTCTGATTCTAAATTTCCCGCCGAGGCTTTAGCAAAACAAACGAAACGGGGAATTTTATCGAGTTCACAGTTTGAACACTGGAAAAACAAACACATTGGATCTAGAGTCCAGACTCTTGAAAACATTGACAAGAAAAAATACTCTTAAATCAGATTTTTGCTTTAATCAAAAGAAAATCCGCTCAAATTAGGAGGCTTGGTTCTTGATTCAAGCAAAAATCCGATTGAATCAAGCGTATTTTTTCTTTTCGATGTTTTTAAGAGTCTGGACTCTAGATCCAATGTGTTTTTTTTTTCAGTGAATAGCGAAAACACATATCTTTGTTTCACTCACCGTGGCAATGGGGTACCTTTCTTAGTAACCCTTGCCTTCCCTATCACACCGGTCTCTCCTAGGTGACAAAGTTTTGAAGCATCCCAATTGGACAATAAAAATGTTCATTCTTTCGTCACAGTTCGTCCTGAAGATCAACCGGGTCCATTCTGCCATGGCTATTGCAGCTAATATTGGGGTATATACCCTGATGGATACTTCCGCTCTACTTAAATTAAGTCACAAGGGCCGGCAAAGTGGACCCCGAAGAGCGCAAAGCGGCCCTTGGGGGTTGGACTGAGTAGCGGCATGAGAGCACATCTCCCTAGTTAGATCATGAAAACTTTTTAAAGCAGGGTGAAAATAATTTGGTATTTTAAGTTTATTTACCTAAGACATCCAAACATATCTGTACAAAAAAATTACCTAAAAACTATTTATAAACAGTATTTCGAGATCGAAATATCATCAAACTTTACAAAAATATCGTGAGCAAAAACTCCGCACGCTGGTAGCAAATATTTCTACTTTTAATTTTATCGGTCATTTTGTCAAAATGAAACAGTATAATCAAATAAATTAAATTGTTTCTTATTAAAAATGAATACTTTCTCTTGTTTTTCCGTCCTTCTTTTTCAGTTTGTGTTTTCATTATTCAACATGAAGGGGCTTCTTATCTTTTTTTTCCACAATATCCATATTCATCATAAAATAGTTTGCAGCGATGGGAACAAGATTATGCTCCTTAGCAAAATCCATTGATGAAAATTTTTCACGGTTGTGTGGTCTTGCATCAACGTGTTCTTGATGATCTGGAGGCCTAGAAAACCGCAGAAGCATAAACATCATGAAAACCGCGGACAAAAATGATGGAAAAAATTTACAGGGCACGTTATGAACCGTATTTGGTATGTGTATTAACTGAATTTTGACTGAAATGAAATACGGATGAGGTCTCACAATCATGGCAATGCCAAATGGACACATGCCCTGCGTTCGAGGTACCATTTATGTAAGGTTTAGCTCATTGGTAATATCAATTTGCTAGCCAATGACCTGAAAAAGCCGTAGAGGTAAATATTTTTCAGAGAAATTCCGAATTGAGGGATCATTTTGTCTAAGTTCGTACAGTTTTCAGTGCTATTAATTTTGAAAATTTTACAAGCTCGCCCAAAACTTTACGCGTATTTTTTATTATTATTTATTATTATTTTATTGTTATAAGTTAATAATTTAGAACAAAGACCGTATTTGAATATTTTGCTTCATAGAAACACAAACTGATTTATTAAAGTTTTATTGGCTGTAATTTAAAATAATCGAGTTTAGCACTCAATGATTGACGAGGGTTATACTTACGTGTAAAGATCAGGTGAAACTTTTAACTTTCCTTTAGATTGCTGATAAACAACGAATACAAGTCGATGCAAACCTGAAAAAAACGAAACATTTTGAATATAAGGGATAATTTAAAAACGTAGTGGAGAATATATTGGTCAATTGTTTAGTAAAATTTGATAAAGTGCAAGTTAAAATTCGAAAAAAAAATTCATGGTACACAACGGTCTTAAAATGATAACGATCTAATAAAGAGCTCAGGGCTCAATAATATGAACAAAGAATAACTCTATTCCTTTAAAAATGTCTTTCAAGGAATTTAAATAAAGTAATGCAGTCTTCTTTTGAAATTTTTTTCAAAGTTTAATGTTTCTAATTTTAAAGAAAATGGTAAAATAAAGCCAACTTTAATAAGAATTCAAAGACGGCGTTCATTTATGCATGTATAAAATGACGAGCACATGCATCATATTAGTCCAAGTCAAGTTGGTCAGCAAATTTTGGTTTCCGGGTCAAAAGCTTCACATGCATCGACTAGATTTTAGGAATTAATGTACCGATAAACTTCTTGTAAGATTTTACCTTTGCACGTTGAATTGGAAGTTGAAAAACGTCTCCTTGATGGTGGTATATACTGAGCTACGTTCTTCCCATCGGTGATAAATGCGGCTTTGACGTTTATTATCATCCAGTGCAAATATTCTCTCTGCAGCGGTTTTTTTGGATCAGGAAAATCTGGATCTATCAAAATATTTATAAAAACTTGTTTTAAAATTTCTTTCACTCACAATCCGATCCTAAATTAACTTTCCACGTTTTTGAAAAAAGATAAAAATATTTGGCTTTGACCTATACTGCAGAACTTTAGCAGGGAGTACCAGCTGGAAATTCAGGAGGCCGCGCTGCACTGATGATTGGCCCAACAAGGCCGAAACATGCGTCTGCAGTTGCCTTCATGAAATTTCGTAACTAGTATTGCACCAAACAGAATATCTTTTTGAGAGAAAATTGTGCTCATATGAACTTTTTCCCTCTGTATTGAGATAATCAGCTTTATGATGAATTTTTCACGCACGTTGTTTAAAAAAACTCCTGTCTTTTGCTGTGTTACGACCCGTGCGTCCACCGCAATCAGTTTGTGTATACTGCAGAAGTACTTCGATCTAGAGTAGCATAAAGAGGTACGCTTCTATTACTGTTCAAAATTGAGCATTTCGAAATATTTTTGAAATGCGTTGGACCGTAATACGCTTTTTGAAAAATTCTAATTTTACGAAGTTTTGCAAAAAACATTCTACGGTTCAATTTTTTGAAATCCATGCTTGATCTTCCTCCCTCAAATATATAACTATGAATCTTTTGGAGAGAAAATCGGAAAACGAAAAGTGCAGTGGGATTCCAGTAATATTCTTTTCTTAGACCAAGTCATTTTCACATTTTTTGTCGTGTTTTTAAGCCGAGCTGCATACTCTGGAAATTGAACAATCTTAGATTTTAATATACAATACAGTATCATTGAACATTTCGTTCCCTCTTACGGCACACCTCAAACTTTAGAAATATTATTCTATAATTTTTATTATTGTTTTAACTTTAAAAAAAAATGGTTTCAAAAGCCTTCCTTAAAATCCCAGATTGAAAGTATATTATGATAAATTACTTTACGTTGCGCAAAAATCAACTGCTCAGATAGTAAAACACATTTTGAAAGCCCCTCTTGTTTCCTATTTCATCTACGTTATTCTTATGGATTTTAACTGCTGAACAATTTATCTATGATCAGCTTTTTCAGCAATTAGTGTAGAAGACAGGAACTATGATCTGAAAACTGTTTTCCCCTTTCTCTCACAGAAAACCGATTAGCCATTATGAGGTGAAAGAAAAACCTTTCAAGAAGCAGCTCGTCAATTATCATCATCGAGCAAAAACTATTGACTATGCCTTGGATTCAGTTTTGCCTCACCATATTGAAATCGCTTTGATAGCCAATATGGTGTCTCTGAAATAGGACCAACCTCTGAGATACCAACCACTGGACCAACTCATGATTAATTAACTTCGAGTAGAGAGGTTCAAAATTTTGATCCCCCATTAGATTTGATCGCTGTTTAATGTTAAAAGGTTGACCTCTGAGGTTTTGCACGTTGTACCTCTAGTAGTGATGTATCCAATGTTTCGGTTTCCAAAGCTACTATTAGCTGTAAGGCACCAAAATTAAGGGACGTGGAAAATAGAAAATTTGAGTGGTCCATCAGAGTAGGAAAAGGGTACATACATTTTGAGATCAAAAAGAAACAGAAAATGTCAGGGAAGGAATGTTATGAAAATTATAGGAATAGTAAGTTAAGATGAGAAATTCAAAATTTTAATTGAAAAGTATTTTATTAAAACACTTTAATGAGTTTTGACGCTTCCTTAATTTCGGTGGTATAAAGGTCAAAAAGTTGAATTTGAGTGGGAAGCTGGTCTCTGATACAATAACTTTTAAGTATGACTGATATCATAAAAGTGCTCAATTCATACTTTTTCAGCGTAAAGCTGTACATCTCTCACTCACCGGACATAACAACGGTATAAAATTCACCCTCTTTGTACAGCCAGTCAAGATCCACAGGTTCTTCATCTATGCGGTTATATTTCAGTAAATTTCCAAACTTTACGTTATTCTGCATGTATACAACCTAAGAATAATTATGAAAAATGTTGTTTTTACTTTTTCCAGATTCCATGGCAAATGGTTCAAAGCATGCTTATACATATATTCTTTTCTCAAACCAAACAAATCAGAAGAGTATTAAATTTGGATAAAATTTGAATGAGGGTCTATCAGAAAGTGAGTTTTCTTAAAATATTCAAAATATGATTTGTCAACGGCTGGATGCCCAAAGTGCACTCACAAAATTTCAAATGTCATTTTATTAATCTCAAATTTCAAGGTATGCGGAAGTGGAAATATCACACACCATTTGTGGACCTCAGTTTAAAGTGCCTCTCATTAAGGGAACCCTTGGCATTTAAGCCTCAAACCGAACCGCTCAGTTTTACGTGATTCTACTTAGCACTGTGGCTTTCAACTTATTCTCTAATTTCACTGTAAATATTTTAGCTTGAAATTTATCTTAGTATCCTACGTTACCGTCAACGGTTGCGGAACTTCACTTAATAGCACATCTGGAATGATTTTTGCGTTTTTCAACGAAGCATTCCAATTTTTGAAATTTTGGCTGAAAATGGTCTCGTTGTCCGTCAGGCTATATTTATCAGGAGGTGCTCTTTTTCGTGCACGAGGATTACAAGAAGCTTGGGAAAGAGCATTCATTAGGATGCATAGAAAACCGTACTCACTCCTCAGCTTCATAATGGAATAATATCTGAAAACAATAATTAATATCCGATGCTTATTTTTGATAATACGTATAATAAGTTGACAAACTAGTGCCAAGCCCACTCTACTCTCAGGAAAAAATTTAACTTGATATACACCAAATATTAGAACTAGAGTCACAAAACCAACCGTATTGCGTTTCAAAACAAGACTGGGGGTGTGGGATGGTTATAAATACCTTTTAATCAATTAAAACAGCAGGTAACAAAACTTTTTTTAACACAAGTGACCAAGACGTTCCGGTTGGAAACACCTTAGCCTTTTTCAGTTGGATAAAAAATTTAAAAACAATTTTAAAAATTAAAACTTCGTAACAGATTGTACTTTTTTAAACGAGATGATTATAGTTGATATGAGCCATTGTAAATACGGTAGCTCTAATTATCATTTTCGGTATATCTGGCTTTTAATTCCACATTCTGTCATTGCTAACATAATATCGGAACATGAGATCCACCCGTGCATTTGTGTCGAGGAATACTTAATACTATTTATTTTTAAAAATGTCGATGTGGTGTCCTCATTTCTGATGAAATGATTCTTTTTGGACAAATGGGCATTTTTGAGTGTGGCCCACTTCAATCCATGACATGGTTATTCAATAAAAGGGTATACGTAACTGAAGACTTTCATTCATCAACTTGCTTATCAAACGATTAGTGCCCGAGACCCATGAATACTTTTCAACTCATCAGAATTTTGATAAAGTGAAGTTTTCTTCAACATGTGATGAGTTCACTTAGTTGGGTTATTCAAAGGCTTAGTGTATAGTTATAAGAAAGGACGAAACTGTGAATTAATAAAGTATCTATAGTAATAAGTGGGCGAGTCTGAAAATTATTAGAGGTGAAATAAAAATTTAAACATGATTTAAAAAAGTGTGCACACTTACTGATATTTCCTAATCAGTATCTCTAAAGTAACTTATTCGTAAGTTGCTGGTTGGAAAGGAGTGGAAATAGATTGGACTAAATGTAATGAGGGTCTTGGAGGAGGCTGAAATAATGCCCGATGTCCTACATGAAGCTCCCGAGTCTGAATTGAAGGTAGGATTACATGTATAGTCTCATGCGACAAAGGCGGATCCAAGAGGAGGGGGTTTACGCTCCCTCCCCGTTTGCTGGAAAAAAAGGAGGATAAAAAAGAAGGAAGAAACGGAGGAGAGAAGAAGACGCTTAAATTTGGTAATTATTCATGACGAAATTGACTCAAACTGCATATTAGATGTTTCAAAACTTCAAAAATTTTCTGGAGGAAGCCCCCGGACCTCCCTCACGCCCCCTTTTGAGGGGTCAGGATCCGCCTTTGTCACGTGACTGGATAAAGTAGTACATGATGATTTACTTACATGTTTTGAGTTGTGAGAGATCGTTTTCAATGGAGAGGCATGGGGAAGGCTCTCATTACACGTGATGCTCAAGAAATGCCCACCCTCTAAGATGCCCAAGATTCTTTAGATGCCCAAGATTCCTTAGATGTCCAAGCTAAATCAAAGTGACCCAAGGCTTCCTAAAAACATGCACCCCACGGATTGTATGGAGTCGTTATGTAGGAGATTTAGATATAGGTATAAAAATCCATCCTTAAAAAAGAATCAGACAATTGATAAAATAAAAAATAAAAAAAAGGAAGTCAACAGAGCCGAAGATAGAAGAGACATCTTCGGGTTTCGTTTTTTAACTCCTCTACCGAAGCTGACTGCCACCTCATTGGCAGCATTAAAGAGCGGGAGTTGCGAGTTTACGCCTCGCACCATCGCGCCTTCAATATCTCAGATGCAACACGGACACCCATCAAGCATGAATAGTTGTTTCTCTGCTCTTTCATCAATACGCGACCTCTCCCTTGCTCTTTTCCATACGGTGTTGGTTCCGTTCGTCTGATTAGTATAGTGGTGCTTCATTGGCCACGTGAGCAACACAAACGAAGACAGGAAAGAGTAATCGGGTCTGGTTTTTAAATTTCCTCCCGAAGTTGAGAGACACCTCATTGACAGCAAAAAGCGTAGCAATGTGTGTTCATGCCTTGCGCCATCTCGCCTTCAATTTTGCAGATGCAACACGGACATCCATCAAACACGGATAATTGTTCCTCTGCGCCGTCGGCAAAGCGCGTCAAGATGTCTCTTATTTTCGAGGAAAGTTAAGGTAAAGTTTTCTAAAAGTGTGCAATGAATAATAAAAAATACATAGTAAACTTTTTAGAATAAATTCTGATTCAGAAGTGTAAAATATTCCTTTCACTCAATACAGTAGCTCCAGTATCAGATTACAAATGACAAACTTTGATGATCGTCCAATGGGTGTTTCAAGAGTCATAGACATACACAGATCAAAATTTACTTTTGTTACATCGGTTATTTTACTAGTCGCTTTAATTCAGCAATCAACCTGCAAAAAAAGGAGCATGTATGATCCTGACCCACCGCGGGTACCACGTCGCAGTTGGGCAGTTAAAAATGCCTTTGAAAGGTACAGAATTATACTGGATCGTATTATTCCAAAGGCACCAGACAGATTCATGTTGGTAAGTTATCAATTGGTTGTACATTTCTTGCTTAAAATTTAACCAACTGGAGGAAGAGAAATTTATGTTTATAAAGAAATAACAAAAGACTATGCGAGCTCTTATTATGCAGGGCTCAATTCCAAAAAGTTCCGAAGGGTATAAGGGGCGCATAAAAACGAGAGCTCATATTGCAGAGTATGTCTCGGCGGGCCTTTTGCAAGGACGTTGCATCCTTAAAGTTTTATTAATTAATAGGACATCGAGTGGCGCATATTGAAGAGGAATTGTTACTGGTGGTAAAACAGTCACCTACTACAACCTTCTTTAAAGACATTTAACATTCTAATCACTAAATACGAAATTCGTTCAAAGCGATGAACTGAGTTGCATTCTTATCCTCATGTTCTACATTTTGGCGGGAAAACATCTACTTGATTCCAGATTGATTCGCAAAAAACTTGCTGAAACCTTCAATGCATGCATGAAAATGGGCATGAAGAAGTTAAAGCTTCTGAGGAACATATTATGTTTGTCAAATTCGATACGTGCATACCAGTTTTTTCACAGTACTAATTACACACACCTTATTTTCTTTTACAGGTGAAGTTTAACAATAATAAAACGGTCGAGTTAGGAAGTGTAATGAGGTTTGACGATGTATGGGAAATTCCAGTTTTCATTAATTTTGACTTCGACATCGGTTGTTACCACACTTTAATATTTCTCAGTAATTATACACACATGTTTCTATCAATTTCACATTTGGCATTTATTTTTCGTACTTTTACAAAATCAAAATATAAAATGAAAATACTAAAATTATCATGCGTTTGTACCAAGTTTTAAAGTTTCAAGTTTAGTCCCCACAATCAAACTCGTCATGATCCAAAGGGATTCGATGTGGACTGAGTGAAGGCATACATCTTAAATTATCGATAGCTAAACTAACAAAGTGCGTATCTACGATTGCAACTTGGATGTCGTAAATCTCCGCTCAAGATTCATGTTTAAAAAGAAAACTAACTAACGGTTTTTCTTGAAAATTTATGTGAATGTTTTTTTATTTCTTCAGACCTATTTACAGAGAATTCCAAGGGAAAATTTTGGTTGGTTTTCTCTTTAAAAATAGAACTTAGTTGGAGATATTGAAACCTTGCAATGAAGATACGCATTCTTTTTTATTAATTTATTTATTTTTTTCTTTACTCTTAAGCATTCATATATTTTATTAGAAATAATGAACTCCAAGTAAGTTTTTTCCGTCTGTATTTTTCAAGTGAAATAGCTTTGAGATTTTATTTTTATTTACAGATTTAAACGTACAAGTTAGTGTTTTATTCCGCGCAATATGCATTAAATTAGCACGAAAAAAAATAAAAGTATCCAACATAATCGTGTTAAAAATATTTGATTTTTGCGTCACTTTTTTATGCTTCTGATCAGTAAAAGTTCCGCAGAATGATGTTTTTTTAAAACTCCTTTTGAGTTCGTTTCAGGTCATTCCGTCAACGATTTTATGTCCACGGAACTGTTTTGTTCAGTAGTTTACGTCTACGCGTAAAATAAGCAACAGTGATTTGGTCCATAAGTAAGGTTATAATGACAATATGGAAATGAGAAAATTGAGAGAGAAAAAGGGGGTCGTTATAGTGACTCATTTTTAAATGAGATGTTACACTCTTCTTATGATTCATCTTCTTAAATTGTCATAAGTGAATATTTCTATCCTCAACATTTTTAATATGAAATATAACTCATACATACCTTTTTTCTTCTTCTTCGTTTTTTTTAAAAGAAAAATATTACTTCACTTGAAAAGCATTTAAATTTTTAAAACGTGGCAAAAATTTGGAAAACCTAGTCCAAGCAATAGCATCGATATTAATCTCAATGAGCCGTAGTTGTGGTAAAAAAAATGAATTAAAAAAAAAAATAAAAAATAAAAATTTAAAAAAAAAAAAAAAAAAAAAAAAAAAAAAAAAAAAAAAAAAAAAAAAAAAAAAAAAAATGAATAAAAGAGGGAACAAACCAAGAAGCTCGCCAATCTTCGGTTTTAACTCATATGTCTTTAAGAGTCAAATACGTCCAATTGTAAGCGTTTGGTTGCGTGTATACTGCTCTGCAGCACAGTGAAAGTACAAAATATAAAAGAAAAAATTAAAGCGCTTTGGAAATCATTAAATGTGACACGGAACCACCTTGATATTTACGAAACACACGTGATATTTTCCTTTAATAGATATTTTCCTCCCATCAATTTAAATAAGAATAATCAATGCAGACTGTGCAAACATTTCAAAATCATGAGTTGAACAACCCTTTCTCCACGAGTTTAAATATTAGAACCGAACTACCTCAGAGCGGAGCGGCGCGCGGCGTGCTGCCAGCGTGGAACGCGCACTGGCTCAGCCGACAAACCTAAGGAGATACCTCAGGCATTGCGCAATGCTTGAAGTACCCCTCTAGGTTTGTAGGCGCTAATGGGATGGCCGGTCGCTCGCCGTGCCGCGCCGCACAGTGTAGAGTCCTTTAGGCGCGTAGGGACAAAATCATAGCTCGCAAACAAAAGCACATAGAGACGTGAAATTTGGTATGAGAGGTCTTGAACATCTAGACTATCGTTAGGTGAGGTCAAATTTTGTTAATGACACTTTGGGGCGGGAGTGCTGATACTCGAGGTCGAGCGTTTGGGCGGTAGAGACCGGACCCATAGCTCAAAGACAGAAAGACGTAGAAAAGTGAAATTTGATGTGAGACCTCCTATACATACGTGATTTTGTCGGATTGGGTCAAAATTTCATAATGACACTTGTGGCGGGGTGAGAGGGGGTGGCGGAGGCGGTGATACTTGAATGACTTTTCTTTTTAAATAGGCATCTGTTCCTCTTCAAGCAAGGATTATTTTCTTTATCCATTCAAAAGGAAATCTTCTCGGCGGTAAATGTGAGCATATTTCTACTTAAATTAAGTCACTGTTTCCTCTGATGAGGTTCAAAAATCACGCTGAAAGATATTGAATACAGATACTAGGATTTAGTAAGCTTATCGACTTCCGCTCTCTTTTTTTCGTCGAGCGTAAATATTACCTTGCGGTGAGCTAACCATCACCTTGCGGCAAGGTATCGGCCTATCCATCCTCTCCGAGCCCTATCCGAGCCCTCGCCAAGCCAGTTCAAGGAACTCGACGACCGGGATTAAAACCGTATGACAACACTGTAGACCCAAATCCAGACGCAGGGCTTGAAAAAGGCGACATTGCATCGGGAAATACCCCGTGTTGGGTACGATTTTCGTCTCCAGCGTTGCCATGCATAATTATTCCCAGTCGTTAAGTTCCACGAACTGACCCGGCGAGGGCTCGGATAGGGCTCGATGAGGGTGGATAGGCCGATACCTTGCCGCAAGGTGATGGTTAGCTCACCGCAAGGTAATATTTACGCTAGGGATCGTCATGACGATTCTCGATTTAAATTGCGATGGAACTTCGTGCTTTTGAACGATGCCATCAATCATGATATGTTGGGGTGCCTTCAATCTCGTATGATACTGTGCAACACCTCCGTGGCGAAATAGTGGCTCGAAATACCGCGGCACGCCGGCGCCGCGCCGGCGCCTCAATGTGCAGTATCCCTATGGACGATGCGGACAAAAATCGGTAAAAGACACTTAACTTTAGATAATGAAAATAATAGCACTGATATGGGGAAACCCTTTGGCGTTATCAAAGTAAAACACTAGAGGAATTAGAAAATGTTATATTTTAGGATTTTTTGTGTATTTTTCGAGAAAAGTTCATTTGAAGTTGGCAACCTCGAAGTAGCCTTATGTTGACAATGTGAAAGGAACGTGTAACACCCAAACTTTAATTTCAAATATCTCTGATATTCGCAAAAAGTCGCAAGATCTTTTTGGTATAATTGAAATGGGATATCTGAGCATTAAGAAAATGTCAACCACCCAGAGCATTTTGCGTTTCAAGCGAGAAATCTTCATTTGAAGTTGTCGTCTTTTTCCTGTGTATTTCTTATGGTCCAGGGATTCTTGACACGGTTCCCGCCCACTTTTTACCCAAATTTTAAGTAGTTTTAAGCGAAATATTTGAAAATGAACTGTCATTGTAAGTCAGACATATTTTTAAAATGACAAACACCCCCCCCCCCAAAAAAAAGAGAAGAAAAAAAAATATTCAGATGGTGAGAAGTCAATTTTTTATTTTTGTGCACAGTGGGCCGCACTGTGCGCCGTCGCGAAGTTATCGTACACAAGGAAAATCTATGAGCCTTTAGTTGAGGCAAATCAAAAGGTTTATTTGGCTTAGGTATAACGAGATTCGATTTTTTTGAAAGATACTTAAGACTTTGGCCCCCACAGAGCCTAGGTGAGGAGAGTTTTTGTGAATTTTCTCTCATGGAATTCTTACCAAAAATCTCAATTAAATATTTTCCTCCGTTGCAACGGAGAAAAAAGTTCGGTCCAACGCGTTGGACCATACAAACAACCAAAAAAAAAAAAAAAAAAAAAAAAAACAACAACAACAACAAGCAACCTGTTCTTCTTTCAGTACATTATACATTTTCATACAAAAGCATTAAATATTTTTTTTCCAAAAACGTTATGAGCAACTTTCGTTTGTATTTATATGTGGGCCGAGTAACTTTGGGTCTCAATTAGTAAGTGAACCAAAACTCTGCTGCCGAAAAAACGCATTGAGGTACTCAACTAGAGTAAACAATTGCGCGGACAAAAAATCGTTGGCAAAATGTCCTATGACCTTTGAGTTCCAACTAAAGAATTTGAAGAGGCACGTCGATCATCTCAACTTGGACTTTTTACCTCAACCAATTATAGAAGTGGAAAGGGCATCAACTGACGAGTGCATAAGCTCATTTGAAGCCTCCAATTTGAACGAAGGGAGGAACCTTCTCAATATGACGTATTTTTGCTAAAATGAACTATGTTACAGACAGTCTCTACGCACATAGTTTCTTTTAGAATAAATATGTTCAATTATTAATAATACCAAAAAACCATCCTCACAATGGAACTTTATTCATCTTTAGGTATTAAGACAACAGGGGATCTGCATAACTAGTTGTTACGTTCACTGTATTTTTAGATATTGATCATCAAAACGAGTTTTTCCCCCAAAAAAGGCAGTATCTCCACTGGTTAGTCGGTAATATCCCAGAGGTCATGTTGGAGAAAGGTAAAATTCTGGCCTCTTACTTGATGCCGATTCCTCCTCCGATTCTACGAGGTGAGTTTTGGTTGGAATACAAACAATCACGAAATAACCCTGCATCGTTCGATTAATGTTTAATCCGACAGGAAGTCCCGAAGAGTTTTTAGTCTTTTTAGGTTTAAATCAACACAAATGTGGGCATTTTTGTGTCTAAAAACCACTGGCTATGGGTGCGCACATCCATGATTCTGATTGAATGATTCATGGTTTCTCAGGGGTTGTAACGAAGAATTTGAATTTGAGATTAGACTTTAGCTGCTATGTAAATATTTTCAGGATATGGGGCCGGTCATAAATTACGCAAAACACTTCTTTTGGTGATTTAGACCATTGTCCTACCCCGATAAGCATACATTATCTTCCACCCCCCCCCAAAAAAAAAAATCCTTGAGGTTGGCCTACCCCCTTCCCTCTCAGGTGAAGAGAGAGAGAAACGTATAATTTAGAGTGAAACACTATTAAAGTAAATCGGTATACCGTTTGAAGCACCAAACGTATCGTAGGAAAAGTTATTTCAATTAATACAAACTGTAAAGAGACTCCGGAGCTTGTACGAAAGAATCAGATAAGAAGAAGATAAAATACAAATTGCACACTTTTTGTGACTCATTCTTTTCTGTTTCTTTTTCTTTTTCTCTTTCCCCCTTCCAAACAGCGTTTTACCTAATGGAGGGCAATAATTAACCCCTCTCTCTCCCTTTATAAGGCACCCGTAAGGACACGCCTTGATCCCTGCCCCCCATCCTCCCTTGGGTGCCTTACGTACTATATGGATGGCCTCTTAAGGTGAACGCTGGTCAACATCAGCAAGGTCATCTTGAACTATGGCAACTAGAATTCGGTATTTCTCCTAGGCTCTGATATTTTTGCTAATTTCTTTTAGAAATTCGCTGAGTGTAACCCAAGGTTTTACAGAGTTTCTCCCCGATTCTTTTAGGAATAATTACATTTATATCCAGGATTTTGGAAATAAATAATGGTTTTTCTATAACTAAAGAAAATAATAATAAAATTAATTATGTCATTCTTGTGGCAGATTCTAAATTTCTGTTCAATTATTAATTTCAGGCTCCCAGCGACTCGTGTTCTTAGCTTACAGGCAGCCAAAAATTACGATTCAGTTCTCCGAGCCATTCATACCTGCTTTGTGAGTTTTTATTTCATCCTTTTCTTCTTTTACTCCTGCTTCTTATTCATAAACACTTTCGTCCTATTTGCCCTAATTGGACCACGTAATATGTATAACAACACCAAATATTTTGAAGCATATTGAGACAATAATAGCATAATCAGTTTCTTCCGGCCGGGGTTTTGATGTCACATTTCGTCCTAAACTATGTTAATGTGACTGAATCAACAAATTAGGGTGTAAATGTTTCAATTCTTGCAATATGAGCGTAAAATTGGTCCCGATATTCATTGATGTTTTATTTATTCGTAAGAAGCAGCTCAGTTTTTGTTTAATTCCCTAAAGTGTTGAAAACATAAAGTAAAACAGCATTGTTTCTTGCCGTCCGTTTAAAAAAATAAATTGATAATCTCTCTCAAACAATAAAATGCAGATGCGCTAAAAGCCAGCAGCACGATTTACGGCTAGTAATTACTACGTTGCTTGATCGAGAATAAGTTTGCCCATGCTCAACGAATGGCGATTGACGGGTTGCCTAAGACGATCGATGTACTAAATTGGGTTTCACCTGGAAAGACGCCCAGCAAAATCACGGGTAGGTGTCTAAAATGAAAACACAAAGTGCAATTCACGAGACTACCTCTGTTTCGATGGATGAAATTGGCGATCAGGTGTCGCAGAGCGCCTAGCCTCATAAAAACGATATCTATATTTTGTCGCATGCGATAATAACCGTTGATGGAAAGTGACGACTTAAAAATGATACTTAATTCAAATTGATTGTAAATGTATGTTAACAGGCCTCTGCCGAAAACCCGCACGAACTGGACATTGGAGGAATTTGTGAAGAAGTATAAATTAATTGGGCCAGTTGCTGGAAACTTCTATCGAATTGATTGGCAGACAGAGGTTGTTCGTCCGAAATATGACGACGGACCGAAATAGAGTAACCTTCTTCGGTTTTTAAATCTCTGAGATCAAACCGAGTTGAAAGAATCAAAACTTCCCCGACTTCATTTTGTAGAAAATTTTGAAATTGCCACTGATTGATTTGTCTTATAAATACTTGTTACTTTACTACGTAAATGTGATCATGAATTTGTTACTTGGTGAACTACAAATTGATAGGGGTGGAGTGAAAATTCAATTAATAGAGGCGTAAATATAAACAATTCTATCGAAACATACATTTTCAGTCATTTGCGGTAAAACGAAGAAATAACTTAAAATACTCATGATTTACGATTTTCTTATGCAGACATATATGTCAAAGGAATTTCGTGGCGCTTGCGCAAAAATTGCCCTGAAAATGTGAAAATTCATATTTTTTTATTTTACATTCTGTTTTATTTCTTAAATTTTTCTTGTGAATGACTTGAAATATAATTCTCGGCTGTACCCACTGCTCTGTAATGAGGTATCATGCCAGACATAATTTTTTTATGTTTTCTGCAACCGCAGAATATACCGACAAAATGATTTGACAAATGGACAAAGGTCATCGACCACCCCCCCCCCCCCCATCGCACCGTCCTTTACCGCCCCTGTTCGTGCCCGCGTTGACTGTTGACCATTCGCTACCCGACCCCTTCTAGCCGACCACTAGACAAATTGCGAGTTCATGCACAATTGTTTATAATTGCTCATCAAAATTTCACGCATGAACACGTTTTGCTCAACGAAAATTACCAGCAAGACTCACTAACGAAGGTATTAAAGTTTTTCGATGCATCAATCCAAACTTTTCGGTCATATAAAAAACAATAATCTACTTGAAGTAATTCATACTTTAAACGTTACCGTGATAATATTTGTGATATGCAATAATGACAACCACAATCTCAGCAATTTGATTCATACTTATTGCACTGTTTCCATACATTGAAACATACATGATGAGAAGGGACACTGCTCATTGAGAAGTCTGCTAAAACCAATATAGAGCGCGATTTGAGTCCAGTATACTCTTGTATTCCGTATGAGCGGGAAATTCAAATTTATGCCAACCAATTGTGATCAATGCTAAATGCAAAAGGTTTTTTCTTGGTTTGGAGTTAATAGTAATATTTTCGTTGAGTGAATCATGTTCTAAGCAAAATTCAAAAGAGAAAATATACGTAAGAATGCTTCAATTTGTACCTTGTGTATGGTGGGTCAGTGTATTGCATCTAATTTTCAAAGTTGTAATTAACTGATGAATCGAGTGTCTTGGGATTTGTGTTGTTCGATGTCACGGGGCAATCACAATTCCAAGGAGAGTCAGTTGTCAACTTTTTCTTCTATAATGAAACAGATTACCTCATTAACTTAGCTAGAGCTTTTCCATCAGCGGTCTCTACTTGAGTAGGAATAATATAATCTCAAAAACACGCGTGGAAGTCTCAGAGTTAGTACATAAAACGCACTTTTTCACAAATATGTGGGGAATGACCGTCGGATGTCGTGTATTCCATTGTCGTTGTTTGTCTGAAAGAATTTGAACTAATCAGTTATTGATTGGGCACTATCACCGGGTAATTAATTAAATGTAAGGTCAAGGCTGGGCGTTATAAATAAAGAATTTGAGTAGTAGTAGTTGTAAGAATGATACAAAAAGTTGCATGAAACGGACTCAAGTTTGTGATCATAACCCATACGGTCATAGTCATGGAGACGTTACGTTCTTTACACACGAAACGACATCTCATAGAATTTCTGTTTAATTTCAATAAATGAATCTCATCTCAAGGAGCCGGCTCTCCAGTTATCATTCCAAATAAGTGAATGATTGTTCTCTCCATCACGGTCGATGACTTACCTCATTGTCATATGACCTTTACCTTCATCGTTTCCGGAGGCAAGTTGGCAAAACTAGGTCTCGTTTATTGAAATTTGTATAAGGAGCAAGTGCCATTTTTGACAGACTGTCTTAACAAGAATGTATTATTAATAATAGCCTGTGTCATACTATCAAAGCTAGCCATCAACATATCAAGCCCAGGTGTTGTGATTTGCTTATTCGATGACTCGGACCAATGACAGCCTTTGTCCTTGACATTTTGATGGAGTATTTTGATGGTGTGACACAGGCTAAGGACTGTCAATGGAGAAAAAACGGCAATGTCAACTTCCGAAAATTGCCACTGAATTTCCGTTAAAACAACGGCGAATAAAATCATCACTGAACAACGATTTTATGCTTTCAGTATGATCATTTCAAGGTTCATGTAAATAAAATAAACAATAATGATCCGCTTAAATTAAGAATTTTCCTTGCTTATTGAAAACATGTTTGAAGGTCCATGTAGTTTTGATCATCTACAACACTTGTGAGGCTAAAATAATTAACCCCAATGGAATGCCTCATTATCTGTTAAATGTACCTAGCATCCCTTTTATTAGACATATTTTACGAAAAAAATAAGATAATTTTCTGACGGGTTTTTGGCGCGTATACGTAGTATACCGCCTTTGCGATCGTTTCGACCCCCCCCCCCCCACAATAACCGAGTCCCCTAGTTCCTTACCGAAAAGTGACTACCGCGAACTTCTGAGATTTTCCAAAGCGTGTAAAAAGTTTACTAATCCGTCAATAATAATGATTAAAATTTGTTTCTCATTCTGGGGCTCGCTAGTTTATGTGTAATGAATACCAAGAGTCTACGTTTCTTGGTTTTTTTTAAAAAAACCTTAGAATGGGGCGCGCTGATTTAAAATATGCATATATAAGCGGAAGCAAGCGAACTGATTCGAGGATGGCTGACCAGTTCGGCACTCCTTGAATGAGAATTTCACTCACTCCGTTTTGTTCACAACGTTGCTTTGACATATCTCCACAACACTGTTATCCTTTTCAAAAGTTGGTACTCCTTGCTCTGATAGCCGGGGCCACCAGGATAGTGGTAAGTGCAATCTGTGATGAGCCTCGAGACTCATTAGACCATTTGCTAAACGTGGCTCATACAGGAGTCCACTAAGCCCTCTCGTCCCCACGCTCCTGATCACTGCGTCGGCGTCACGAAGAACAATGGGCCTTGGGTCCCAACGCGGCCGATACCCGTACCCCAATTACTCACGCTTCATTAACCATTTCACCGTCACGCTAGGATTCATCCAATTTTCAAAAAAAATTGTTTCGCATGTATTTAGCAATTTTTTCCTTACTCTCCGTTAAAACACAAATAAAAAGAGACCTCATTCATAAAAATCGGCCGAATAGAAGAGAAGTTACAGTAATCGAAATCCGAAGAAATCAACAAAACCTCGACTCCTCGATACGAAAAATAAAATGAAGGGGAAAAAAAGAAAGTATAAATTACAATTAAATATAATTGACCTCAAAATTTGACAAACAATTCATTTATATACCTAACGCTGAAAAAACTGGGAGAAATTACAAAAAATTTGCCTCTTGCAAGGGGCTTCTTTGTAAGAATTTTGACCTGAAGACAACGGTCGAATAACAGCAGTACTCCATACAATACACGGTGTGCCTGAACGAGTTAAACATTTTTCATACGTCCAAATCGAAAAATCTTTATATTTTTAACTACAATGTTTCTTGAATCGTTTAAGCAAAAAAAAAAAAAAAAAAAATTCCGTCGAGATTCTGGAACGCAAAGGCGCTTTAAAAGTATTCTGGGGCTATAATAGCTAAATCACCGGTAGTAAATTCGTTATATTATTAAAAAGAAATTGACTCCATAGTTTAATTCCTTAGTTTCTTGAATACGATTATTTTAAGCACTTAAACATTTATACCACCAATTTTAGCCATGGGGTGATTTCCTGAGAGCCGATAATATCACGAATTTCTCATAGAACCCCTCAACAGTGGCTTGCTTTTTTGGCAGCCGATTCGGCCATCGAACCGGAGTTTAAATGGAAGCTGATAATAACCCAAAGCTCTGAGAAAAATTTTGAGATGAGTATAAGAACGGTTTGTTGTAAGTAGCGAGGAGAGGCGGGCAAAGCGGCTAAAATCCTATCTAATTTTTACAGTTTTTCTGTTGAATTAATGTTGCCGCGGGCTTCTGACTGTCCACACATAGTTCTGTTCAGCATATCGATACATAAGTATTTACATTTTACATACGTAGAATCTAATTTTCACGTCGGGGAGTTGACATATTTTGATTTTTTCGATTTTATACGGAAAATTGATGGTTTTTCGGGATTGAAATTATTATTGTTTCATGAAAAATAAATGCACCCAAAATGACTATAGCATATTGATTCTTACACATTTGCACTCACAAAATTGGTTGGTAAATTCAACGAGTGGGTGCATCGACCTGGTATATCAAGTTTCTGCAATTTTTTACGGCAAATCAGTAGATTTTCGGGATGTAGATTGCTTACTTTCAATTCATGAATGAATAAAGCAACGACATGGTTGAACTTCTTTGCATGGAAAGACGTTTAAAATAACAAAATCAAGACGTATTTAATGCAATTGCATTTATATCGAGTCAATTTCTTTTCAATAATATAACGGGATTTTTACTACCGGTGATTTGGGTATTTTAGCCCCAAAATACCTTTAAATCGACTTTATCTTCTAGGAGTTCGACAGAATTTTTCCTTTCTTCGCTTAAATTATTCCGTAGCACTTTTCTTCAAGAATCTGATAACATGTTGCTTGAGGCAGATCAAAAAACTTAAATTCGATCGAATAGCTTTCTACTTTCACAATACACGGTCTCGTCAAGGTGCGTCTTTGACCTCGCAGTGTTGGATCGTGAATTCTCTTTTTATGCTGTTTGCCTATTTTGAAATCTCTGTAAATGAAAACTAAAGGGGTTGATATGTGCGAGTTAATGACGCGCCTTATCAACACATTGTGTTGGAGTTCACTGCTTGTTTTGGTATGTTAACATAATTATTGTCCTTATCTTTAACTTGTCTTATTTGTGTAGAGCGTCAAATCACCACTCGGAAGCGCTAAGAGTTTTTGAAAGTATGAAGGAAAGCCATGGGGTCGCTCTTGTGGACCACCACTCCTGGTTGAGGTCATTATTGCTATCCGAGGCAATCATGTTGATGACACGATCCTCAGTCGCACAAACTGACGAACTGACGACGCAAGATGCTTATTATGTGGAAGAACTTGAATGGGAGAAGAGGGAGACAGCAAAAGTTGTCAGAAAGTTTTGCACGATGAAGAAGATCATCCCCGATGTCTTAAAAAGACCGCCCGTGACGGATTTAGTGGTAATTTAAGTTGCTCTTTTTCATTTTACAATTGAAAAATAATAGCCGTGTAGGCGACGGGGACATCTCATAAGGGAATGGAGGCAGGGAATCGACAAACATATTTTAAAAGTGTCAGTTGCTGCCTTATGACCTTTGGGAGAAATAGGTGCATGTGGAGTTCGGGTGTCGCAGAGCGGCAGTATGCCTTATGCATAGGAGCGATATATAGTATGTGTATTACTCTATTACACAAAATCATAAGAGTAATGCGTAACGCGTAACGCATAACGCCTGAGGCGAGAAGGGCTTCGGGGAGGTTGGACTGCGAAGCCGCCCCTATTTCTATTTTTTGTGTGCTATATTTGGGGTAAAGTTACGATAAAATAGCGGGCAGATTATATTTAAACTTACCACTTGATAATGCGAACTAATTAGGCGATAAACCGGCTCGAATAATTCATAGGAGCGGAGATTTTGAGACATCGCAATCGAGATAAGCATTTTTGCAGTTTTACCTTCGATACATTTTTCAAAGAATGGATTCGGATATTCCAAAGTTAAATAAATTTAATGAAGTTTTCTGCAGTGATAGACATGTACTCCAATGTAACAAAAGTAAAAAATTGAAAATAAATAGTAAATAAATCAATAAATAATGAGCGAAAATTCAAAACATTTCTTAAGGGCGCTTAGTTTATGCAAATTTGATAAGAAAACACTCTCAAAATAGTAGAAAAACAGATCGAAAAGCTCGAAGTGAAAACATCACTGAGTAAACATATCGGATTGATCCATGAAAAAATCGAATACATATTTTTAATAATCACGTGCTGCCATAATAAGCTGTTTTAGATTTAAATGTCTGGAAAATATGCAGATTTGCTATGGAGAAAAAGATAACCAAGAGATTCATTTCGGAAATATTTTTACACCGAGTAATGTGAGCCATCCTCCCACTGAAACATATTGGCGGACGGAGCCGAATTATCTCTACACGTTAGTTTTGGTAGGTGAGTAATTTTACGCATCTTTCAAAATATTTCATGAATAAACGAAGCCAAACAGGCATGCACAATCATATTCACTAGTGGAAATGGACATGAAACCGGATGAATTAATCAAAATACATTTAGAAGTGGGCACTGTGGGTAACTAGGCCGCACAAAAACTAGGAGGAAAGTCAATTTCGTAAAAAGTTCACAGAGTGTAACTATGGAGTAAATCACGTAAATCTCAGCTTTTTGGCCATGGAATTTTACCTGAGATATGCTTAAGGGGAGGGGGGATTCAAAATCAGAATCTTCATCTTTACTTGAAAAATACTGTGCATAACAACCAGTTTCTGTTTTTCTGTTAAAAAATGTCTATAATTTGTAAGGAAAAATATAGGTATACATACATTTTATTAATGTACACATTCTTAGCATGATTTTTTAACACAATTTTGAAAAAAATTTAATACCGTGTAGTTTATCTTCTTCTAAAAACAATCCATTGGTTGTGCAATTTCCACATTATTTAAAAACTCCATCGTGAGAAAATTTCTCACCATCTGTATTTACATCTTAATATGCTACTTACTCCAAAAACTGCTTGCACTTAGGGATGAACTGACTATTATTTAAATAAAAATTAACAAGCGTACAATGGCGATATTTTCCATCACTTATTAATTTTAAATATTATTCGGGAATCCATCTTAAAAAGAACAGTCAAAGAGAATAATTTCTTGACAGTCACCAGGCGGTTTATGATGCTTCCAGACCCTGATGCTCCTGACATGAAAAATCCGACCAATCGCGAATATTTACATTGGATCGTTGGCAACATTCCCGGTCACGACTACAACAAGGGTCAAGTTATTGTGCCTTACTTAGGGGCTTGTGATCCTGGCGGTGAAGGTATCAAAAAACTCATCCCATTTGAAAGTCAAAGAACATAAAAATGAGCTTTGAGCGAATAGAAAATGTATTTTGATTCATCGTCTGACAAGTGCTTTAGGCCTCAGGGATTATTTAAGAGCAATAGAGCTGAACATCGTATTCATTTGTTAGAGACCTGAGGCTGGAAATTGCGAAAGTTATCATCCAAGCAGCTTGTTATAGCCTTCACTTCTAACTTAACTTACTACAAAGTTGTAGGAAAACGACACAGGTGGTATGGGAGGAACAAGGGAAAGGGAGGTTACACTCTTTTCTAGAAATTTACCTTAGACCCTTAATTATGGTTACTTCATACGTTCACCGGAAAAAAACACGTTAGATCTAGAGTCCAGACTCTTGAAAACATCGACAAGAAAAAGGACTCTTGATTCAATCAGATTTAAGCTTAAATCAAAAGGAAATCCGCTCAAATTAAGAGGCTTGGTTCTTGATTTAAGCTTAAATCTGATTGAATCAAGAGTATTTTTTCTTGTCGATGTTTTTAAGAGTCTGGACTCTAGATCCAATGTGTTTTTTTTTTCCAGTGTTGTTAGAAGCAAACTGAAACGAAGCATTTTTCTTTTTAACAGGTTTACACCGCTACGTATTCATTCTTTACAAACACACTGAGAAAGTGGCTTTTAAAGAACCCAAATTGGACGACAAGTAAGTGTGAAAAAGGTTCTTTACTCATTTACAGATTACATTTTTAGATCATTTATCATAGAATAATGTGTTTCGATTGTCATGCATGTCATCATGATGTTAACGAAGCCTGTCTTTAAGTATATGAATGTCATATTGATCTACGAAAAAAGTAAATAGTCATATAAAAATGCTGGACTTAAGATAAGTGACCCCAGCATGGCCGGATTTACTTACTTGCCGCCCATGGGCCGCCTGTATTTTGCCGCCTCCTTCTCATTCGTTTCGAAACATCAATAAAAACCATCGATTGAACGTGCAGGAGGGGAAGGGGTGCATAAGACGTGTTTACTCGTGTTGGACACATTTCTTTGCGAGTGTCAGCCTGTCAACACTACTAGGAAAAGTTCACGGAACTTCGCGCGAAAGTTCAGTTCCGTAAACCTATCTTTGTGGGGACAAGGCCTTTCATTTGTAAGAAATGAACTAAAAAATTAAGAAAGAACAAACATGAATGTGGTTTAATAATTTTAACTTCCGCCGCCGTGCCGCGCTGACCACACTGTGTTTGGCGCAATGCGTGAAGTGTTCATGTAGTCTTGTAGGCACTGTGCGTTTCACGCCGCGCCGACCCGGCCGACCGCTGTTGACCGTACTGTGTTTGACGCAATGCGTGAAGTATTCATGCAGTCTCGTAGGCGCTAATATGCATTACATGCCGACTGCCGCGTCGAGGGCTTCTACTTTTCCTCTCAAGTTCTCGTCATCATTTCTCTTTGCGCCGCGCCGCTCCAGGCCAAATTACTTGTTAGGTTTCTCTCCTAATTCAACTAATTAAAGGTGCGCAGTCTTTTGTATCACCGAGATACGACAAAATTAGAAATTAATGAACTCTCAAGAAATGAGAGATTTTGTCACATTTTCTTGTTTGTAATTATTTTCTGAATTCGATTTTTTGTACCTGTATTTTAAAAAAAAAATGTAAAATTTGCTGCCCCCTAATTTTGCCCCCATGGGCCGCGGCTCATGTGGCCACCCCCTCAATCCGACCCTGCCTACTAGTTGTATTTTTTAACAATATCAAAAGCAAAATTAGGAACATTTTTAGGACGTTGCGGGGCAGCTCATTGGCATCATAGAGCGGAACTTAGCGAGTTCACGCCAATTTCACAGATGAAATACGGAAATCCATCAAGCACGCATAGTACCTAGTATCTTTGCGTTGAGGAGTTTCTCCCTCCTTTTTTTTTTTTTTTTTTTTTTTTTTTTTTGTATATAGAAAAGTTAAGATTGAGTCCGCTCAAAATATAATAAGGCTCCCAGGAATTTACGTCCACTTTATTTGAGTCCAAATTGAACGAATATTTATTTTCTTGACCGTTTTGGAATTTGTACTAATGATGTTTTTTAACTAACTTTGTGTAAAGAGAATATTTAAGTGAACATTACAACGAAAATTTTGAATAATTTTTAAGGGCATCGAACAAACGTGCAAATTTCTCGTGCAACAGCTTCGCCGCCAGGTACAATCTTGGAGATCCATATGGTCTCAACTTCTTTGTGGTTGGCTGGAATAGAGGAGACTACGAGGATGATGTCGTCAAATTAAAATACTAGTATATAGTATGTGAAAGGTTGATAAAAAATAGACAGGTAAATTATTAAATTACATGTATTTAAAAGTATATGGAAAGAACAAATTTGTAATTCATTTTTCTATTTGCTTCCTTCAACTCCCTCAAATAAACTCCTCTTTAGAATGTCAGAAAGATGTACAGAATGTTTTGTTCAGTCTTAGGTCCGATTGTTCTCTTTCCTATTTTTTCCGTTAGAGGACTTGCTACTCAAAAGTTAAAAAAGAGGAATACTGAAACATCCACTTTGGTTTTAAGCAAATGATAAATTTGGAATCGTTCCATTTAAAATTTCAGAGGATTTTATTCTTTCAATGAATTCCATTACAACAAATTTAGAGAGAAGAGATAGAAAGAAAAAAAAAAAATTCTTAAATCTGATTTTACTCGACAATAATGCTGCGGAGCAATTATTCAGCGTGCGGAACAATATTCTGAGATTGAAAAATTACATCAATAGCTGTCTTATGTAAATTATGTTATCACATTGTAACCAGCATTTACGGTAGAAAAGAACATAGTGCAAAAAACATTTTTCAAAAGGTCAAATCGAAATAATTGATTTAATTTTTTCATGGCAAACAGTCTTCGATCACCCTTAAAGATTTAGGTTGTTTGCGCTATTGTTCATATTTGCCAAAAGTGAGCCGAGAACTCATTTTTGATCCAATAATTTTGAGCCACGAACAAGGCTTATTAAAATACCGAAAATAACTTGCTAAAATAAAAGGTCATCTATCTCTTAAAAACTGATATACCATACAAATGATTGAAATAACAAATAATAAATTGCTACTTTATCTTTCCGGCATTTAGTAAGCAAAGGAAATCTTATTGGAGCCAAAATTGCGATCTAGACTTAGTTCTCTGGGGAATAAAAACTGAGAACAATCGCGATGCGATGCGCGTGGCAATGCGTGGCCTCTAAAATATTATCACTTGAATTGAGTTGAATTTTGAAAAACAGTTACTGACAGCCTCAGCGCTCGTTACACACGTGGGAAGTTATGAAATAATCAGCTAGTTTTAGTACTGTATTCGTTGATAGGAATGAAATAGATCAACGCAGTATTTCCGGCTATTTTATTACGTAAAATTCTTTCGACAAGAGAAGAAAACAGACCGTCAATTTCCTTGTTTACTGTTGTTTTTGTAGTTCCTTTATTTAGTCTGAGCTTTCATTTAGCACAGTTAATATATCTGAGAGGGAAAATCAAGATTTGCCATGAGCGCAAATCTTCTAGGATGAATTTAAATGTTTCGTGCCGAAAAACAGATTTAAGAATTAATCCAAATTAGTGTGTGTTTTTTTAAGTTTTAAAGAGCTTAAAAAGTTGGCTTTATCCTTGAAACGAAATATGCAGCAAGGTGAATACTCAAGATGGAAATTACGGACTCCTATGGAAGGTAGATTTCAAATTATTATTCTCCAAATTGCTATCGTGGCTGTTGGCTTGCTACCCGTAGTTAAATTAGCTATCAAACAAGAAGAGAAGGAGCTTTCATCGAAGGAAATAGAAGATATATTGAGGGATGACTACATCATTCCGGACGTAATTTATAAAGTGCCAAAACATAGATTGAAGGTAACCATGTCATTTAAATTGCATCTACAAACATGCTCTTTTGTGAACAATCATTTTGGAATGGAAGAGAGACGAACTATCAATGATGTGTCAAGACGCGGTATGCGGCACGCATCAAAAATATTATGAGAGACGCAATTTCTTTAGAAGAAAATGTGAAATAATAATTCATAATACTATTCCGTTCTGTGGACCGTAAAATCTTTCAGCACTGAAATGTGGTCCCTTAATGGAACAATCATTGACAATTGAATCATTCATACATCACATTCTGATTAATCATACAAGCCACACTCCAGGCCGTAATTATATTAAAGAATGATCATGTATGCATGACACGATCATTTTCCTAATTTTAGCGATGCTTAATCAAGATGTGGCTATTCGTTGCAATGTTAACTGCAGTTTCGCATCTTATTACTCAGGTACATTTTGAAGAGGACGGAGATATTTACCACATCAACTACGGTACTGTTTTGACACCGCGACAAGCAAGGCATCAGCCAAAAGTTCAGTGGCCTGTCGAAAAGGACGCCGAATATACACTTTTATGTCTCAGTAAGTAAGATTTCAATAATATAAGTATCTCAAAAACAGCACTTCTATTAACGGCAAATTATAAAGAGTTGATCAATATTTGCTCAGGCGTCAAGCTTATCAACGATTAATTATTGAATAGAATCTGTATTAAATACTCATGATATTACGTTCAAGAAAAATTCGGGAGACAAGGTTTTCAGATGATTTCAAAGCTTTAAAATGCAATTCATACTTCAACAGATAAATGTTTTTTTCTTCTTCTTTTTCTTGGCCCCTTATCTCGGTAAACAAGCCCGATCGATATCACTTTAAATTCTCAAAGTAGAGATGGATAAAACCTACAAAAAAGGGTACTAAATATATTCATTGAAGTTTGCGCAGAACTTGTTTTAAAAGTTGAAAACTAGAAAATCCATGAAAGCCTGAAATCAGTTAACCGATCAAAGAGCGCCGCTATTAGAACATGATTGAGATGACAATAATTGGACGTTTTCCTGTTAAACGGAACTAAGCGCCAAATTGAGTTCCTGTTGAGGTTTTTAGAATCCCGGATAGCGCGCTCTATCAAATGGAACTGAGCATCATGGAAAAGCATTGCGAGTATAGGACGGAACGAGCATCGCATTTTGCAACACCCGCCAAACCAAGGCCCCCCCTCTCCCTTCCTCTCCCTTCCTCTCCCTTCCTCTCCCTTCCTCTCCCTTCCTCTCCCTATGGCACTTAGTTCCGTTTGATGGAGATACGTCCAATTTTCCATCGAAGGCTAAACATAAAGGTAACTCCTGTGCATTTCTGAGAAAAGCGGGAATGCCTTCAATTGTTTAATATGCAACACGCACATCCGTGGAACACGAATATTTGCATCAAAGCGCCGAAATCAACTCAATGTTGCTTTCGTAAAGGGTATTTGTCGGTTAGTAAGTAGATTGCATTTAACTCTAACGACCGGACCTCTTGCCGTAATTTTCAGACCTATGACCGGTCAGGCCGTGGACTGACCGCTCATTTCACGGACTAAGCAAAAAAATCGGTCAATTCGCATACTGCACAGAGGAAGTGTCCGTGGACGGTGCGGCAAAAAAATTCCCAATCCGCAGACAGGCAATTTTTTCGACACGTATAACATTCACACACTGATAAAGTCCAGCAAATATACATACATTTTTCTTAACATAATTCTTGCTGATCCCTGTGGTTCATCAAAACGCTCACATTTGTAGATCCCAAAATTAGAATACTAAAAACCTATGATCAAAATTGCAGCCACGTTGCTTGTATCAAAAGCAATTTCCCGCACGAAAATGCATCCTTGGAGAGGAAATATTCAGATTTTTCCTCTTACTGGGGACACCCCCCCCCCCCTAAAGGGTCGAACAAATGTAGCGTTCCAAACCATAGGGGTCTAGAACCGCCTATACTATCTCATGAGAGCTAATATGCTGATTACTCAGTACTTAAATCAGTCTCTCATACGTCCTTTCGACCAGGTCCCGATCAGCCAGATCGCGAGGAACCCATTCTCCGAGATTGGATCCATTGGCAACAGGTCAACATCAAAGGCTGCAACTTATCAACGGGGAATGAAGTAAATGAATATATTGGTCCAGGACCTAGTGAAGTATCCGGTATGTAAAGAATTGATTATTTTAATGTGTTTGACCCAAAACTAAGGTGTCCAATTTTATTGGTGTGTTAAGAATACCTGACTTCATCATTTTACTTATACGGTGCACAGTTTAAGTGAAGTGAAAGTAAAATGATGAAGTAAAAAACAAAGTATCACAATCTCAATTATACTTGCAGCTTATTTATGCGCCAGCTATTAGAGTTGTTGCGCTGGCTAGAAGTTTAAAGGTACCAGCCAGAGGTGTAGTTAATCTAACCGCACTTCCAGCTAATTTACCCATCTTCTGGCTTGTGCAACTAATCTAGTATCTAGTGCCACAATCAGGTAGGAACATATTTGGGATTGTGATATTTTTTATTTCCGTGAAGACTTTACACGACTAAACTCTATAAAAAAGCTAAAAACAAACACAAGAAATGGGAAACTAAGACTAAAAGATATTCAAAATGCCTGGCTTTTGTTGCCTGATTGATGCTTCTTTTTCCGCAAACTGATTGCAGTGGACGCACGGGTCGTAAGAGTCATATCAGGAAAAGGAGTCCTCAGCCAACGTGCGTTGAAAATTCAGTTTAAAGCAGAACATCTCATTACAGAGGGAAAAGCTCATTATGAGCACAATTTTCCCTAAAACAAGATATTTCAGAGTTTACATACGCCAGCGACCGATTGCCTAAAAGACTCGGGCTAGTTTTCACGACCTCTCCGAGCTTGATAGCAAGAAATTCAGGAGGTTGCGCTGCACTGAGGATTGGCCCAACAAGGCCGAAACGCGTCTGAAGTTGCCTTCCTGAATGGTCGTAACTAGTGTTGCACCAAAGAGCATATCTCTTTGAAGGAAAATTGTGCTCATATGAGCTTTTTCCCTCTGTATTCAGATATTCAGCTTTATGCTGAATTTTTCACGCACGTTAGCGAAAAAATTCCAACGTACTGTCTTCTTTTTCCAGGTCGAAAAGGGGGTTGAGGCCTTGAAGCCACCTTGAAACGTCCCAAACATTTGGTTTGCTTCATAGCCTTGTTTTTTCATTATAAAGTGCAAAAAGTATATTGTTTGTTATATTATTCAGAATTTTTTGTGTATTTTTCTTATCTCTATAATAAATGGGGCTGAAATTATGGAACGAAACCTAATCAATCCAATGCTCAAATACTGTAAATTATTAGAGCACTTCTGGTACAAAATTTGTGCAGCCTGAAGGAAATTACCACCGACTCCTGAGGTTTCTTTTTTCGATAGCATTTAAAATTGGTGATAAACTAAATTAAAGTAATCATTTGAAATCATTATGTACGTTCGTTTCTTATTGGCTGGGTATTGCTATTTAGTTTTAATGATTTAATTTTTGTTTCTAGGTATGCAACGGTATGTTTTCCTCGTGTATAAGCAGGATCCGAACTTTGCCATTCAGCTCAATAGGTCAGATAAAAGCGAAGGAATGAGGTAAGAAAATCGTTTTAAAAAATTAGTGTGTCCAAAAAAGTATACAGGGTTTCCCCAAAGTCCGTATCTTCCCTGGTAACTTTTGAACAGTTAGAAATACAGACGTTTCCAAGGTTTCGTTTTTCTATCTTTTGACGTATAGACCCTTTCAACAGCCACATCCTCAATTGTTACACCAAACATCGATTGTAGTAAAACTCTAAGAGATCTGCTTAAGGAACAAAATATGATTGTTTATGACGAATCTCTTTGATGAAAGTATACAGTATCCACATTTGAATAATAAAAGTGATTACGTGTATAATTCTTCAGTTAACTATTCATTAATGCAAAATAACAAATACTCCATATGATAAATATCTGAGCAATTAACTAAAATAACTCAAAATCCACGACAATTTTTTGACGGAGATTATTTTGAAATGTAGGATGTTGACAAAACGGATGGAATTCGATACAGACAATTTCGTCAAGCACTTCCATCTTGGCGATCCATGGGCATCAAATTACTTCTACTCCAAGTTTAACAACTATCAATGATTACGACGTGCTGTGCCATTGAGCAGTGACGCAACTCCGAACAAGACGAGGTCGATGATTGGCAAAGATTTTCTCCGGTTCAAAAATGTTGAATTGGTTTTAATTATTCGTTGCACTGAGCAGGACGCACTTACATCATCTGATGCAACAATTGTTAAGTGTAAGTTTTTTTCCAAATAAAAATTTCAAATAATCTTTTAATATATGTGTCAAAGTTTTATTCTCTTTATTTTCCCACTGAATACTAGATCCTTCATTTTAGTTCACTGTTTAGGACATTTACGTGAGAAGTAGAAATCAGAGCTAGCCAAATCTGTCGCACGTTAGGGGTCGTATGTCTTCTTGGAAATATGAGACTTAAAAAAAGAGATGTAAAAGGGAAAGCAGAGGGAAAAAGGGAGAAGTATTTTCTGAAAGGATCGCGCTTGAAAGGATACGGTACGGGAGATCATAAATTCCGAATATAGACCATCGTGTTCGACATTATGACGAAAAAACTTCTACGGTATTTAATTTAAAGTTGAACTTATTTTTATCGGGCTGCATTATGTTGATGAAAATTACCTTTCTCCCGATCACTTTTTCTCCGGTTCTCAGACGATAGCTATTTCGATGATATAAACCATCATCATCAGGTCTTCGACTTCGACTTCGGTAAGACTTCGGTAGGACTTTCGGTACCGAAGTCGAAGTCGAAGACCTGATGATGATGATTTATATCATCGAAATAGCTATCGTCTGAGAACCGGAGAAAAAGTGATCGGGAGAAAGGTAATTTTCATCAACATTCTACGGTATTGTCAAGAACAGAGAATAGCAGAGAAAAGGTTGCAGAAGAAGGTCGCCCTGGATCGGGATTCTCCTTGTAAGAAGGCACAAAAATCGCCCAGGTATATTATAGGGATGGGATTGAAACAGAAAAGTTAAGGTACTCGATGCCTGAAGGGTTAATTGTGGTTCAACAGAGCAAAATAGCGGTTAGGTGTCATAATAAGCGAGAGAATACTATAAAGCAGCATGCATGCATGTCATTTTTTGTTTTTCTTTCACTCGAACATATAAAAGGATACAACACGCCCATTTTTAGTCCAGGCGCCCGGTAAAGCTATAAATGAGGCTATCTGGAATTTTGGGTACACAGCGATTTTTTTGGCTTACTTAATGTTCATTGGGTCGCTGAATCCGAATCTGTGGCTTCCTCCCGCGTATCTGGTGAGCATTTTCCGCCATTTTGAAAAAATGGTCTAAAAAGCCCTTTTTTGCGTTTTTTTTTATATAGCGGCTACGCATGAGAAAAAGTCCCAGATTTAGTTAATGTTTTGAATAGCTGACATAATTTGGAAGAAAATGGTGTTTACATATGCTAGATTGGCTAAAAAATTGAGGAAGATACAGCATCGTGAACATCGCGCCCATGCACATTTCGCGGCGCACCCGTCAACGCGCGATCCGGCTCGCCGCGGTCAGCCGAGTTCCGAAGCGTTCCAAAGTTCCGAGATCCGAGGCTCCTCAATTTTCGAGCAAACCTAGCATATTCATATACCGTTTTCTTCCAAATTTTGTCAGCTATTCGAAACATTAACTAAATCCGGGACTTTTTCTCATGCGTAGCCGCTATATAAAAAACCGCAAAAAAAGGCCTTATTAGGCCATTTTTTCAAAATAGCGGAAAATGCTCGCCAGATACGCGGTAGGAAACTTCAGATTCGGATTCAGCGACCCAAAAAACTTAAAGTAAGCCAAAAAAATCGCTATGTACCCAAAATTGCAGGTAGACATACCAGCCGCCTGGACTAAGGTACAGATTCATTGGATTGTCATTATTAACATGGCTACATAGGGTAACTGTTGCGTGGTGAGCGCAAGGAAAATTAAAACGCCTCCAATTGAATGAGTATGCAACACGGACATCCATTGAGTACGAATAGTTGTATGCAGCGCCTTGGTGAAAAAGTCGCATCCTCAATTCCTCACGTAACAGGAACTGGTAACCGCGCGTCGTTGAGCGATTGAGCCCGCATGTTTGTGGTCTACTTTTTATAGTGTCATATTCAACAGAATATTGTTGAAAATAGATCATTTCAAGGGATTCCAATTTTAAATGCCGGATTGTTTGCGTATTTTGTAAAAAAAAAAGGTACAAGGTATTTTTTTTTTTTTTTTATTAAGGAATCATGCAGGAATGTGAAATGCAGTCACGCGGAACCTACTTCAATTCATCCATCCCTTTTCAATTTTAATTTTATTTTATTTCTTTATTTGATTATTCAGAAATATTAATTTACTCAAAAAGAAACAATACTGATGCTATTCATCATGGACTGATGAGAGCAAGGTACAGATTCATTGGATTGTCATTATTAACATGGCTACATGGGGTAACTGCTGCGTGGCGAGCGCAAGGAAAATTAAAACGCCTTCTATTGAATGAGTATGCAACGCGCACATCCATCGAATAGTTGTATGCAGCGCCTCCGTGAAAAATTCGTCTCCTCAATTCCTCACGTAATAGTTGCGGGTAACAGCGCGTCTTTGAGCGATTCAGTCCGCATGGTTTATGGTCTACTTTTAACAGTGTCATATTCAACAGAATAATGTTAGAAATAGATCATTTCAAGGGATTCCAATTTTAAATACCGAAATTTTTGCTTATTTTGTAAAGGAAAGTGCACAGTAATTTTTTTTTTTTTTTTTCTAATTAGGTATCATGCAGGAATGTGAAATGCAGTCACGCTGAACCTACTTCAATTCATCTATCCCTTTTTAATTTTAATTTTGTTTTATTTCTTTATTTGTTTTTATTCAGTAATATGTAATTTTCTCAAAAAGAAACAATCCTGATGCTATTGATTATGGATCAATGAGATCAAGGTAGTCCAGGCGCCTGGTAGCTATAAATGAGGCTACCTGGAATTTTGGGTACACAGCGATTTTTTTGGCTTACTTAATGTTCATTGGGTCGCTGAATCCGAATCTGTGGCTTCCTCCCGCGTATCTGGTGAGCATTTTCCGCCATTTTGAAAAAATGGTCTAAAAAGCCCTTTTTTGCGTTTTTTTTTACATAGCGGCTACGCATGAGAAAAAGTCCCAGATTTAGTTAATGTTTTGAATAGCTGACATAATTTGGAAGAAAATGGTGTTTACATATGCTAGATTGGCTAAAAAATTGAGGAAGATACAGCATCGTGAACATCGCGCCCATGCACATTTCGCGGCGCACCCGTCAACGCGCACGGTGCGTTTTAAACAATTTTAATGCGGTCAACATACCACCCGCGATTTTTTTGCGAAAATGTCAACTAGAAGGCCTACTGATTGAGGAACAACAAACCGCGAAATCTGTGATGGGGCCGTTTTTGAGAAAATGCGATTTTTCGCTTTTTTGGCGGGAATTTCGGGTCAAGGCGCTGAAAAAGTCAAGTTAGGCTGTTTTTGTAGTTCGTAAATGCATATCCTATACATTTTGAGTCAATCAAGTGCCAGTAGATAGCTATTCGTGCATATTGCCCAAAATTCATATCCTTAAATCCACGACTTTTGGGTTTTTGGGGGGTTAGTCAAGGAGAAATCCGAAAAAAAGAGGGTTAACCCGGAACAAATTGCTTAACAAACTTTTCCTACGTAAACTTCTTCAGTAGGTCCTATTGAACAACATACCAAAAGTTTACCACGGTTCGCTCCCGGAACACCCCCCCAAATTGCCTAAATTTCAAAATGGCGGCCATAATAAGGCCTCTGGGAGTTCGATTTTTTTAAAAATACGCATACAGTGTCATGTGAGGTGTCAATTCCTATGTAATTTTGGTCGTAGATTTCAAATATGAAGTAAAAAAAGTCCCTTGATCAAAAGGGGGTACCCCAAATCCAAGATGGCAGCCAATTTTGAAAGTCAAGAGGGTGGATTTTTAAAAAGTTCGCGTGATAAGGCAAGTGAGGTATCATTTCTTATGTAATTTTGGTCGTAGATTTCATTTATGAAGTCATAAAAGCCCTCAAGTCAAAGGGATTGCTCCAAATGCAAAGATGGCGGCCAGCTTTGAAAGGCAGGAGGGTGAATTTTTGAAATGTTTACGTGACATCCCTAGTAAAATAGAATCAACCTGACGTTTCATAAACTACCCTGAGTCAGACTAATTCAGGCTGATATCAATCTGACTCAGGGTAGTTTATGAAACATACCCTGACGTCAGGTTGATTCTATTTTACTAGGGATGTCACGTAAACATTTCAAAAATTCACCCTCCTGCCTTTCAAAGCTGGCCGCCATCTTTGCATTTGGAGCAATCCCTTTGACTTGAGGGCTTTTATGACTTCATAAATGAAATCTACGACCAAAATTACATAAGAAATGATACCTCACTTGCCTTATCACGCGAACTTTTTAAAAATCCACCCTCTTGACTTTCAAAATTGGCTGCCATCTTGGATTTGGGGTACCCCCTTTTGATCAAGGGACTTTTTTTACTTCATATTTGAAATCTACGACCAAAATTACATAGGAATTGACACCTCACATGACACTGTATGCGTATTTTTAAAAAAATCGAACTCCCAGAGGCCTTATTATGGCCGCCATTTTGAAATTTAGGCAATTTGGGGGGGTGTTCCGGGAGCGAACCGTGGTAAACTTTTGGTATGTTGTTCAATAGGACCTACTGAAGAAGTTTACGTAGGAAAAGTTTGTTAAGCAATTTGTTCCGGGTTAACCCTCTTTTTTTCGGATTTCTCCTTGACTAACCCCCCAAAAACCCAAAAGTCGTGGATTTAAGGATATGAATTTTGGGCAATATGCACGAATAGCTATCTACTGGCACTTGATTGACTCAAAATGTATAGGATATGCATTTACGAACTACAAAAACAGCCTAACTTGACTTTTTCAGCGCCTTGACCCGAAATTCCCGCCAAAAAAGCGAAAAATCGCATTTTCTCAAAAACGGCCCCATCACAGATTTCGCGGTTTGTTGTTCCTCAATCAGTAGGCCTTCTAGTTGACATTTCCGCAAAAAAATCGCGGGTGGTATGTTGACCGCATTAAAATTGTTTAATACGCACCGTGCGCGCGATCCGGCTCGCCGCGGTCAGCCGAGTTCCGAAGCGTTCCAAAGTTCCGAGATCCGAGGCTCCTCAATTTTCGAGCAAACCTAGCATATTCATATACCGTTTTCTTCCAAATTTTGTCAGCTATTCGAAACATTAACTAAATCCGGGACTTTTTCTCATGCGTAGCCGCTATATAAAAAACCGCAAAAAAAGGCCTTATTAGGCCATTTTTTCAAAATAGCGGAAAATGCTCGCCAGATACGCGGTAGGAAACTTCAGATTCGGATTCAGCGACCCAAAAAACATAAAGTAAGGCAAAAAAATCGCTGTGTCCCCAAAATTCCAGGTTGACTTACCAGGCGCCTGGACTATTTACCGTGCCAATCTTTTAGGGCTACCTTCAGGCTCACGATGACTGCGATGAAAAACTTTCAAATTCAAAGAGACTTCCCACGCGAGAATTTATGTTGATCATCGAGGTTACAAAACACTATTTTATCTGAAAATAATGTTTTCTCTGCACCTACTATTAAGAAACACAGTTTTGCATGTTCGCAAGGCACCAGTTTCAGGATTTCATCGTCGTTAAATTCTTATTTGAGTTTTAGAAAAAGTCTTGAGTCGTCAATCAGCATTCACGTAGAGATCTCTTTATCATTTGTTTCATTTTAATTGTGATGTATTTTTTAGGACCCAAAGGAGACGCTCGATGGGAAATTGTGGTTGTATCCAGATGGGGGAAAAGTCTTCATGAAATCGGGCCAAAAGTTTAGCTGAAAGCAAGAGTTTTCAAGTGTAAGGATTCCGAAACATGTACCTAGACCACATGCGAAAGTTTGTCTGTTCGAAAAAAAAATTAAGTCACCTCTTCACTTTAGTGGCAAAAATTAAGAGCAAATATTCTCTTCAGGCACCTGAGGAACATATTTTTTCCATCCTAACTAAGAGAGGGAATCGAATAAGCATCATATGTGTAAATATATGGGCAATGGGGGCCTTTGACCAGAAATCTCAAAACATTGAAGGAGACATTTTTTAGGCATGTGGCACAGATTATCCGGTAAATTTTTGACTGCTAATTTAAACATGACCTTGGTTCATCTCCATCGTGAAAAAATTTTCCGTGGGAATGCTTGATCCTTGGCGCAAATTCCTATTTTTTTCGGGTAAAACTGAACTGACCCAGAAGTAAGGACCTTTTTTGGCCTCTTGTAGCTCCGTACTAACATTAACAATATAAGGCATACACGGTGGTAAAGGTAAGTAGTGCTCGAAAAATTAGTGAGTGAAAAATACAAGGCAGAATCATTTTCATCTAGAATTAACCAGATTGAGATATGCAGCCACAAAAAAAAAAAAAAAAAAAAAAAAAAAAAAAAAAAAAAAAAAAAAAAAAAAAAAATAAGATAATACAACTTTATTCAACTGCAAGCAAAAATGTTAAATTAGATACGTACACCTGTGTTGAAAAATAATATGATTCTGTCTACTTACTTGGTTTGAAAATTTTTGTGATTCCATTTTCATTCGTGCACACTACTGATTTTCAATTAACTACGACGACGGAATAAATTATTTTGCAGGCACTAACTTCTAATTTACACGAAAAAATAGAAGCCGTTAAAATATTAAAACACTCGAGGACAAGCCGGAGTATTAGGCTGATTTACAATAGTAATAAACAATGAAAATGTTTATAAAATCGCCTACCAATTTGGTTCCTGTTCTTATGAAACAACTACTCACTGAACTTGTGACGGCTCAAAACATCCTGTCTTCTAGTGTTGTAATAGATTAGCTTTATTTGCCAATTTTTTAAATTTTTTATTGAGTTGTGTTGCTATTTTTTTGAGCGACCTGATTTGTGTATTTTATGGTGTTCTCTTAGCACCACAATCGATATTGCTCTTTTAGGTTGTCAACTCAGTAGTCGTTGTTCAATCTAGACCGTTGCCTACGAGAATGAAGAGGCTGTAACTACGTTCCCGTGACGTCACGCCAGTAGATGAAACTCGGCCGCGGTTTAACATGTGTTCTTACGGGAGAACGCCTGTTGCGTGTTCTTTTCGTGTCATTATCTTCTTGGGGGTTTATCTGATGCACAAATTCAGAGGAACCTTTTCGAGAGAGGAGATGAACTTTCACTTCAGAAAATCAACTAACTCATATATGACAGTGTCTGATAATTGAGGAAATGAAAAGCTTAATACCGAAAATTGTTACTCCACTCGGATTCATACGCGCCACTCACGCGACTTCGGCCGATCGAGGGCCACTCTGATTGGTCCACAAAGCAACTGAATCACTCATCGATGCACCGATGACCCAGAGATGCCTGTTGTTTTCGGTAAATATCTACTAGCTTGACGTCATAACACTGACTAGTTACGGCCTCTCTATTCTCGTAGGTAACGTGTAGACGTGCACAATGCCAGACAAATAAGCTCTACATAAACGGGCACATTTCGACTCCGGAGTCAAAATGAGGCAATAAGTTTGATTTATTCACAAAGTAACCCAAAGAATAATTGCTTTCCACAAATAATGTATGGTATTTTTATCCGGTCATACGGTTTGATGGGTTTTTAAGTTTGCTTAATACATAATGGTATCGATGAGAAAATTAAATCAATCAAAAGGTGTTCATAAAATATTTTCTATAGTTGTATTGTTAGAGTTTATATCGATTTTTGTTCAATCTAGTGAATCGGACAATTATATCAGTGCGCTTTTAACAAAGACGAAAATTATTCCCGATGTTTTGGATGTAGCGCCGCAAAACGAATTAAAGGTAGGTATCAAATGTTTTGTGATTATTTTTTATTTTTTCAACCTTGTAGGTACTTTGTTAATTCCAATGACTGGACCGGCAGTCAGGTAGGTCAGGTTATTTTAGCAGTTTTCTAGGTTTAATTTAGTGTAAGGCAATTAGTTTTCATTGAATCTCCACATTTTTAAATGACCTACAGCACAATACATAAGGATGCCCAAAATACAAATTTAAATAATTTTATCATTTTGGTGATTGAAGTCACAAAGTGCGTGTATCTACGATTACAAAATGGTAAATTTCCGTAATATGTTTTTGTAACAAGAAATCAACTAGTACAGAATTAAATTCCTGAAAAGGCTCAAAGAGATTTTCTCATTGGTTAATTTTGTTTAAAAAATAAGGTAATACGTGATCGGAGATTTTAAAATGCTGCAGTGAAGATACGCATTTCTCTACTTGAGTTATCAATACCGTAAGAACGTACTAGAAACTTTCTTCCGTCAAATAATGTACGAATACTGAGGGAGCAATTATTCCTCTCAAAATTATCCTTGACAAATGCAGTTAAGTTCGCAATTTTTTTCTTTTCTTTTTTAAGAATAATTGCAAATACAACAAGTTGCAAATGTATTCCTGGATCATATTATTTTCTAGATTAAATACGGAGCGCAATCTGTAAAATTTGGAACGCTTCTTCTGCCCACCGTTGTTCATGAAGCTCCAAGTTTCGTCGACTGGCCGTATGATCCAAAAGCATTCTATACTTTAATAATGACAGGTATCAATTATTTGTACGCAAAATGTGATTTTATGTACTTGTTATTAACCTCCTTCTTTACTTTTCTTTTCTTTGGCCCTTAAATATTTGCACTGAATGGATTATTAAGGCGAGCTGTGCTTATTCAAGTTTTCTATCTCAAACAACATTGCTCGTGTTTTGAAAATGCATTGTATACTTAGCCACAAAATTTCCCCAAAATGTCATCGAAAAATGTTTGCAAGTTTTTCAGAGAAATCGTAATTTATTAAAAAAAAAAAATGAGCTACAATTAATTGGATGTCCTTGCGGCGTCTCACGTCAGGGTGGCAGTAAAGTGTTGTAAGACGTAAGCCTCACCCTCTACTAGGAAGAGTTGCCACTTTTTGCGGTTAAAAAAATAATCCAATCATTCTGAGAGAAAATTTGGCTCAATTTAGCTTCCTTGGATGGCAGCAATAGCAGCTCTGAGAGATGTGAATCTAAAAATTTGATAAGATTTATCCGATGTTTCCAAAATTGCTTTCGGAGACAGTTGGTAAGGGTTGTATAAGTGAACTATATTGTTTTCGACTCCATCCTTCCCGTCTAACACATTTTTGTTTCGAGGTATTGAAGGAATACTAGTAATTTGTGAAATATGTCAGTCACAAACATATCCGATAGTGATGAGTTTAAAAACCACCCGAATATCTTCTTTTTAAGTTTATTCCTCCTTGCTGCCACGATTTTTCTTGCCATCTTAAACTTTACAAGGTGAAAGTTGTCTGAGCTTCCACATCACATCTTTAACCGCAGTGATTTCACCTGTTCACGTTTCGTTTGCTTTTCTTTTTTTCTTTCAACGCAAGTACGACACAAACTAATTTGTTTTACAATTTGCATATGTCTGTAGGTGGCGTAAAGAGAGCTTAATTAAGTGTGTTATCCATGCACGGGATATATTATAAGTTCACAATCCTTTACCATATCTATTGATGTACGGCATAATTTGCTCTGTATGAACCCATACATACAGCTCTTGAGCAATCGTGTGTGTGATGGTAGTCAAAACTTTTTTAAATCGAATTTTCGACCAAAATACACCTAATTATTTAACCATATGTAGGTTTTAAATTAATGCTAAATCCAGAAGTTATTTGATACAATTTTGTCAACTCAATATACTGCGCAGGAGACTTTGAAACTCTGAATATATGTGTGAAAATTTTCAGATCCTGACGCTCCCTCAACTTCAAATCCATACAATAGAGAGTGGCAACACTGGGTTGTTGGAAATATTCCAGAACTAAGAGTAGACCTTGGAGAAGTTCTAACACCATACATTGGAGCGATTCACCCAAAAGGGGATGGTAATGTATGAGTTCAGTATAGTTTTATGACACCATCAGAGATCATTGAATTCTCAATAACGTTGAATATCCAAAAATATTGTTCAATATTATGATAAAACATAAAATAGTCGTACAATATATTCCGTGCATCATAAAACAATCGCTTAATGTAACTTTAAATATCGCTCAATGCTTTCGCGCATTATAATTAATTTTTCATTGCCTATTATGGCTCTCAATATCCTTAATAATTTATCATCATGCACGAGCTCTTTAACTCCATTTTAAGTTCATGCCATAATTAAATCAAGCGAGATACCAGGTAAATTTCCCTGATTTCTCGACAAACGTTAAGAAATGGTCTCTAAACGAGCTCACTGTCTTCAAATTATATATATACAACCCAGGTTGCTTACTGCTGCATAGCGACCCTTTAAGAGCGTGAAACGACCATTGGGGGGGCTATCCCGCTCATTATAGCCAGATAGAGGCCCCTAGTAATCAATACAGTTTCATAAAAACATGCTTATCTTTTTTTGCTTTTTCAGATGAGTAGGTGAAAATCTAGCCTGCCATTTAACAAAATTTAAAGGGTCCTATGATGTTTTACACCACATTTTTCTGCACTTTTTATAAGGCAGTAGATTAATAGTGCTATTTTTATTTGCGAAGAAAAATGAGTAAAAATGAAATTTCAAAATAATCTTTTGTTCTTTTTAGATGTTCAAGAACATGTTTTATAACACGTCAAAATAAAGGTGACTCCCTTCTCAGTCTCCGAAAGAGCCTCAAGTGCTTTTCTGTTTCGCAACATTTACGATTGCATTCGCTTACTTCCAAAAGGAGGTGCGCGAAAATAATTTAACTTTTAGCATAATCGAGAAAATGTTTGTAAATCAGCGCATGAAATATTCAACTTCGTAATTTTCAAATTTTTAACGTAGCTTTGAACTATTCCCCCAGGACTGCACAGGTACGTTTTCACTGTCTACCATCAGCATGGAAAAGTAAACTTCACCGATCTAATCTTAGACGAAAGGTATGTGATTTTACGTTATTTCTATCATATAATACAATTTTTTTCTTTAATACATGTTAAAACTTTCATAGCCCACTCAAATTTCACAGATGAGTTATTTCAATGTATCCTCTCACAGAAAAAAGAGAAATATTGGGAACAACCGCGATTGTATTTTGTATTACAACAGATTCCTTTGAAGAAACATGAGAACTCATGGACCGGATTAGCATTTAGGGGCCCAAGGTACTCGCGGGTAAAAGGGCCCGCACATTGCGGGTTGTATACTTCGCAAATTGAAAGCGGCTTACGTTCCAAGTAATTAAGGGGATCCAGATGCCCTAACTTAAGTCCCAGGAAATCAAAAAATATGACTTAGGAGCCTTTGGGCCCCTTTGAAAAGAGTTATAGTTACCGAGGGACAGTACAAATCATAACTCCTGAAGTCCATAAAAATTTCAATCTCAGGTTCTCCAGAACTTTTTTCTCACAGGCAAAAACTTTATGGGCCCATGACCCCTGAAATCCCAGTTTCAGGACCTCTCCAATCCTTCAATATCTCTGGGACTTCAGAGGCCCCCAAAACATTTGATCGGACCACTCGCAGAAGAAAAAAAAAGTTCAAAATAATAATTAGAAAAAGGCCGTTTCAAGGAACTTTTGGCTGATCCAGTCCTGAAAGAACCACATAACTGATTTCATAAATAATATTCCAATGGTGATTAATTGATCATGGTCTAAGCTTCGATTCACGGAACTTGAAAAGGCTAAGAGATCATAACGGCTGCCTGGATTGGAGCCAACCTAATTTTCAGAATTCACTTATAAAATGAATAAACAATAAAAATTTTAAAAATATTACCCTCCTTTTTGTGTATTGTTAATTCATGCTACTTCATCGTAAGAGTTTAGTCTTGGTGGATGAGTTAGGAAGTGCGTGATATTTTACATGCAATAGCAGCAGCAGCCGTCTCTTTGGATGATTCTTGTCACATCGTTACATAAAAAGCAGCAAATCGATTGCACAAGTTTTCCTTAAAAAAACGCATTAATGTTACTGCTATATCATCTTTTTCTAGAAAAACGCCATGAACTCTGAATTGTGTCTCATCTTGATTTTGTAATCTCATGTTTTCCTCTTTAGACCGGCGGACGTGTTTCGGGCAAACTTTTCAACCAGAGATTTTGCAAGCCGCTACAACTTTGGCGATCCTCATGCTGTTAATTATTTCATCGTGAGCTGGGGAACCCGTAAATCTCAGCGTTGAAATTTACTATTGAACCGCAACACAATAATTTTGATTGTCATTCCAAGTATGTAGGACATATCAGGTATCAGGTATCAGTGTATGCATGAGACAGATTGTGTTCGGCGCTTTTTATTTGTCTGCAGGACGGTAAAACTAAATGTTTACCAAACTTACTTACTACTACTTACAAACTTACTAACTACTTACTTTTTGGAGTGGGAATATTAGTTAGTATTATGTGAATTAGAAAATGTAACTGTGATATTTGCATGACGCCGCATTTGAGGATTAGTTCTTAAGTAGTTCCGATTCAATTATTCATCAAAATTTTTCTCATTAAATTTGACTATGTTTGTGTTTTTGTACATATTTTATAATTTCAAAGGCCATCTTTTCCAGGGATTAAAAATTGACTGATGCATTTCAATATAATGTACTTTCTCATTTTACTTTCATTCAATACTTCGTAAACCTGAGCAAATGAATTCCCAATGAAGTTCAATCGGTTCAAGGTGAATCTAGTGCATTTGAATGTGACTCGATATAGTTAATTGATGAATCGCTAATTTCTCGATTTTAAACTAATTTTAAGAGATTTTAGAGAAGTCCTATCTTGCTGTACTACATCTTAAATCCAGAGAGCATTTATCAATAAATTGGTCGAACTGTTCTCAAAGTGCTAAAAATCTATGTTTAGCTGAAAATAGTCCTCTCTTCAGGTCACTATCAAGGTGAGCCATAAGGACCTATCCTATACACGAGGACCTACCTCCTAGAGTCTCTTTGTACTGAGAGTTAAGACAACCCCCCCCCTCCCTCAGGAAGTCACAAATGGGAATAAAGATTACACAAATTGAAAGTTATTCGTATAATCTTTGATCGGCTTATTCTCAAACTCCTTTCTCCGCTCCTTCTCTCATTCTGTTTGTTCCTTGCCAAACCCGAAATTCCCTGGTTCATTCCAGATTATACTATTTGCAATCGGTCGATCCCTTAAACTTCCAACATAAATTCAGGTAATTTCCTCCCGAAGCACAGTGGATTGAGTCAATAGGAGAGGTCAGACAAAATTTGGGAACTTTAAACGCCTTTAACTCCGTTTTTAGAAAAATTTACGGTCTTGAAAATGGTGTCATTGGTTTTCTCGTAAAATTTTCCATGAGAATCACCTCTTGAAATTTAAAAGTTGATGAAATGAACATCTAAATTTGCAGTTCTAGTAAAAAAATTCATGTCTGACCTCTCCCATTCATTCGGTCCATTGTGCGACGTAACGAGCGTGGCAACAGAGCAACTCTCTCTGCAGGGAGTGAGCGTGTCGACCTGGCTCAAGTGCGGCTTTATACCTAGGAAATCGTCCTCTCAAAAGCGTTAACAATAAGTACTGCCGTTATTTACGAGTTTCTAGCGGCTAACAAATCAGAGAGAAAAAAAATAGAGGAAATAAGTTACATTTTATGAAATTCGTGCATAATTTTAAATGACAGTAATGCATACAAAGTGTTCAAAAACTTATTAGTGGTAACTAGTTGAAAAGCGCTGCCTGCGTGGGTTAAAAAATCGCGCCAAAAACAATGCAGTCGGCGCTAATGTGTGTTTTGCGCCTGCAAGTCTGCAAAAATACTTCACGCATTGCGTCAAACACAGTGCGGTTGGCGCGACGCGGCGCGGCCCGCCGAACGCATAGCAGCGCCTACAAGACCGGTAGAATACTTCACGCATTGCGCGATCACGACGGTGCGGTGCGTGCTTTAATTGACGATAATTCGTTATTTTTCGGTGCAGGACCTACCACGGTGTACACCATTTTCGACACCATGGTAGCCAAAATAGTACATAAACAAAGACTGTTCTGTACACACATATGTACTGTTTTGTGCACCGAGAGGCGTTTTACATTTGTAAGTTTCCTAGTAAAAATTTTCAAGTTTTAAATATGAGTGCATATGGAGGATACGTAAAATTAATGTTTATTCTGTTACTCTTAGGATGAACTTTTTTTTCAGATAAGAGCGATTTTTTGACCGGGTAGACTACTACTGCCTTCAGTATAGAAACGTGATGTTTGTCTGAGTTTAGTGGCTTTGTATTACAATGCGCATGTTAAAAGACAAAGACAGCCAATGGCTGGAATTCCTTCCAGTATATTCTTTTTTAGCAGCCATTTCATCACAGTATTTGGTCTGCGGTAAAATAGACGAGGATCACCGACGGCCTATATTACCAAGTAGTTTGGATGTTAAAAACGCTTTTGAAAAACACAAAATAATATCTGATGGTCTTATTCCGAGGGCACCGGATAGATTTATGGTGGTAAGTTTTGTTTCATCAGCAGTACATTGATGAATGTATCAGCACCGAGAAAAAGAAAAATCGAGAAAGAAAACGATTGAAATAACAGGATATTATAAAATACTGAATCAGACTTGTCAACGGTGTAATTTTGCAATCACGTATCTCGGTTTGCGATTGCAACCTGGTAGACTTTCTTTCATACTTAATTTTTGGAATGGAAAGCAACTCAACGGCCACTCTTAAAAACTGCGGTGATTTTTCTTCTCTGTGCAAAGAATAATACGCGAAAATGTCAAGGAATGATTTGTTCTCCTTTAAAAAAATAAAATAGGAACGGAAATTTTCAAAGACCGTAAACGAGATACGTGGAAGGAAGCGGAAATGAGATATGATTGGTGCTCCGCAGCCTGTGACAAGATATAAAATAATAAAACCAATTACTTAGCGGGTAACAACGCTAATTTTCACGTGAATACCGAAAACTCAGCCTTCCTCCGCTGGATTAAACAGTCAAAAATTTTAAAAATGTAAAATACTTGGCTGTACCTTTCAATGCGAGAGCAATGTTGTTAGCCAATGTTTTAGGGAACAATGTCGTAAAAAAGGACAAGATAAAAACATTGTTCTCGCTTTGAAAGGTACAGCCAAGTATTTTAGATTTTTAAAATATTTTTACTGTTTTATCCCACTAAGGAAGGCTGAATATTCAGCCGAAACATTTTGGTAATGTTTACGTGAAACTTAGCCTTTGTTACCCGCTGTATAAATTGTTTTATTATTATCGTGGTTGCGTACTTAAAACGTCGATATGCAACACAAACTCTCATTGAGCAGGAATAGTTGCGTCCAGGCGTTGTGAGCATCGCGTGAACTTATTGGATACGTATAAATAGGGGTACCAAATTTTTGTTCATGAATAAATTTGGTAGAGATTATATTCTAAGAGATGATGTAAGGAAGGACAAGTAACGCATCATTCCGTTACGGAGAGTCCAATTGTCCGTGCGGCGGTCGATTTTACCTCAAACATTCTTAGAAAAGGGCATTATTCTAAAGTTTGTGCATGAAGTCCCGACTCTAAGGCGTTTAATCAATACGCGCTATTCTTCTCCTTAAATTCAGTAGTAAATTTACTATTGCCTGTTATTTGTTTTTTAACAGGTTAAATTTCGGAATAATCGCACGGTCGAATTAGGAAATTTTCTGACATTCGATGAAACGTGGGAAATTCCAGGTTTCATTTATTGGGATGCTGATCCTGGGTGTATACACACGCTAATATTCCTCAGTAGGTAGTTATCTCTTTTGGCATGTCAGAACATAACGAAATTAATACCATGTAAAGGAAGTCATCGATACCCATTATTGCTATAACGTGCGGAGAGTCAATTAAAGTGATGTGCTCATGTGTGACATTTTTAAATTGAGCATTTTTTATGTATGCTTGGCCTTAGAGGAACAAATCTGGCTTTAGAATCACCCGGAAACCAAATTTTCACTTGATCTGTTGGTAAACTTCCAACGCAATGTTCCACCATTTTCAAAGTCATCTTTTTCAAAATTTGGTCAATATTTTTGATTTTGGATGCTAGATTTGTTTTTTGTGTTCCAAGAAACAATTCTTGACGAATCCCATCGGAAAGCAACAAAAATACCAACGTTCCACCATTTCGATTTGTAATTGGCCGTCATTTTGAAATGATAGAAAATGACCTCCACCCTGCGGTTTGCCGAAAACAAAAATATTTGTTTTATACTCTTTGCAACGAGTACACCTCGCGATGGAGTCTCCTATTTGAAATTCTTCTGTTACCTTTGATGACCTCTCGCCTCTTGGGGAGTGGCGGGTCAAGGCATTTCTCCAAAAGATATTCGATTTCCCTCAGGGAAATCTCGTTATACCGTATTTTAATGTAAACAAACCTGTAAATTGACATTCCATGCTAAGAAATCGGGGGTGAATCAGTCGGATTCTTACCTATCTAATCTTATTATTGAACTTTCCTTTAGATATTGATCATCCGAATGAATTCTTCCCCCAAAAACGCCAGTACCTTCAGTGGTTGGTGGGGAACATCCCAGAGGCAAGAGTCGAAAATGGGAGAATATTGTCATCTTACTTGATGCCTATTCCTCCACCTGTTCAGTACGGTGAGTAACATGTCAATGAACACAAAGCACTGCGAAACGTTTAACGGAAGAATGGAAAAATTCTAATAGGTACTATATAATTAAGAGGGGTGAATGAAAAAACCTTCGAAAATGGGTTTTCGAACTTTGAATACATGACGTGATAAAATATCTCCCGAAACGTCTAAAACTGGCCACGGTTTTGCTTTTAAGCGCTTGGTTTTGAAGACGTTACCGCTTCTTGAAGTGAAACTCTTTAAAAATAAATATAACATCGCTGCATTTCAACCAATTTCAATGAACTTTTTTATTCAAAATAAAGGAAAGACCTCTTGAATAGAGCTCTCTGATGGTATATAGGTCTTGGGGTATACTTAGGACTATGCGGCACTTACGTGGATTCAGCAGTTTTTGATAAACACAAATTTTTAGTTTTTATTTTACTACGATCTTAAATTCCATGAAATATTTAAAAAAAAAAACCGGTGTAAATGAAATTTCAGCTTTTCAACTCTCTAGGAAGCACACGATTATCCCGGGAAAACGTCTAAGTTTCGAGATACTACCGCTCAAAGTTGGTCAAAGTCGTGTATACGTAGTCGGGAACTACTAACAGAACTGTGCGATGTTCAATGATCGTGTAGCAGGGCTCTCTAATAATTAATCTATTACAAGGAGCAAACGTAAGCTTCCAGGTTGAGACGTTGCCATTTTTCAAAGTGAAAACCTCTAAAAATTCATACCGGTGGTGTATTTTAACCGATTTCAATGAACTTCCTTTTACAAGTTTACTGTGCAGATCTTCCTAGCGGTGTAAAATTTCATTGGTTTACTCAACATTAAGTGGCACTTACGCGTTTTTAACGTTTCATTAGAAAATTCCAGTTGGTTTACTTCTTTTAATAAGCACTTTAGTACATGCACAAACTCTAATTATTGAAAGTTTCTGATTTTTTGTCCGCAAAAAAGGACTTACGGATCTTTTGATTTTTTTTCTGAGAGAATATGGGTGTCTGTTAATTAATTGTATCTTGAAATATATTGATTTCAGGAACCCATAGGCTTTTGTTTCTCGCTTATAAGCAACCAAGGACCACAATTGAGTTCTCTGAGCCATTTTTGCCTGCTTTGTAAGTTGGTAAATTTTTCTTTCCTTCTCCTCCCTCCTATCTTATTTTCAATGATTATCTCGAAAGCATATTTTTGATTTGGTCATGAATTTTTTTTTTTTTTTTTTTTTTTTTTTTTTTTTTTTTTTTTTTTTTATCAGCGGAAGGACAAACTGCTATGCAAAAGTTTGTCAAAAAGTACGAAACACGTCATATTGTTATAAGAAAAAACACAATTTTAATTTCCATTAAGTGACTCATTTTTTTTGGCTGGTATTGCATTCCGCAAAATTCATCTTACATTTTACTAATGTTCACAGGCCTTTACCGAAATCACGTGCAAACTGGACGTTGTCAGAATTCGTAAACAAATATGATTTGATTGGACCAGTTGCGGGTAACTTTTATCAAATAAATTGGCAGGAGGAGGGTAATAATTTAGATGATGATAAAAGACCAAAAATCGAAAACAAAATATCTCTCTAACCTTCACAATATTGTTTCTTCTGGTTTGATTTGAATTTAAGATATGAAATTCTATACTTCTCTCTCGTTTTTGTTGAAACCACTCATACAGACCAGTCCGTAGGAGAGAAATAAAACATGAATGAAAGAAGGACATAAAATAATTATAAAAATTCACTAAAAAAATGACACAATTACAAAACACTTTGATGGAGAAAGGATTATATTTGAAAAAAAAAAAAAAAAAAAAAAAAAAAAAAAACCGCATGTATCTGCTAATTTCATTTTTTGGAGGAAATAAGAAATAATGTCGGGCCGCAAGCAGCTAGAGTAAGTGATATCATTTTTTGTAAGGTTCGTTTGTAGAAGGAACATAAAGAAAATACATTTTTGTCCAAAGTTACATATTCTGAACAATTACTTTTACAAAAATATGTCCGGTCAAAGTGCCATGTTTTACCTTTATTTCCGAAAAAGAAGATTCACAGGGGCTCAATCCACCGAAAATATCGACGGACTTAAAATGGATCTTTTCTTTTTTTTAAACCAAGTGTAGAGCCAAGATCGCACGAATTCAAGGAACGTTGTAAAAATCAAACAAGCCAAAAAGAAGTATGTTCATAAGATTTGAGTGACTCGTGCTTTTTTTTAATTCATTTGTGCACGGTTCCTTTCCAAAGTAAAACGTCAATTTTATTATCTTCCCTTTGATTTATTCTAAAGTTACAAGAATGATCTGCGATTTTTAGATGACGTAGTGTACCTACGTCATTCTACGTATTACAGACAGATCTTAACACTGATGTAGAGCGTAATTTTCCCGGGTGAATCACGGTCTGCCTGATTTTTCCGGGTAGTTTTCGTAAGAGGTAGGATTTGCCCGTGACAGATATACATTTCCTTTGAATTACAAGTTAGTTTCTGATCGACATTTGGACTGCATTTTGCAATTTGGAACTAAAAATTCTAGCCCGGTTTAAAGACAGCATATGTGCCATTAGTTTCCCTATGCACATAAGTGTTTTTCTAGAAGAGCCAGAATTTATAGTTCCAAATTGCAAAATGCAGTCCATTTCGTAGTTTCCCGTACGAAGAAACGTAACTCCATTCCAGAGTTATCAAAATCACTCACCTGATTCAATTTTTTTCGGAAACGAATTTGCATAACTTTCGTCGATAATTTGTCTGATTATTACATGAAATCAGAGGAAAACTGAGAAAAAATTTTAGTCAGAAATAATTCTCGAAATTCTCCTGGTGAGAATTCAATTTGCGCGGAAAAATCTGACAACATTGAAAGGAAATTACGTTCTTCCTTAAAAGAAATGACGATTTAAGCCCTCTTAAGCGCTTACTTCCTAAATCCAAAACGCATCCATAAATTTTAATATAGCACCCAACAAACCGGATATGCTAAAGTCTAGTGAAGTAGAGGTGCATGATCCTAGACAAAGCGACAACGCTAACTGCGATGAAAAGAGTTTGAGTCGTTGGTCGGATAGCGGAGCATGATTTCGGTTTTGATGGTATTTTGTCGCCAACGTAGTTTCTAATCCAATCCAGGTAGGGGCAAGTGTACATATATATGTCGATCCAGTTGCTGTCTCCACATTCTGGTTCTCCTGAGAAAATTTGCCAGCAAAGAAACGGTGTCGGGTACAAGACGTGAGCCACTCCTACCAACTCCCCGTTGCAGATCAAAGGTCCCCCAGAGTCTCCTTTGCAAATTCCCTTCCCTTGGCTTCTCTCTAGACATACAATAGTTTGTTTTTGATCCCTGAAATGCAGAAAGTAAAAAAATCAAAATCAGGGAGTGATTTCTTCAAACGCAGAGCTGGACTTGGAATTTTTTATTAGTCTTTCTTGTTGAACAAGTGTTCTTAAGGTTGAAAGAAAAGGCTATGAGTAATGGAAAGGAAGAAAAAATACCCCTAACACTCTTATAATTGTTACAATCTCATAATGTTTTGAGTAATAGAAAAAATATCCAAGGATCTGAAATGAAAAATGATATTTCAGCCATTTTGGAATAGTTCAATGGTGGGTATTGTAGAATTAAGTTTTGATAGTTTAAATTTACAATTTCAAGCTATAAAATTGGTTTATTTCTCTTTAAAAAGTAAAAAGTAGCGAAAATTTTGGTTATACCGCAATGCAGATACGTGATTTCGCACCTTAGCCATCGATATAACGCTTTGACGCTCGGGTCATGTCAATTCTGCTTGTCACTTTGCAATAAAGTGCCTCTATACCTAAGAAATACCGAACCGCCAAAAACTCAAATTTCGATTTTTGGGCGCTCAAGTGATTGTAAGAATGATATCGATTTAATTTATTACGTATCATATTTAACTTCCCTTTTTTCCCTGCATGTATTGAAGTAGCTGGGTCCAAACAAATTCTAAAACCTTATTCTTTTATGAAAGCAAAAGTTCGGTGGACTCACGATGGGACGCAAGGGCACGCACTTTCACCATGAAGAGCCACCGATTTGAAGCTCTGCAGAGGGCCAGTATTTGCAGCGTAGAATTTTTGTCGCCCCCATCCTGCTGAGGTACAGTTTTCATTTCGGACGTCCTTGAACCATGGGCGGCCCCGGAGTTTAATTTTCGAAACGTGTATTTTATCGAATATGAAAGGCACCGATACCTTTTGACAAAATTAAACATATTTTGAAATGTAAGCATTTACCAAATGGAGGAGCTCGAATGAGGTCAAAAAAAGAAAGGAGAAATGTACATCATTACAAAAAAAAAAAATGAAAAAATCGATGATTATAAATCAAGAGAAAGTCACACACTCACACATAGCCAACATGAGGCCAACAGTGACTGGAATACAAATTTATACAACCCTCCGCCTCGAGCAAAGGCCTTCGATTGATTCTGAGTTCCCCAGGGTTTCTCATTTTCTATTTGAATCGAAGCCCGATATTATATGCTGCACCATAATCAACACAAAATGTAGAATATAGTTTAGAATATAGTTTATAGTTATGTAGAATGTAGTTTAGTATAGTTAGTTTTAGATTATAGTTAAGAAAAAAAGGGAAAGAAAAGGGCAATGAAATATACCACTAATGTTTTACATGTCGACGGTGAAACTACCAAACCACGTATCTCGGTTTGCGACGTTGCAGACTTCCTGTTACACTTTATTTTTTAAATGGAAAACTACTCAACGTCAATTCTAGAGAACTTCGGTGATTTTTCTTCACTGTGCGAGGAAAAATTTGTGAAAACTTCAAGAAATAATAATGATTTGGTGTCCTTCAAAAAAGTAAAATGAGAGCGGAGATTTTTAGACACCGCAAACGAGACACGTGGTCTGGTAGTTTCACCGTCGATGTGCTATCTGCCCAGCTTTTTTTATTTGTTATTTCGTCGTAACAAAAATGAATAATCCAAGAATCATAAAATAATTAGTGCAGTGTTTTTGTGTATTTATCTTGGATGAATGAGTATGTCACCGGCAATTAGCATTCGCCGGCAATTTGCAAGCTGTTATTGAAGCTTTGATAGGTTATAAGAGCGTGATCTTGGCTTGGAGCGCCTTCATTTTTTGTGATACTGTACGCTTTGTCACGGATGTAGTTTAGTTGCCTGCCCGCGATCCAAATCCAACTACGGTTATGGATTTCTCTACACACCCTCCGTAGTTTGCAAGTTATCACGGAGGGAAAAGTGTCTATTCACTTTAAAGGCAAAATGATCAGTGCTTTAATATTGTTCCTTTATCTTGAAAACGTATGATTCGCTATTTACCCACCGGTGGCTTGAAAATTGCTCATTGTCTCATTGCCTGAAGCATGTATTTATTGTAAACCTGTTAAATAATCGCTCACTCATATAATTATATCTAATGTTCAGTCAGTATGCTGCGTCATCGGCAAAAAAGTGCAATTTGTGATACCCCCGTACATACCTTAATTAATGCTATATCCCCATTGCCAGGACTTTCTGAGTGCTTGAAGCTTGGATGGATGTGAACTTGAACTCCTTTTTTCTTTTGGGCTTTATCGCCGAATTGCGGACTTGAAAAACCTGACTGTCCCGCTATGACCTATAACATAATATATCAAATAATTAACTTACTTTAAATTGGAAAACACGAAAGTGTGCGACTTTCCGAAGTTTTTCCACAATTACTGCCATCAGGCAATGCCATACATAAAATACATGGTATGAAAATTAAATACATGCCTAAAGAATAGTGGACTCCAGAATTTTCCCAAGAAACCGCAATCTATGATTTTTTAAATACCAGGTACAGGCAGTCTCCGTGGGTGGAACGAGGAACTTTCTGATCCATAATTTTAAATCACGTCAATGGGTCAACAAGTCGTTGCAGGTGAAATGCCTTCGATTTGGAGCGTATGCATTCCGCAAAAGAGCGGGTCTCTTGTATCCGCCATATCACTCTGCCTGCCCCTGGGCCTCTGAGCGCCAATTAGATTCAGATACCGCCAAATCGGCATTTTCTTTCAAATATCCTGCCAAGATTAAAACGAAACGAACCGAAAGGATCGTTTATATCGGGTGCTTCAAAGGGAAATAGCACGATATTTCGCGGTTATTTCGTTTCACTAAATAACCTTGTCTGGCAATTGTACCGTTGCTTCAGTGAAAACTAATTGATACCAGGAACCAGGATGTAAGGAGCCAGCCTCCTTAACTTTTAAATGTAAAAAAAAACAAGTTGGTTTTTGCAATCGCTAGCGATAGCAATATTCGTCATGGGAACTTTTGCTTCTGGGATATGAAAATTTTAAGGTAGGTACAGTTCGTTTGTAGTATCTTCAGAATTGAAGAGGCTATGTAATTTTGTGTCGACATCTCTTTTTTAACATTTTTAATTTTTTTTCTTTGCATACAAGAAAGCTGTTATTTACCAATTATTTATTTTCGTTGGATTATGTATGGTTTTTGGAAGTTAACGCATTTAACTTTCAGTTTCGTTTTTTCGGCGTAAAGTATGATATTTTTACTCTACGCATATGCCCGAATACGCATCATAACGACGGTGAAACTACCAAACCACGTATCTCGTTTGCGGTGTTTAAAAATCTCCGCTCACATTTTATTTTTTTGAAGTAGACCAAATCAATATCATTCCTTGAAATTTTCACAGAATTTTCTCCGCACGAAGAGGAAAAATCACGGAAATTTTCAAGACTGGACGTTAGGTAAGTAGCTTTTCATTTAAAAAATAAAGTATGACAGGAAGTCTGCGACGTCGCAAACCGAGATACGTGGTTTGGTAGTTTCACCGTCGATAAGTGACCTATGTGCTTCCTAAGTTGCCATTTTTTTCATTCAAATAGATGTAACCGAAATGTTAGATGTGTACGACCTATACTACTTTCATGTCATTGCTTTATTTATTTATTTACTTTTTGCGTAGGTATAAATTGTTATTTTTTGCTGAATTTTGGAGAAAATATTGCTTTGAGAACGTGGAATGTAAATTAATTTTATTGAAAAAAGAAAATACCATCATTAATTTGGGCGAACAGAGAAAATATACATCAATATTTGGGTCAACATCTCCCTGATTATATAAAGGATGAATATATTAGTATTTCTGTATCAAAAAACTTAGCTTTTGTCTTCAGAGATACGATGATTCTAGTCCCAGTCAATTTGTTTTATTGAAAAAACAAAAAAACAAAAAATAAATAAAAAAAAAAAAAAAACTGAAATGTCAGACATACTATTTTCATGTCTTTCTATTTGTATCAATAGGTACTTTTTGCTTAACTTACGAACGTTGAATGCAAATTAACTTTATTGAAAAAAGAAAATAACGTCATTAATTTGGGGGAACATGTGGCTGATTATATGAAGGAGGTATATTCCAGTATTTTTGTTTAACATATTAACTCACGAGAAAATGTTCGTACATTTATCATCTACTATTAATTATTTTTTGATGATTAGTCTAAAACATTCAATACAACCATTAAAAAGTAGTTCCCATCGTCGGGTATCGAACTCCCGATCGCCGGGTGCCCGCACCGAATCAAAAATACGAGGCGGTTTAGTCAACTAGGCTATAATGGATCCACGTGGGCGAGAGTAAAAATAGCATACAAAAGACTCGGGCAATGGGCGGGACTTATCACAAGAGACCTTGACTGCTTTTGGGATGATATGAAGCGCATTGCTGTTTTGCTGTAGGAGCCATGGTTCGCACTGTTTTAATGCGTCTCGAGGTTCATGCCAGCACGCATTCCGATCGCGGCAGTTGAGCTAAGGCAATATTTGCGTATCCATGAATTAAATCAATCAATCGAGCTCTGATTTTGACTTCTTTATCCGTAACGAGTCCTCCAGAACAATTTTCCACCTTGTACGATGGTTATTATTTCTTTACTTCTATTTTTCAAATTTGAGGTGGGATAATGGCGGCTTCTCAAGAACACCGAGGTAGGCGATCTTTTGCACCAACGAACAGAAAACTGATGGCGAAAAATAACCAATCAGAACCTCCCAAAAAAAAGAATTTGCCTAAAAACGGAACTTCGTGGTTCTGCGCAGATTTACCAGTCAGACACGACATCTCAAGGTGGAAAAAAACTCGCTGAAAGCGAATTTTAGCAATCAACACAACTTGACGTAGAGACATGATTGGCTAAAAAATACAACGGTTTTTGATACATCGGAAAATCAACCAAAAATCGGAGACTGGGCGAAACGCTCAAGGTCGCAGAGGTATAGGGAATCCCATAGCGAAAGCAACGGAACGATTCTAATATCATGGGGAACTCCGTTCCCATGACAAAAATCCTAGCTTTTGGAGTGCGGTCAGAAATAACATGACGCGGGGATTTTGCAAAGCAGGATCCTTCTTTTGAGGAAACCGTTTAAAATCTAGACACGAGTAATAGAAATTTCATGCTAACCTCAACGTCGGAAGGTCTCCTGATCCTAGCAACGCAATGAGCTGCAGTGAGGACCCACTTTTCTGTGAGGATAGAGGAGGTGCAGTAGGAAGTGCCAGAGCCGATGTCCATCTTGAGTAGGGCTAAAAAGGGCATTTTCGTGATGCTGATCGGTTCTCCTCCGGTGATGCTTTCATGCGACGGTAGCCGATGCAGCTCCTGTCGCCACGGCTCATCTTTTTCATCCTCGTCATCGTATTCCTCAGGCTCCGAGGTTACATTTGCCTCTCCCCCTCTCCTGACTTTCAGCGCAAGTTCATCCAATTCGTCCTCCTTATTTACCGAAGATTCCTCATACATATCGATTTTTCCAACCTCCTCGTTGTCTTCACCCCTCAAATAAATTAACATCCCCTTCGAATTTTCACCGAGCTGCCCACCGTCATTTTTTCTCACAATTTTCGAGGGATCTTTTTTAAATTGTGTCTTTAGACGCGAATTTGCAGTGTATGATTCGATGGTTTCGTTTTTGATCGGTTCAAAAGCACACTTTTGGAAACCCTGTTTTAATTTTTGGAGAGGAGGCGATGGCGACTTTTCCCGAGATGCATCGAAACCTACGCATGTTTTATTTTCAGGTTTACTTTGGCCTGCGTTTGAGCACCATTCATCGGCTCCTTCCCACTTGCTGATTACTCGTGGATTTCTTATAGTTTTCAAAACTGGATCTGCGCCCTCAATTTCTTGTTTTGAAGATTTGTCCAAAATACTAGTGCTTTTAGAGGACTTTGCGCTTAAATTTCTCACGTCGCTACTCGTTTTCAATTCAGTGTTGATCATGGTCTGGCTTGAACTGCCAAAGTTATCACCGATATCATTTTTAGAATTATGCCAATTAGGATGTTGAAGCCCCTTTTCCCCGCATTTTTCGTTATTAGGTACATGTAAATTGATCTTCTTCTCAGGATTGCTCAATTTAATCCAAGGGCATGTTTGCTCCGCTGGATGCACACTCAAAGGCAAAAAAGTGTCGTTTAAGCGTGGATTTCGACAGGTTCCATTTTCCTTCATCACCTGAAGTTCCGCATTTTGGGGCTGATAGACAAGCGCCAAGAGCCACAAAACGAAGAATGATAATCTTTCCGACATTTTTAGAGGTTGTATTAAATCATCATAATATGGAGTGTTTTCCTTTTCCCCGCCCTTGAGGATGATTCTTGTAAAAATTACATTTGCCGCACAAAATTCCTAGTGTGGGCAAACTTTAGAGCGAGTAATGTGTCATTGAAGCTGAAAGATACACAACTCTTAATTTGGACGAAAAATGCCCTTGTATCTTTATGATCGAATTTGGGGAAAGTTGGATGTTGCAAGTTCTTTTGCATTCTATATTTATTGAGCGCATTTCTTAACCATGAGATCACCTTGAGGCGAGGCGAATTCTAAAAATATGCGTAAAAGTGAAAAGATTGAATTTCATGTGAAGTGAGATTGAGGAGCAGCATAACTCACAGATATTGTTGGCATATTTATTCCGGCTTGCAGATTTCTCCAATTTTTAGTTTGTGATTGTGGCAAGTACGCCTTGGTAATGAGACCAAATAAAGATCCACACATCGATACTTTCCCCTTTTTAACTACGATAAATTATTAAGAATTTTTGGCAAATTTTGTATATGAACTGAAAATTTTGACTAGGTTATTGTTTTGAAATTTTATCCGAATATTCAACAGAAAACAATTAGCCGAAAAAGCACCATAGACTATTGTCCTTGACAATTCACATTCTTGCAGAATGAGTGGCAAGTTTTCGCAATCGATGTTGGACAGTACCAACCAAAGGAGACACAAAATGAAATTTTCTCTAGAGAAAGTTTTGATTTTTTGCAGTGGCAGCAGTTCATATCAAATGTTCGATTTTTGGATCGTCCAACAGAGGTAAATTCGATTCTAAAATATTGCGATTATTGACTAAAAACGACAACAGCAACTATTTATCTTTGACTCATAACAGCTGTTTAGTCTGCAGAGTTTTTACAGTAAAAAAATTATCCGAAATGGTATAATTCACGAAGTCCGAAGTGAAATAATTCTTCGCGATATCATATTATGATGTTTGAGCGCCAATAAGTGTCTTTCGGAGGCTCAGTTTTTTGACATCCGTACTTGGTGCTCTCGATACATTTTTCAGTTACTCTTGGAGTCTAACAGCTTTTCTGCACGCCATGCTAAGAACCTGTCATTAAGATTGTGTTCATAAATTATGAGAGACTGTTCAGGAATCTATTCCCTATAGAGAATGACTCAAAAGTCAATTTAAAAATCACCAAATATCCGTAGCTTTGGACGAGCCAACGGCACAGTACACTGCGGGTTATTAGAAAGCCAGAGCGCCTTCAATTGTTTTGTATGCGACGTGGACATCCTTCAAACACGATTAGTTGCATGCAAGCGGCTTCAATGACTTTTTGCACACAGGGGCGGATAATTCGTCGTCTCCCAGACAAAAGAACGTAACTACATTACAATGTTGCCAAATTTCTCCTCGCAAATGGCATATTAACTGAGAGAATCTTGGGCATTCCTAACTGAAAATTTCACTTATTTTTCATCCGGTTGAATGCAAAAATCAGAAAATTTTTGAATCGAAAGTGCACAGACCTTTTAGTAAAGAAATTGTTTAAGTCAATTTAGCAACCTTGAAATGAAGTTACGTTCCTTCGTCTAAGAGACGGCCAATTGAGCAGTAAGACTAAATCTTGCAATTATTCTAGAATCCACATTTGTACCATTCTTTCCCTGTTCAAGTAAGTGAATTATGGGTAAGCCGAGAAAAAAAACTGTTCCTTATCACGAAATATAATCAAAATTAGCACGTCAAAATATATGATATATTTCCATGGCAGATCATGTACTAAAATTTGGCTGAGAATTCTTGGACCTAAGAATTGAGGAATTGATGTTATTAGGCAATATGGTATTAGCTCGCAAGCTATGTGGAAATTACAGGCTGTTAAGAAACTCAAAAATTAGACTGATCCGGATCTTGACTCTTGAGTCTTTTCAGGTTGGATCCCTTTTCAGGTTAAATATCTAATATTACAGTTGCACGTCAATATTCTCATGAGTTTGCGATGGGTAACAATTAATAACGTTTAAATATATATAAGATAAACGATCTACTTGACAAGAGCACTTTTAGCTTCTTTCCGTTCATTTGCTAGGTATTTATTCTGGAGATTTTGCAGAAAAGCAAGGGGATGGTCAAGATTGTTGAAGTAATAATGAAAGAAAGAACATATAATAATTTTTTAACTTTTTTTGAATGATTGATATATTTTGTTTTAATTATTTTTACATAAATTAATAATTTTAATCTTACAAAATTTGTTACTAAATCAATATAATCGGTTCTAACTATTATTTACATTCAATGCAGTCAAATTCAGGTGAGACTGACTTCAGTTCAAAAGACCAAAATTAGCAGAACATGAATACACTTCGCTAGTTAGTTTCGCTAGTTCTTTTGCTATGTTTATGACCATTTATTCAAAACCCTACGCGAAACAGTTATCGTCACAGATATGTTTCGTCGACTTTTCGGGTTCATCTGAAGCTACATTCCAATACGTTGGACGAGGGGTAGAGGGAGTCGGTGGCCGTAATAATGACTCCCTGTCATGAGGCATTTCGTGCCAATCGGCCCGAAAATAATTTATTGCTACTAAATCTAAGTTGTACTTTTCGGCAAATAGTGGCGTCGAGAAATTCGTCCTTCGGAGATCGAAGACCCTAGGAAAGGAGAGAAACAGATCCATCAGATGGAAATGATGATAAATTTGACTAGATTTCAGAGAAATACTGTCATGCTAAGGAAATGCACCGTGTAAACCTTCAGGCGTTGCCTTTCCTCTGATAAAATAAAAAAGTCTCGGGGAAATTGTAAACATTTTTCTTCCGATTTTTCAGACTATTTTGTTCGAAATTCAATCTAAATTTTCTAAAAATGTCAAGGGAAAGTATGCATAATTTTTTTTAAAAATAAATGTTTTATCCGGAGATATTTGGCAACTCTCGAATGTTCATTCGGCGTTCTTCCTGAGCACGGCGGAATACACTTCTGGAGCCATCTAGGTTCTGTATCCAGATTTTGTTACATTTGAAACCACGCGGGCGGGAGGGGTGCTGATCGTGAGACATTTGGACTGCATTTTGCAATTTGGAACTATAAATTCTGGCCCGGTTTAAAAACAACGTATGTGCCATTAGTTTCCCTATGCACATAAGTGTTTTTTTCAGATGAGCCAGAATTTATAGCTCCTAATTACAAAACGCAGTCCATTTAAACTGTCAGAGAATCTTTTGACGCAATTTTGAATTGGAACTTGTCAATTTAATGATAAGCTAAGCAAGACAGGGAATACGTCGTCCATTAATTTTCCCCGTAATCTATTTCAAATTGTTTATTGTGCAGTTTTGATATTTGACGAAAAATAATCTACATATCTGAGCGTTTCTTCAAACACGCTGAAACTATCTCGCGCGATAAAAACAGACTTTTCACAAAATTGTAATTATCATATTTGTTTATCTTTTGTTAAATTATTGAGAGATTGGGGCCTTAATCTCTAAATTGTCACATGGGCCTCCATAGACAAACAGCCTCCGCTATTGATTCGTGCACACCCGCACTCCAGTCTTTTCAAATTTTCAGGGATTAAGGTTAAGGCCGAGTGAAGTCTGTTTCTGCAGATCTACTCGTCAGTTCAGTGAAAATTTGTCACCACCGCCGAGATTCGAACCCGGGACCTATTGTTGTAGAGTCGGACGCGCTAACCACTGGATCAACCTGGCCGGCTACTCTCTAATTTTAACCAGCCTCCAATTTGTACGGCTTGGGGATCACTCTTATCACAGGGATGACCAGAAAAATTAATAATATGAGAAAGTGACCTCTAGTCTTTAAGTAAATATGATACATAAAAATTACAACTTACAAATTGTGTATAAACTTTTGTTGAAAGTTTGTTAAACCGTTCTTTTGCCTCCACAGAGTGAAAACAAATCGATGCGGACCTGTCGGACAAAATAATTCAATTATTTTTATTTACTTTCTTACTGTCAATCTTCGTGTGTGTGTGTGTGTTTTTTTTTTCTCCTGTCGTAAAATGGATGTGAAAGGTGAACTTTCAGTAAAATTGAGTACAGTCAAGGTTTCTAACGTGGTCGAACTGGTATGCGGCATATCGCATTATGTCAATTATGTCAACAATGTAGGCAGATTTTGAATTTGTAGTCAAAATAGGACGTTAGCTTCTGCGCATGAGCGTACAGCATCATTCAAACCAAAAAAGTTAGGAAAATCTAGAAAAGTTAAGGTAGAATCCTGTCTGGGAAAAATACCAGCATTCGATACAGAAATCGATAACTGTGTCGAATGCTATATATCACATGTCAGTTCGACCACACCAAGAACTGACGAATCAACTCAGCAGTGCAGTGTCCTAATAATGACAATGTGATATCATACTTACTGATCCTCAAATATTACCTGTATCGTAAGTCAGCCAATTTGGAATGAATGCACCCATGTAGGCAGTTCGCACATCCCCCTCCTTCCATTTACTCCCATGAATATTTACAACCATCCAATGTTGCCACTCTGGAGCTATCGGTGGGATCTCTAGCGAGGCATCTCGATCTATGAAACACCCGGTCATAAATGGTCTTCATCTAGTGAAATAAGGTATTTAATTTCCAATCACTGAGCTTGTGATTCCTCACCCAACGTTTGAAAACTGTACTTAAAAAATTGGTAAATTCTTGCTCCAGTTATACTACAAAGTGCGTAAAATGTGTAGCTCCACTGCAAAGTTAACAATTTCTGTGTTTATGGTTACTTTGGGTCACTTTAAGTTGCTTTTTTCCAAAGAACTAAGTTGATTGAAGAAAGTCTTAGTTAAATCGTCCAAAAGCGTATGTTACATTGACACTCTGGAGATATGCGACCAAGGTTCAGTCATGGCGGATCCCCCCCCTCCCCGGTTTTTTTTTTTAATGGAGTTGTACATTTTCAAGCCTAAGATATGGCCAATGTTGAGCGATATAAAGAGGAAAAACTTAGAAAAAAAAGAAGAGGAGGAGAAAAATTTGGATGTGAGAGAGGAGCGAAACAGAAAAGAGGGGGGAGATAAATTTAAACCGAGGGACCAGCTTATTTTGAGGAAAAAGAAGCAAACCAGAAAAGGGAGGAGAGGTGAAAAGGTGACTAAAATAAATGATCGGCCGAAAGGGGGAAAGAAAAGGACGTTCTAATGCAAATAGAAGATTTGCATTAAAGCATGCCACTAAATTGATGGAGATTGAAAACGAGAGTGATTCAATTCCACAATTTAGGGGTTAGGTTGAGATGGGGACAATGAGAAATTTTGGAATATTAAACGAGATAATTGAATAATACGTTCTAATAGGCACAGATGGTGCTTATTAAAGCAAGTCGGCTAATTGCATGAAACCTTCACTATCGGAATAGTGAACGTGACATGCAATTAGAGGAGTATACTTTTTTGGGATAGCCCAAAAGCAAGACAGGCGATACACCTGTGGTGAAGAGTGAATTGAACCTGAAATGAGAAAGAATATTAATACTTAAAGTGATGAGGCAGCGCTTGTAGCATACCTTTCATCACTTACGCAGAGATTACTGGAGTGAGCCAAGCTGGACTGCAGAGAACCGGGATGAGGTGACGTCGGTTTACTTCGTACAGCGGGCAGGCGCCAAGTGATCACTTTGCTTCGTGTGGACCGTCGGTTGACGGGACTTGCATGTGCCGGGAAGGTGTCCTTTCCAACGTTGGAGAGCCAGAGTCCTACTCCTAGTCCAAGTACTTCACCTTAGCAGGGGCGTCGGGTAAAGATTCTTGATCCGGGAGAAAGCTGCTTCCGTAGTGAGGTCCGAGTCCGTCTTCTTCAGCGTGCTGGATACAAGTGACTCTCAGGGGCGAGCGGCTGACGTCTTGAGCGCCGCGCAAGAGCCAAAAGGAACCGAGCGGGGACGGCCGCTAGGTGGGGGGCTCCAGGGGGAGCGGATCTGTGTTTGCCGTGGATTTTGAAAGTTGGAGTTGAATGATGAAATTTGAACTTTATCGATCGATAAAGGTTTGAGCAGGTCGGGCTTAATGAGTACTTCCAGAATATATATGGTTTTGGGGGTCCATCAGAGAACCGAAGCTAAAGAAAGTGAAAAATTTGGAAAATTTGCATGTGGATGGGACTCTAGGTAGCGAAGAAAACTGGATGTAATGGAGATAAATTTGAAGATAATTATGAAGAAAAGGTTGGAAACATAAAAAGGGTGTTCAAGACGAGTTATACAATGGTTAGGAAGAGCACTTTCAATTTAATAGAAGGCAAAGGACACCTTTAAAGACGCGCAAATCTGGGAGGCGGGTCAAGGTGTGCAAATTTGGAATAATTTATTAGTTACCGCGGGCGCGTAATGTGATTGATCGGTGCAAAATTGAGAGAACCCTCAAGAGTGAAGGGAGGGGGGATAAAAAAATGAGTGTGATGAAATTTTCTTGAAATTGCTCTAAGTTTGTTCGATCGGGATCGAACATACTCCGGGGGTTGAACCAACGTAAGTTGGTTCGAAAGCGAATGACGGATCGTACAAAATGATTTAATTTGCTTGAAGCTATTATGCATTCCACACGTGTGTGAAGTAAATCGCCACTTAGGTGGGGTGGGTTTTGGGTGGGAAAATTAATAGGAGATATCAACATATTATTTACATTGTAGTTATCTTAATGAGTAATATTCTATCAATAATAATTAATGTGACCGAAATAATACCTAGATAATTAAGTGAGTGAGGTTATAATTGGGTAAGTAATCTTAAGTAAAATTTAATATGTAGATAATTAATTTGGATAAGTTAATACTTAGAAAATTAACTTGAAGAGAATAATAGTTGGATACTTAAAGTAAAGAGATTAATGTTTTCTTAATTACTTAAAGTGAAGAAGAGTAATTAATTTATTCCATAATACTAGTTCGTTCTCCAAAAAATTAGAGAGCATCGCCGAGGTTTTAAGGCTCTCGGGTTTAATTCAAGTTTTAAATACTTAATAATAATAAATCATTTTTGAGGCATTAATGAGAATAAAGTAGTATTAAGTATAGGGAATTAAGTTAAATTAAAAGTTAAGGTAGTGAGTTGAAAAGGATTATTGTCATAAATTACCAATAAGTATTGATTATTTATTTACAACGGTTATTTCATTCTCCATGACTGGAGAGTATCGCCGAGATTAATATTCTCAGGGTCGATTGACGAGGGTAATTTTTTGTTAGCTATCGAGAGCTGAGTTAGATTTAAAGGCTACTAAGAGAAAGGTAATGACTGCAGAGAGCCTGAAAGAACTGCTGAGAGAAGGTTTTTGTGGCCGCGGTAAGAGCCGGGGTAAGTCCGCTAAAAAGGTAGGTTGGCCGCGGTAAGAGCCGGGGTAAGTCCGCTAAAAAAGGTAGGTTGGCCGCGGTAAGAGCCGGGGTAAGTCCGCTGAAGGAAAAGGTTTTGTGGCCGCGGTAAGAGCCGGGGTAAGTCCGCTAAAAAAGGTAGGTTGGCCGCGGTAAGAGCCGGGGTAAGTCCGCTAAAAAAGGTTTGTTGGCCGCGGTAAGAGCCGGGGTAAGTCCGCTGAAGAAAAGGTTGGTTGGCCGCGGTAAGAGCCGGGGTAAGTCCGCTGGAGGAAAAGTTGTCAGCAGGTGCTGAGAGAAAATTCTTGGCTTGTGAGGGGCCGAAGAAAGGGAGAAAATTAATAATGAGAAAAATAAAACTAAGAAATTAAAGATAATGTGGCTGCTTGGAGCCTTACNGTTGGGTGGCCGCGGTAAGAGCCGGGGTAAGTCCGCTGAGAGAAAGGTGGTTGGGTGGCCGCGGTAAGAGCCGGGGGTAAGTCCGCTGAAAAGAGGTTGTCAGCAGGTGCTGAGAGAAAATTCTTGGCTTACGATGAGCCGAAGAAAGGGAAAAAAATTAATAATGAGAAAAATAAAACTAAGAAATTAAAGATAATGTGGCTGCTTGGAGCCTTACAAAGTAAAAAATAAACCGAATATGAGATAGACAGTTTGGCAAACGTGAAGTCGAAGCCAAGAGAAGAAAAAAAAAAAAAAATTTATAAAGGTTAGGAATTTTTTACGGCCTACAAAGGCTGTATTATCGGATGATTTTCTAAACATAAAAATTTCGAGTGGTTGACGAGAAGAATTTACATTTTATCGAAATGGACCGAGACTGAAATTGGATCTTTTAAACCTCAATTTCGGTGTTTTTTCCCTCTGAGAGCGGCCACTGTATGCCAAAGACCGTAAACGTGGTACTCTCGTCTTTTTGCAATGAGGGAGGTATTTCTCGTTTTGCAGGCGCTACGCCAGTGAGGAACTGGGATGCGCTGCTAATCCATTGTTTCAGTTGTGAGATTTTATGATTATAAAAGTTTTCGAGTCGGTTTTGCCAAGTGAGCGCATTTTTGACGGGCACTAAACCAGCGGCGGCTGTGTCCGCATAGGCATAGGATTCTTCCACTGAGCAGCCGCGAAGATCGCGGTGTTCGGTTTCGAGTTCTTTGATAAGGTGCGCTGTTGCCGATACGGAAGACGAGACTCCAAATATCGGGTGATCACGAAGCGAAGTGTTGTGATCCTGATTATAAATTTTGCACGAGGTTGCCAAATTGCACTCAGATTTTTCGTGATTATCACTCAGGCGGCTTACGCACAATCCTTGAGATTGAATGATTGAAAATTTTCGGTTGCATTGGATTTTAGGAAATTGTAAGCAACGATCGACTCCATGATTCTTCAAGCACAGAGGGCATCGATGCGGAGCGTGAATTTTTTGATGGTTGATAGTCGAGATTAGAATTTGAGAAGGCTCTGCGACCGGAGCTATTCCCATCACGGCGTATCCCAGTTTGGTTTTCAGGGCAGTAGGAAAACCGGGACCGAGAGAGATTGTTTCGCCGCACAAAAGTTGCGGTAAAACATCAAGACCTATTAAAATTTCAACAGGTGCATTCACCTTATCAAAATCAGGATCCGCTAAAGGATAGCCCGCAAGACGGTAACGGACTTCCGGTGAAATTGGCGTGGATGGAGTCGGACTGGAAATTTTGTCGAGAACAGTTACAAACTGATCTCGAATCAATACTTTACCGTGGTGCTTGAGGTTGATTTTGGTGATGCCGCGAATCGGAACAGGATAGCTAGATATCCCGTTCACCGGATTGAGGTTAGGATCAATGCTGCATTGAAGGGCACGAGCGCATTTGGTTACAATTATCGTTGTTTGTGATCCTAGATCAAGGATGCCTCTTAGCATTGTTGCTTTCTTCGAAGAGGAAACTTCGACCTGAACAGTGGCCAATAGGATCACCGTATCGGGTCGGGAGGTTTCGCCGACCATGGTTACCGAACTTTTCGGTTTTTCGGCAGTAGTCGGGGTAGGTGGAGGGGGGTGCAACCATGTATTGTGTGGCTCGTTACAAGCAATGCAGCGAAAATCTTTGTTGCATTTTTCGGTTGTATGCATGCCGCTAAGACAGCGCTCACAAAGTTTACGGGCTTTTACAAGCTCGAGCCTTTGAACAAATGGCATATCTCTAAATTTTAAGCACCTATAAATCGGGTGAGACTCTGAGCACA